TGCATACGGAGTAGTTTAAACCAGAGCAAACCTCCCAGCCATAACCTCTTCCCGCTCCCTTTCCCGACCACCACCACGACCATCATCACCATCACCACCACCACCACCCACATAAACCCTCCCAACCCCACGACCAAACAACGCCGGACACTGGTTCGCCAACAAGCAGGCGAGGAGGTGCTTGCACACGGGCGTATTCTTCATCGAGTCTCTGGTTAGCGTGCCGCCAAATGGGAAGGCAGGTGTAGGTGTTGATGTTGATGTTGATGTTGAGGATGGAGGGTTATTTCTCCCGTCGTGTTTTTCTACCTCTTCTCCTTCTTCCTGGTCACTATTTTCCGCCCCCGTTGTGGTCCTTGTAGCAGTAGCAGTAGCAGTAGCAGTGGTGTGCTCGGGAGAATCAGAATCAGAATCAGAATCAGAATCCAAGTATCGAAATGCGGCCATGCTAAAGGCGGGACAGGAGCAGTTCCAGGCGTTTAGGCAGACGAGGTGGGGGGGTTTGGTTTTTGAGGTGGGGTTATTATTCTTATTGGCATTATTGGCATTATTGGTATTTGGTCTGGTTGTATTCATCATGCTCGAAGATGAGGATAAAGAGTTGACAAAGTATATCCCCCCGTCTATATTTCCTCCTCGTCTATATTGCTGCTGCTGCTGCTGCTGCTGTTGCTCTGCTTCTCCTGCCCCCTGTCCTCGATCATACACATCCTCGTCATAGTCATCGCCATATTCATATTCATATCTTTTTATCCCCCTCCGGTCTAGGATATCCAGAGCCAGGAGCAGTTCGTTGGGGAAGAGGCAATGTAGAGTTAGGAGGAGGGGTTTTACTTTTGAGAGGACGGGGGCAGGGAGTTGGGTGAGCGGGTTGTTGTTATTATCATGTGTTTCTGTGGGAGGAGGGTTGTTCTGATGTTGACGCTGCGTATTGTTGTTGTTATTCTGGTCTGGAGGTGGTGCTGCTACCGCGCTTGAGGGTGGTGGTGGTGGATGGAATTTGGACAGCTGGTAGATTACTGAGGTGATGATTTGAGGGGTGTTTGGGAGGGGGTTTCCCATTGTTTTGTCCTTTGAAAAGGAAGCTGAAGCTGGAGATATATTGGAAATTGTTATCTGAGGGGGTGATTGTGCTTGTTCATGTTCTCTTTATGTCTACTGTGAGGTTTTCAAGTTGTGAGTGAGATGTATAAAAGCTCCACTGGCGGGCCCCTTAAAAACATTGATGTTCAGCACTGAAAAAGAAACTTTGCTATTTATTTAACAGAGAAAATGATAAATCCAAAGCTACCCATTCACATACATTATTCATGATCTACTCTTAGGTCTCCTCTACAATGATCGTAAAATCCTCGATTGACCGAGGCAAACTCGAACTACCTAGGTATCCTACTCATACTTAGAGCAAAGTAGGCATAAACTCTGGATAATACAACGGGCTATATCCGGAATTGTTCATTTCAAGGGAAATAGAGCAGATAAATTTAAAGACGCAGTTGGGGGGGGCATTGAATAAAATTAAGTTATATAACCCATCATTGTCCTCGGATTGGATAACTGGAACAACGGTGCCGCGATCAGGGGTTATTTAGCATACCAAACCTTTGGTCATCAACTGTACTTATTTATCTATCGCCCTTGGAAGCTTCTGTAGTTAGTGCCGTCGTCACCCGTCAATCGCGGCTTTTTAGCGCTGGAGGGAAGAGGATATTCAGATTCATTGGTGGTTGGGGACGTACTACGCTGTATTATTAATATTTAATAGTTAGTAAAACTCACAATGCCTTTAAAAAGTCCATCCACCGCCAATTTACCACGTACAATATCTACGTTCGTTAACCCCGAATTTCCTTTCACACCGTTCATATTTCATTGTCATGGCAGCAGCATCAGAAACTTCCAGAGGAGACTGGTTGATAGGTGCGGGTATGGTGAGTGGGACTCAGGGGGCCATTTAGTGATTTTGTATTCGGATTTCCTAGTTCGCTAGTTTTTTTTTTGGCTCTGAACACAGCCTGCCAAAAATAAACATATATGGGTTTTGATCAAAATATCGGTCATCATGTGTGACTATTTCGAAAGTTGACCGCTGTCACGTTCTCATTTATTATCCTCCATGACCCATCGGCCGTTAGATTGCCGCGCAAACATATCATCGTGCTCAGTTTCAACTTTGGAAACAGCAATGCTCGATGACTGAAATCGGTTGATACAGAGGTTTCCCTGCAGCGTTCCTGTCGGGTTGGATATGGCGTGTGAGGTCTAACTTATCCTTGAAAGGCAAGCCTGCAAAAAATTGTGTAGATTTCTCCTGCTTCGCTGCAGTCGACCAATATTCCTCAGCGAACACGGCAATATTGCAAGCCAGGCGGGGCCCGCTTCAAACTGGAGAGTATGTCAACTTCTTAAACAACCACTGGGCAAACACTCTGGAATGCAGAAGAGAGGTAAGGACACTATTGCGATAGCAAAGCTTGGTTTTGTTCTCCATTCCTCTAGATTCTTAACAATATCGAATCCCTGCTCCACTTGGAATAAAATGTCAAAAGCCGCGTATGGTCCTTCAAGCCTGAGAAAGGCGAACAAAGTAAAGCCTACCTCGCCACTTTCCATTATATATTCCTCCAGACTGCGAGTGCTTCCAATTCGCTCTGGGGATTTCCCTTCCGAATTCATGTTGGGGAGCCTAGAGGGGGGTTAGGCATGTTGCAGCAACTGCGGTTTTCAGCAAGCTTGAAAAGTGGGTAACAGCTACTTGATAACTGGAAAGGAGAAGATGGAGAGCGCAAAAGAAGATTGAAATGGTAGAGACACGGAATGAACAGATATACAGGGCAATGAGAACATCCGGCATTGTTAAATATACGCAATCAAAAAGGGCATCTCCCAGAAATGCCATTGAAATTAATCGCATCATGAACCGGAAGCTTGCCGCAAGAACGTATAATTCTTTACATAGTATCCCTAATGCTTCAAGCAACCCTGGTTAAAATAGGGGAAGAACGATCCCGAAAGACACGTTACATATCTCTAAGAAGCAATCTTGCCTTGGGCAAATCGGCATATGCTCAGGCATACAGCCCTGAGAGTTGATGTTTTTATATTATTAATGTCTCGGGCATATATAGTTATACATACTCTTTAGACCTCCATCACAATTAAATGGCGGGGCATCAAGATGACGCTTAGTCATCCACAGCTCTCCATCTATGACTCCTCGCCGATGCCGCAAGGACTATAATTTTTATTTTTTTGAGTACCTCCATTTCGTTAATGAACAGCATTAACTCGCTATTCAATGGGCCTACAAAAATATCTATATGTTTGTCGGTGAATTGCTAGGCTAATATTTTTTTCTCTAGTATATTTGCAGAGAATTTGGACGTCAATTCCTTACCATCTCCTTCACAATGGTGGAATTACCAGACCCCACCATTGACCTGGATTGGTCTGGTTATGTCGGGTCAATCCAGTCGCATTTCGCTGAGAACGCAAAGAAATACCCAGACCGAGTATGCGTGGTAGAAACTGAATCGTTGGAAGCTCCGGAGAGGAGATTCACCTACAGACAGATCTATGAGGCATCAAATACCCTCGCACATTACCTTCACGATGCCGGAGTCACCAATGGCGATGTTGTGATGATCTGGGCGCACCGGTCTGTCGACTTGGTTGTTAGCATTATGGGGACTTTGGTATGTCCAATTCTTTGTGTATCTTTGTTTTCTTATCTTGGATTACTTCTATCTGGTCAATTGGTATACTAATTCCTCCTTTTTAACGTAGATGTCCGCTGCAACTATGAGCATCCTCGATCCTGCCTACCCACCAGCCAGGCAACAAATATACCTGGAGGTCTCCCAGCCTTGTGCATTGGTTAATATTGAAAGAGCAACGCACGAGGCCGGCCCTTTGGCGCCAACTGTGCGAAAGTATATCGATGAAGAGCTTAAATTGAAAGCGGAAGTACCATCATTACGTATTCACGACAATGGACTTTTATCCGGGGGCGAGATTGATGGACAGGATATCTTTGCCCAGGTCAGGTCAAAGGCTTCTTCCTCTCCAGTTACACTCGTAGGGCCTGATAGCAATCCCACACTTTCGTTTACTTCTGGCAGTGAAGGAAGACCGAAGGGCGTTCTTGGCCGTCATTTCAGTTTAGCCAAATACTTTGGCTGGATGGCTGAGAGGTTCGAGCTTACTTCAGAGAGCCGATTTACCCTTCTGTCAGGAATTGCACATGATCCCGTACAAAGAGATATTTTCACTCCTCTCTTTCTTGGCGCGCAATTGTTGGTTCCCTCGAAGGAGGATATCCAACATGAGAAGCTTGCTGAATGGATGAGTGAGCACAAGCCTACTGTTACTCATTTGACACCAGCAATGGGACAGATTCTCGTTGGTGGCGCATCAGCAAAATTTCCATCGTTAGACAGAGCCTTCTTCGTTGGCGACGTCTTGACCACGAGGGACTGTCGGAGCTTAAGGGAACTTGCCGTGAACGTCAACATAGTCAACATGTATGGGACTACCGAAACGCAGCGTGCAGTAAGCTACTATGAAATACCGAGCCGGGCGAAGAACCATGACTACCTGGACAAACTCAAGGATACCGTACCAGCTGGGAAGGGCATGAAAGACGTTCAGCTCCTTGTTGTCAATCGAGATGATCGTACCAAGCTATGCAAGGTTGGAGAAGTGGGAGAAATATACGTCCGTGCTGCTGGTCTTGCGGAGGGGTACAAGGGAGATCAAGCCTTGAACAGCCAAAAGTTCCTTTTGAACTGGTTCGTGGACAATGAAAGGTGGGTTGAAGCTGACAAAAAGAGTAACAAAGGTGAGCCTTGGAGGAAATACTACTTCGGCCCAAGGGATAGACTTTACCGGACTGGAGACCTCGGTAAATACCTGGAGACGGGAGATGTGGAGTGTACCGGTCGTGCCGACGACCAAGTCAAGATCCGCGGTTTCCGCATCGAGCTCAATGATATTGACAATAACTTGCGCCAACATCCCTTAATCAGAGACTGCAAGACTCTTGTCCGGAGAGATAGATATGAGGAGCCAACACTCGCCAGTTACATTGTCCCTGAGCTGAAAGAGTGGCCACGATGGTTGAAAGATCAAGGCCTCGAGGATGTTGAGGACGAGGGAACTGATATCGGTCCCGCAATTATCTATACCAAACGGTTCAGGCGGATGCAAACGGAGATACGAGATCATTTGAAAGATCGCTTACCCAGCTACGCTGTGCCGACAATCTTCATTGTTCTCAACAAGCTACCGCTCAATCCCAATGGGAAAGTCGACAAGCAGAAGCTCCCATTCCCTGATATTGCAGAACAGTCCGAGCCTGCTTCCTCAGAAGACTTGGAAAGATGGGAGTCTATGTCCGAGACGGAACGAGCTGTCGCAACAAAGTGGGCCGATCTGATTCGCGGCCTGAATCCAAAGACTATTACCCCACAAAATGACTTCTTCGATCTCGGAGGCCATAGCATCTTAGCCCAGCAGATGCTATTGACCATCCGCAAAGAAATGGGCGCGAATGTCCCAATAAACACCCTTTACGAATACCCCAGCCTAGGTGGATTTAGTGCACAAGTTGATAGACTACTCAATATAAAGAAAGGCATCGTCAAAGCAGGTGCCGCTACAGAGGAAGAGAAAGATTCCGTCTACTCCAAGTCCCGGGATGAACTTCTCAAGCAACTGCCAACTACATATCAAACGGCGGACCCGGAAGCTATCCGCAAATCCCCTTGCCCTACAGTCTTTCTTACTGGTGCAACTGGCTTTTTAGGCTCTTACATCATCAAAGATATCCTGGAGAGAACTAGTCGCACCATCAAGCTGACTGTGCACGTGAGAGGTGTAAAGGACTCCCAAGCTGCTCTTGATCGACTTCGAAGATCCCTACAGGGCTATGGCTTATGGCAAGAGGAATGGGCAGGCCGACTAGGCTTCGTTGTCGGAGATCTATCCAAACCACAGCTTGGTATTGACCGGCAAAGTTGGCAGACTCTAGCCAACGAAGTCGATTTGGTGATCCACAATGGAGCGGCTGTCCATTGGGTTCGGCCATACAACGATATGATGGCGGCAAATGTTCTTTCCACGATTGACGCGATGAGGCTTTGCAATGAAGGAAAACCAAAGATGTTCACGTTTGTCAGCTCTACGAGCGTGCTTGACACGGATCATTATGTTAAACTCTCACAACAACACCTTAGCACGGGTCGAGATGCTATATCAGAAGACGATGACATGGAAGGCAGTCGAACTGGCTTGGGAACTGGCTACGGGCAAACGAAATGGGTATCTGAGCAGCTCGTCCGCGCAGCAGGAAAGAGAGGCCTCCTGGGCTCTGTTGTTCGACCGGGATACATCCTAGGTGACGCTGAGACAGGTGTTTGCAATACCGACGACTTCTTGATCCGTATGCTGAAGGGCTGTATTCAATTATCCAGCCGGCCACGCATAATCAACACCGTCAACTCTGTCCCAGTAAAGCATGTCGCTCGTGTGGTCGTAGCTGCCGCTCTAAACCCCCTCCCAAGTGGCGTGCATGTCGTCCATGTGACTGGCCACCCACGTCTCCGTATGAACGAATACCTGTCCCTTCTCGAGTTCTATGGCTACAGAGTTCCTGAGGTCGACTATGACATTTGGAAGGATGAGCTGGAGAAATACATTTCAGCTGGTGGCCCAGAGAAGGATCAAGAGCAGCACGCCCTAATGCCTCTCTATCATTTCTGTGTAAACGATCTTCCAGCTACGACTCGAGCTCCCGAGCTCGATGATAGAAATGCCATTAAAATTTTGAAAGCTGATGCTGAGAATTGGACTGGCGTAGACGAAAGTGCCGGATATGGCATCAGTAGGGAGGATGTTGGCAGATACTTGAGCTACCTGGCAGAGATCGAGTTCGTGAGTCAACCGTCGGCCAAAGGCCGGCCATTGCCTAAGGTCCACGTCAGTGCAGCGCAGTTGGAGGCTGTTGGAGCTGTCGGAGGTCGTGGCGGCATGCCTAAATGAAGCAGATGATATGGATTTATCTGCGTGCACCACGCGGTGAACTATTTCTTATGGTATCTGAATATCTTTGATATATACTCAATCCTTTTTAGCTACAGGTATACGGAAAAGTTTTGAGTTATAACTTCCTGTTAAATAAACTTGCCGAACTTGTTCCCTCTCGAATTGTGTGTACCAAGCTTAGAACGAAAAAACGGATCTTCTGGCATTTTATTCCTTGTCAACTCTGCACTCTTCCTCATTTTAAACCTCGTTTCACATACCCACCATCACAACTCTACCATCCGTTGGGCAAAAAACCCCTGGATTCCTGGTATAGCTGATCGACTAGGCTAGATAGACATGTCGATTCGCTACATAAAATTCTCAAAATAAAAAAAAAAAAAATTAAAAATTAAAAAAAATTAAAGCATATCCCTAAATCTCCTCCAAATCATCATCATCTAACCCCAAATCCAACGGCGGAAATTCACCCACCTCAACCCTCTCCGGCTTCACAAACACACCTCTCTTGTCCGGACAGTCGAAATACCGATGTCCTCCCACAGACCCGTCATTTTTGCCAGTAGGTTCATCAAGTTCAATGCCGACCCAGATCGGTACCATTGTGTCTGTGATTTCATCATCATCATCATCTTCTTCTTTTTCTTCTTCTTTAGCGTCTTTGCCCTCCGTTGCTGATGATGATAACGATTTGACTAGCGGAGAAGGAATGGTAGGTACGGGCCCGATGAAGCGGATTGTCCCGCGCCTGACATGGGGTGGGGTGGAGGGGTGGATAATGGCCCGCTTTAAAAGTTCGATGCCTAGTGTGTGTTTACGCGTTGGTATAAATATAAAATGGAAAGTTTGTGGAAGAGACAGAGAAAGAGCGGCGAAGGTCTCATTCCTGGCTTTCTTCAATTATACATACCTCTCTGTTTAATCTCCTGCTGCTCCTTTTCCACTTGCTGCTTGAGCATTTGTTCAGGGGAGAGCGCCTTTGGGTCGAAGCGGCCCAGTTTCTGATTCTTTTTCCATGACAGAACGCTTTTGGGGAGGGATTCGTAGGTTGAGGTTGGGAGTGTGTATTTTTCTACTGAGGAGAGATCGGTGAAATTTGGGCGCGCGGATGGGGGTCGAGTGTCGTGGACCTGGCCATGTGGTTAGCTTTGAGTGTAGGGGCAAATAGTCATATAGGTAATTCAAAATGGGAGTAAACTGGGGAGAAAGGGGGGAAGAGGGAAGGTTGGGAGGCGCAAGTAAGGATGATAGTAATCATGCGGAAGCGCACGCGAGAATTCAAAATGTAAATACCCCAAAGGCAGTATGTGATTCCAAAAATCATCGTAGGACATAACACCCTGTGACTTATTGCTTTTATCCATCAGTTTGTCCCAGAGATATCTTATGAACGGCGCCAGGTAGACAGCCCAATTATTAATGTAAATGTAGGAAAAACCCGTAGCAGATGAAATGGAAATAACGAAAGATAAATAACTATAAAATAGACATCATTCCACGGTTGCATACCTCAAACTCGCATCCCCTACCCAGACCCCAGTCGCCAACGACTCGATCTTCTCCCTCGACCCACTGGTCTTCTCTACCAGGGGATTTCAACTTAAGTCTCTGGTTGGATGGCGGAATTCCGGTCATAGTCTCCAGTTTAGCTTTCAACTGTGACACCGTCCACGTCGGAGTTATGCGACGTTCTGAGGCGAATGATGGTGTATCTCCCGCCGGCCCCCCGCTGCCTGGCGCAACGGAAATGATTGCCGGGATGTCCATGGGAGTGGGTTGAAACGCCATGATGAGGATATTTTAAAGGACTAGAACTTCTACTGAAGCCTCCTCTAGATGTTTAAAGACTGAAGACTCTAGACAGTGGCCTATATGGCTGGCTCTTTTGGGCTTAGACTCCGCTGGTATTTTTGTCCCTGTTCTTGGTTGTTAGAATTACCCCGCGCTTTAAAAAAAGAGAAAAAGAAAGAAAGAAAAAAAAAAAATTCACAGGCAATGCAAGGGTTTATATACCTATTCAGAACCAAAACTCATGAATTTTTTTATTTTTTTTTAAAGAAACCGCTTTGCGCCTCCTAGGTAATGGTATGAATTGGGGATACAGTTTCTTAAAAGGAGTTGGCATCAACATGAAAATGGTGCTAGAGAAGGAGGAATATCAGGTGATTTAAGTGGTCAACGGCCCCGCCAAGACGAGACCGTTAATCATTTATTCTCGGCGCACCTAAAAATGCGCGAGTGATATACCCAATTTCTGTGGTTTTTACTGGTTTCTATTTGAAGATGCCCTCTGTCACTAGAGTTTTTAATTCATTGAATAAGACAACAATTCCCGAGATATAAAGCGTGGACTATCTTCATAGAAATGCCACCGTACCACTTAATTTTATTTTTTGATTGTAGCTTAAGCTTGTCATATAGAGAACTCTATGAAATGTATGTAGTAGTTAGTAAAAAAGTTACACACACACGAACAAGAAACCTTGGACCTCCTTCTTCCTACTCCTACACTTCCACCTCCTACACTGTATATCGCTACTATCGACCAATGCCGTAAAGCCCAATGCAATCTCCTTCCCAGAGAGATTTATACGGAGTACAGACCAATCGAACCGATCTTCTACACGTGACAGATCTGGCGGTTGAAGCGGCCTGAGCGCGATCCAGACGCGATAGCCGAAACCTTAGATATCTCAACCACCACCTCTTCCGAGCTGCCAATTTCCCTGGGCACAAGTCGATTCTTGACAAAGCTATATTATAAGGGTTAGTTGAATGGGAGGCCCTGTCTCACGACTTGTCCTTGAGCTGTCAGTTTCTGTCCCGATGGCTAATTTCAATCATGCAGGAACCATGGAAGGGAACGACCCAGAAAAATACGAAGAGCTGCATGTTCATAATGTTTACCAAGAAATTGCAGACCATTTCTCCTCCACACGATACAAGGTTGGTTAATCATCAGTTCATATCTTCTATTTTACGACTGTTTCATTTCATATCTGCCTAGGTTTGTGGTGTCTGTTGCCCAAGCTCACTAATATGGAAAAAAACTCTTGTTCTCTGCGTAGCCTTGGCCGATTGTCGAGCGGTTTTTAAAAGAACGCCCGCCAGGCTCAATCGGCCTCGATATCGGCTGCGGGAATGGCAAATATTTACCCGTCAATTCCGACGTTTTCATTGTTGCATCAGACCGGTAAGCTTGATGGCCATTTTTCTTGTCCCTGATGATAGATACCCTTCCCGAGTGCGATTCGTACTCGTGGAACTCCCAATTCTCATTGCTATCCCTGTCTAAACATGCAAGATCCAGATCCGAAGCCTTGGCACGGATTGCCAGCATGCATTATCCACACTCTTCGATTGTCGCTGACAATCTGAATTTACCACATCCGAATGGGTTCTTCGACTTTGCCATTTCCATTGCAGTGGTACATCACCTGTCAACGCCTGAGCGCAGAGTTAAAGCTATTCAGTGTATTCTGCAGACCCTCAAACCACCTCGAAGTGGGTATGAAGGTGGCAAAGCTTTAATCTACGTCTGGGCACTGGAACAGAAGAACAGCAGAAGGGGATGGGATGCTGGAGATGACCAGGATGTCATGGTACCCTGGGTGAGAAAAGAAAAAAAAAGCGGGGACGACAAATCCGAGGCTTCGACCAAGACCTTTCATCGCTACTATCATTTGTACGAATCGCAGGAGCTAGAACGAGATATCGCTGCTGCCGGTGGTCAAGTCTTGGATCACGGATATGAAAAGGACAACTGGTGGGCTGTTGCAAACTTAAAACCAGTGGATTGAATTCAAACAATATAAGTCGCTACCGCTATATAAAGCATCCAGTCTCGAGTTGGAGCGCAATTGAACATATTGGGGGAGATAATAAAAATTAAATGGGATATTTAACGAAGAGTCAAAAAACTGAAAGCAACAAGCGATAGGAAGGGAGTGGGAAGGAGAAGAAAGGAATAAGAAGAGGGGAAACGACGAATGAAATAAACAGTGAGTTTGAGAGGGGGTGGAAAGAGAAAATGGCTAAGCACGACTAAATCAACGTATGCAAAACCCGAAATGTGATTTGGAATACTAGGGAGAAAGAAGAAGAACGAAAAAGAAAAATACGAACCAAAACGGAGAAAAACATACAAAACCTCGGTCTATCCGCCGCCCAACCCACGCTATGCAATCATGTCCTGACATAACCTATCTTATCAACTACTTCGAAAGAAAGACATTTCATTTCCTAGAACGAGTGTTCGCACTTGGGCGTGTTCCATGATGGCCAACCTTTTGCTCGGAGGGCGATTTCGGAGATTTCACCTTCGAATGAAGATCACGCGGCTTGCCTGATGCGTATGCAGGTACGCCAGCAGTCAACTCGGCAACAGAAGGAAGCTGTTGGCCCGAACCTCGCACTGCGGAATCTCGTTTCGGTCTCGACGCTGCTGTGTTGATTCTGCGCAGCTTTGGCGGTGGCTGCTCCGTTGTTGGATGCCTGAGTAGAAACGGCAATACACCGGCTCGTCTCGCCATCTCGTGCTCTCCTAGCTGCCAGTGCATCGCTTCGGCTGCTCTCCACGGAATACCCATTTCGAATGCTATTTTGGACCACATGTCTGCTTTGAATCTGCATGTGGTTATGAGGTCTGAGTCAACAACTGCTCTCGTATTTACATGTACGCGTTACTCTTTTATAAGGGGAGCTTACCTTTCGTATAGTCTAGCCAGTTTGTTCTTACGGTCCTCATCCCACTCACTCCGTCGCTCGAGATAATTTTGGTAGTGGAGTCGGCAGCTAAGGGCGCTTCGTCCGGGCAGCATTTTGCTGATGTCCTCCCACTTTAACCCGTTGCCTCGAAGCTCTGTGATCAGAGCATCTTCCTGGGGTGACCATTTCGATTGCTTTTTGGCCGGAATTTCAAAAGACGGGGCAGGCTGGAGACGTTTTCCTGGTCTTGAGGATAATGGGACCTGAGGATCAGGTAAAGACTTCACGTCTGCCTCTGCGATTACACGGTCCGATTTCACGTTCCTGGCATTTGTATCCTTCTTTTCCGCCTCCTCATCGTAAGACTGCAAAAGCGACGCGATATCCACCTTTTCTGCGGGAGTTTGTTGACGGATATGCAAGATGTCCATGTGCTCTCACCCTAGTTGGTCTAAGCCGGATTTACCAATTCCTCCGTGACCCGCGAGAGAAAACTATACTTGCCACTCGATCCAGCCACGGTGTCTGTTTGGCGGCAGGAGGAAGGGGAGACGTAGAAGACAACCCCAAAAGATGATCGATAGGAATCGAAAACCAGTTCCCTGAAGGGAAGGAAAATGGAATGGGTCAGATATTCCAGAATCTGGTTCCTAAGATGGTGAACAGCACGCGAGCAAGAATAAATATATCGGCGAAGTTTGATTTAAACCTGATGAAGTCGATCATCCGCCACCGCTCCTACGCCATGTGGGTGCGACAGCAATAGGGCGGAAACCAGGCTAGATGAACGGTCAAAGGAAAGGGCCCAGGTCAAGGAAAGGAAAAGCTTCCTCTGTCCCAATGTGGTACAGTACCGCTCTGATCTAGAAAGGGTGGGAAGCTCCCTGACAAGAAATAATAAAAAATAAGGGCGAGGGAAAGAGAGTCGGTCTAACTAGTGCTGCCTTATTTTCCGCTTTGGGGGTCCTCGACCAATGGTTGGGAAAGCTGGGATGTTACAAGATCACTGGCTACCGTCGTCCTTCGCTCCACGAACGAACTTGCAGGCGTCAGTTTCCACCTGTTGTTGCGTGCCTTATAGTTGAGTCACGAGTGGCAAGGGGATAATAGCGGGAGAAAACAAGCAGGCAACAAAAGACAGGGCAAGTGAACATGTTCCTGTTGTTGGTGGATATGTCAAGGAGGAACTGAAAGAAAGAAGGACGAGCGGGATCAAGCCAGGGTTAAAGACATCAATCAACTATCAGCATCTTGTTAAAGCTGGGGCTTTCCGAAGCAGCTAAATATACGACATATTATGATTATTATTTTTTTTTTCTTGAATTTTTCAATTATTATTTTTTCTAAGGAAAGGAAATTTTTAAGTCATTTCACATGTAAATTTTACTTTTTTTTCTCCCTATCTTGCTTTTCGGTTGGTCCATCTTTCGTACCTGGACCAAAGTTCCTTGCACATCATTGCAAGCTCGAAACCCAAGTCCGAGTCTACTCGCCTTCGTTACGCTTAACCTTTTGCTGCCACACGCGATGAGCAGTGAGAAAAAGACCCGGAAGAATGCAAAAATAAATAATAAATAAAAAAAGTGGAAGTATTAAAAATTTAAGAAATAAAAATTATAAAACTGGCTTGTTTTATTCCGGGGTGACACGTACGTTCGTCTCATGTCTGCTGAACATAATGCAGCTGCTGAACTTTTCTTTCTTCTCCCTTTCTCTTGTGAAAGATTTTGTAAAGTGTAATTACCTTATGTATTTTTTTTTTTTTTTTTTTTTTTTATTTCATGAGCTGCTTTTCTCTAGAGACCATGATATTTCCCCAATCCTGCCCGGATAACTGGCGGGGTCAAAAAAACACAAAACAAAACAAAAACAAAAAACCACAAAACGCTAACTAATCTAAATAATCCAGGATTTGGCTGCAAGCGAAGGAGAACAAGGAGGAAAAAGATGGCTGCGCAGTCAGTCTGGTTAAATACTTTGATATATGAGATGAGATTCACCTTGCCAGTTGTATATAAATTTTGAGAGATAGATCATCAACCCTCCGCACATCTCCTAGATTTGACCATTTATTGCAAACTTCGTCCTAAATACTATTAGTAAACCAATGGCTGTAAATAATAACAACAGTCACAAAGGCTGCGTTCATGACATGCATGACATGATACTAGGTTAGGTTGATCCAAGTGAACAACCCGATTTAGTTCCTTTTTTTTTTTTTTTTTTTTTTTTTGGCTTAGTATTTGCCCTTAACGTTAACTACCTCTATTTCAATACGTTGTCAGCTTTTAGTACTACGACTTCAGAAAAGATCGGTCTGAAGTTTTTCTTTCTGTCTGTCTGTTTCTTATTATCATTGAGCTTTTATATAAATTTGCGTATCTACACGTATATTATCTCTACTACAAAGTCGGAATCCTCATAGGGCAGGCAGCTCCAGCCGTTAGTTAAATGGTTTCTCAAAAGCGAAAGACAAGACGAAAAAAGGGAGATAGATAGACCAGCTACACTGGACACTATATATCTCCGCTGGTGATACAGAGTACAAAGCATCTAGCTATGCTTCAAATCTGTTGAATCACCCTGCAAGTTGCACGGCCGCAGGTACAGCACATGTTTTGTATAAAACTAAAGCGATAATAAGACCGGCGATGGTCCTTGCGCACCTCGTTTTCGACACCCTTTCTATCCTCAATCATAATGAACCTCTCGGCAGCTTGAGAAGGGAATGGAAAACATCGAACTCAAAATTACGACTTTCCTTCGTGTCTTCACTTCACTAGGACCAACCAAGACGGTCATTAAACGAGGTTGCTCCAATGTTCTACATGTGTCTGCCGAACAAGCGCAGATCGCAGCTAAAACTCGTCCTCCAGAAGACATCGCGGCTATGGGAATATGTACTGTAGATAGCCGCCCCCATGAAATTGAGAATGAGGCGTCTAGAAAGACTATTAAAGAGTATTCCGCCAATGAGGAATTTCTCTACTCTTTGTACGTTGCATGTACATGTACATGAACAGTACATGCAAATACATGGTGCCTCCCTGCTTTTGCGCTGGATGGAGCATGCGGTGCAAATTCTGGGCAGGGTTGCGGTGAAGAATCTTGAGCAACGGCGAACAGGACGTGGGTAGGTCGAACCCAGTTGCCATGCCCTGAGGTGAAGTCGAACGGCAGAGCTGGGGCACAATTAAATGAGATGGGGTTTTTCTTCCATTGCATTTCTACTATTTCTCTATGAATTTTCATCTTCACCTGAGGGCATGATCTATGATGATCGCAATTGATAGCGTGGCTACGCGCAATATGACACCTATTATTAGATGGTCTGTACCCTAAAAAAAAAAGGGGGGGGTTCTCAAATCGTATGTTTAGCCGTAGGTTAGGTCACCCACTGCACACTCTTATGAGAGATGATAATGTCCGACATACATGTTGCGGTGTACATATCCTTCGCTTTGAAAACAGTGTGAATTAGCCCCCAAATAAGAAATTGGCTCAGTGACTGTCCCTTTTTCATTTTGGCCAATCGACGTATCAGGGAATATATCCATGCGGTGAGCAGAAAAATGAACCAAAAAAAAAAAAAAAAAAAAAAAAAAAAAAAAAAAAAAATCCCCGAATGTTCACTCCACGACACACGGTGTGGTGTGTGGGCCCGGTGTAGTAGTCGTAGCCCCTGTAGAAGTATAAATCGTGTGTACCATCGCATCGCACAATGCAAGGGACTGTGCCACCAACGTCTCCATCAGAAGCCTCACTTGCAAGGGATCTCATACATATAAACCTTGAGAAGACTTACCTGACTTAACAAGCGGAAAACTTGCGCGACAGGGGAAATGCTAGATTTTTCGCAACTATTCAAAGTTGATATTAGATTAGTTGGCATTGTAAACGAGGGAAACCAAAACAGTGCTGCTGCCCTTGGAGTATGATCTTGACTCAAATATTCTGGGTCCTTGTCTAGGGAGTTTCATGGAGAGGGAGGGGTCATATTCAATTTCAGGCGGTTGCAAGTACCGCGTAAAAAGTTGTAATGCAAATTTTAAAAAAAAAGAAAAAGAAAAAGAAATGAAAAAAGAAATGAAAAGAAATGATAATGAACGGATTCTATGCAGCAGGGATTTGGCATAGGAATCCAGTGAATTGTCATGGATTGTCACGAACTGTTGCATCTCCCGCCGACCAGCTAATAATCATCTATCTCGCTCCGGCCATCATCATCAGCAATCCGTGGGGCGATGTGGGATTGAACCCCCCCAACCAGGGCGCGCGGAAGAATTCTTTCAATCAGCATGAGGGGCCAATATCTGACTATCTGAGAGTTAGCCGGGACACTAACCGTGTGTCTGGCTGGGCGTTGTTGTTGAATTACACGTCGGCCGGAGGCTCCGAGTAAATAACAGATGGAATAAATTCGTCCATACATACTATACTGCAGGTTATTCCACTTCTTCCCATATTGTCTGGAAGGCAACACAGCATATTCGCGACGACGACCATGTGGCATGTAACTAACTATCTTCGTAGTGTAACTAGTAACTAGTAACTATCAGGCCGACATCCGGCCAGCAGATCGCCCCGACGTCTTGGAATTTTTCTTTTCTTTTTTTCCTTCTGAAACGCCACCCATATATCATTTTTATATGATTGTATGCACAGAGTATGTATATATGTATATTATTAATTTTGCATGATCTTCGCTGTTGTAATATCAGCGGGGTTCTTCCTTCCTACGCAAAGGTAAAAACCCCCTAAGGATAGAGAAAAGGGCTATCAATGTGATACATAATGTATTAAGTATGGACAGGAGGGAGTGGTCGAAAGCGGTGAAGTCACCGCTACATTCTTCATTTTTACTTCACATAAATCGATCTTCGATTGCCCATGCCTCAAGATGGTTCAATCGCCGAGAAATAAATGCAGGACACCCCATCCCCCATGCGCAAACCCCTCTGCCACTTCGAGCTGAAATGACATCAACAAAGCGCCCGAATTTAGGAGAAATCTGCCGTCTAGTGGTCTGAAATTTTGTTTGCCCAACTGGAGTGTAAATACGCATGCCCAAAAAGCATGTAAAATGTTGACTTCTCTGCCAGTAGTAATCTTGCCCGCCCACTATCCCAAGGGATTATAACTGCTGCATGGTCTAAAAAAAAAAAAAAAAAAAAAAAAAAAATCCGATTGTTCAAAAAATGAGTGGGAAAGACGTTCTCCTGACTTCGAAGAGGCGACTGTATCCCAGGCTTGGGCCGTGATGAAGGCAGTAAGTATAAGGTGAACAAAGCCCGAAAATAAAGTTGCCTTAGTTCATCTCACGTTGGGTGAAAATCGCTCCGGCCAATCCCTTAAAGAACTACCTCCTGGATGCAGCTGGGAGAAACCCCGGGCGTTGCGGCTGTGTATGGGCGCTGGTGGCTGTTTACACATCGTTAGTCCGTCCCCAAAAGCAGTTCGCCAATGCAGTTCATGCAAATCATCACGGAACTTGCTGGAAGGAAGCGCAAACGCAAAAAAACTTGGGCAACGAAGGCCGGCTGGCTAGATGAGACACATCTTCCGTTCCCGGATTGCTGCGCTCTTTTATTCGTGCTGTTTCCCGCCCTCGCCCCAGCGTTCTCCCTATCACACTACCCAAGAAGCGTTCATGCGGCTGACGAACCGCTCCATCGCGGGTGCAGGGCTGGAGAAGAAAGCCTTTCGCAACCTGATAGTCCGTTAGTGACTCCCGCTCGGGTCGAACTGTGCAGCATTGTTGATGATTGGCGGGCGTGCTGGGGATGACCGCCGTGTTGCAACCAACAGCCGACGACAGCGAACGCCCCGGTTATCTGTGAGCCTTCGGGACGTCCCCATGACACAATGGCATACATAAGTTAAATGATTGCTTGACAGCAGCCGCTTGGGCCATAGTGAATTTTCAAATGCCCGAGTTCCCTACTCCCTTTGCCCGCCGAAAAGTTTTCTATCGCCTGATTAGAATTTAGTCCGCTGGAGATTCCGGGCGCGGGACACGGCCCAAAAACAATAATGGCGCTGCCTGATATCGCGCGATGGATGCTTGTTCGTGATCTTTTTTCTTCATTTGACTCTAGCTAGTTAACTAGTTAGCTGTTCCCGGACTTGGCTTGGACAACGGGATTGCTTGGTGACGACCTGGTTGTGACCCGCGCAGGGGCTTGGCTGTGAATTGGTGAAAGAAGGAAAAGAAGTGTATCAAATTTGACCGACAAGTAACTAACTTAACACAGGGACATGAAAAATGATTAAATTAAATGCAAATAAAAATTAACAAAATAATAACAACATGAATTATTCAGAGATAACAATGTAGTTTGATCAGATTGAATCATAACTATATTAATTAGTTACTTATTAATATGCAATAGTAGACTCAAAGGAATATGAATCACCAAACAAGATCAGTTCATGAACCACCCCCGCATCTATACAACCTCATTATAGATTACACAAGGGATGTTAACTGAAAAGCTTTTGTGAACTATTCTTCCCCAGCTCTTCTATGTACATGTAACATAGCACAACCTCCAGACGCGTCCATGAAAGCTAAATGTCAAAGCAACCACTCAGCAGCTGAATCACACTAACAAGCAATAGGATCAAGCAAAAGTTGATGATTGAAGTCAGGAACGATTTTGAAGGACCCAGACAAGATTTAGAGAGAGGCAGAATGTTGGCAGTTTGAATGAGAAGCCCCAATATATGCCATCTGGAACGAACTACATGTCATCCGGTATGGTATTACATGGAGAAAATATTAATGGCAGATAATGATTGAGCGGAAGGGGGCCACATGTTCGTTTGGAATGCATCTGCGATCCTTGCTCGGGGACTTCATCTTTCTCAGCAGGGTTTTCTATTTTTTTTATAAAAGAAGAACTGCTGGGGATGATTCTATCCTGTGCGGTGATGCATTGTCCCTTTAGGTTCTACGAAGAGTTCGCTTAACGGAGACAAATCGTTAAACACGGGTTGTACTGTATAGGAACGCTAATATCGTTCAGTTAGAACTCCGTGCTGGATCAAGAAATACATGCCTGTATCAAAAAGATCGAGGAATTGTGCTGCTCAATGGGAGTAAGTAATATCATTTAAGAATATGTTATATTGACTATGCAAAAACTCCTTGAGGCCAGTTGATCAATGTCGTATATATCTGCGCTTTTGAAGTGGCAAAATAAACACAAAAGTAAGTAAAGAGATAAATGAATGATATGTTGAAATGGTCTCCTGCAGAATGGTGATGTTGCAAAGTTATCTTCCTGCTGGAGGTGTCGAGAATGAACCAGTTTGGGACAAATAATATCTTAGCAGAATCACAATCTAGACCAGGGGAGAACTGTAGTTGTGATATCATTCATTGATATTATCAGAGAAATATCTGTAAATTGCAATCAATAATCAATATGATATATCTTGATGATGCTGGCTTTAAATAGTTAATTAAGCCCTACCGTAGCGTAGCCTCGGCCAATCCAGCCACCGCCCAGCCTGGATCGTACCAAAGGTTCAGCCAGCATAAGCTTGGCATTGGGGCCCAGGATCTGGCGAACTAGGCTAGATAGATTAGTTACCTCGGTTAATTGCTAACTTACCTAACCTAACTACAATATCTCCACCACAACTTAACTTAGTGTGCGCACACTTCCCCAAAAAACCCAACATCACTGGCCGGCTGGCGTAATGGCTAACGCATCCGTTTCCGGTTCACCGGATTCACGTCCGACTTTCCAGTCTGCGGAAGATTGCAGGTTCGAGTCCTGCGTCGGTCGATTCTTTTTTGTTTTATTTTTGTTTTATTTATTTTTATTATTTTCCTGATTTCCTCCGTATCATCCTAAAAAAACCCCGTCGGATTTCCAACCAATTGTTGCGATTATAAAGGGGCTAGAATCGATAGTTACTATTATTATTTAAACCAGAAAAAACCAATATGATCGATCACTCGTCGAATTCGAGCCAAGGATGACGGATCTAGACTTCTCGTCACTCTCGCCTCGTTATTATGTATATACCATACCACAATATAGTATCTACACTTATGGAGTTTTTTTGTCTTCAGGGGTTGCCTTTGTAACGATTGTGAAGGGCACCGGTGTTTCAGGCCGAAAGAAGGATATGTATGTACATGTACATGGTCTTGACTTGATTGGGCGGATTTCCTCCTGTTGGCAGCATGGATTCATCATTGATTGCTCGTTTCTGTCGTTGGAGTTATTTTTGGCTGTGATTACCTGGGAGGTGAGGCAGTATTCCCCAATGAATAAGGGGCTTCACATTTATGATTATATATCCCTTGTATTAATAGGGTTCAGCAACGTTTGGCCCAAAGGGGTCTGCACAATCCATAGGGTATGATTATTCGGGCAGATATAGGGCCGAATAATTCACTATGGTCATTTTGATTTCCGCCTCCTTCCAGTTCAATCACCTTGGTCAAGGGGCGGTAGACGCCCGACAGAAATACCTCTTGTGTTGAGGGAAAAGAATTCGTAGCTGGAATGAGAGGTGGAGGGAGGTGCCTCCGACGTATGGTGCCTGAAGGAAGGGAATGTTTACTGTGCAGTGTCATTGGCCTGTCCCGTCCTAGGGTGCATTTGTAGAAGCTCATGCTTATGTAGAGCATGACCACCGTCGACGGTAACCCAGCACCTGACGAACCAGTGGAGCACTGGCAATGAATGAATGGCTGCTGAGGATTCCAGAGGAATTCGTCGGTGGCAAATATATTTTGAACCAGCTGACCATGATAGAAGATCACCCTGCCACGCCTCTTATTGCTGTCATTATCGGCTTGATAGTACTATTAATATCAAGAGTAGTTTTTAAAGCAAATTTTCAACGGAGCGGAATGTCAACGAAGTAATAATAATAGTAATAATAAAACATAAAGCTACAATTTGCAACATGTTATATATTACCATCAGAGGAATATGAAATATTATAACAGTCGCAATCGCAAAATATTTCTACTCCAGAATTTCCAAACTGCCATGGTCGTAAAAGAGTTGAACGAGCCCACCTTTGGTTAGAGTCCACGTTTCCACCAAGAGAAAGAACTTTGATACAAGCCTGGGGAACGTGGAGTGTCGAGACGTCATCATCCGATGGGCGAACCAATATTTTGGGAACGGCAGGAGGCAGCCATTGCGGTTTGCTGACTTGTTTGTGCATGTCAAGACGAGGCTTCTTTCCTGGTGCAGGCCAACCCTGCAGGCTTTTTGGGGGGCTTGGGAATAAAAGTGACAAATTCATTCGTGATGAGGTGGACAAATCACGCAGTTGGTTTCCGGATAGTGCTAGACGAGCATTGCGAGAACGGAGGGCGTCAAATCAAATGCGGCAAAATCAAAGTATCCATGATTCCACGAACCGAAAAAAACTTGACATCATCCCTCGAGCGGGGGTGGAAGCGGATGAGGTGGAGGATGATGTTGATGATCGCCCCAACGAACACCATAGCTAGCCAAAAAGTGTTTGCAGACGTGAAAGCACGAACCATGAAGGTTAAAATGTGGAATCCCCGATACGTTGTCACCAGTCTCAACGATGCGGAAGCAAATTCCTTCTGACATCCGCTCCGCCACCGTGTCCACGTTGAGGATGCTCTCCATACAGCCTTGACAGAACAGAGCGAACTTTCACCAGTCCATTTTTCATATGACAGCAGTTCGCGCCATCCCACCAGCGTAAGGTCTAGCGCACTCGAAAACAACCTTGTTAGTTGTCAAAGTGCGTTGATGGTGCCACGCTTTTGGAACCTGACTCTCAATTCGTCAGGCAACAGGGAATATGAACCAGAACAGGGGGAACATGCATCCCGTCTGTTGGATTTCCGACATGTCCACCTCGGAGGATTGGGTGGAAAGGCTCGGAAGGGGAAAAAAGGAGCCTGTATCTTTAATCCAGCTCATCATCCAAAGCTCGACAATTTCAAGATATCGGCAACTTTTGTCCGCCCTCCCATTTTTTGTTTTGATTCAAAAAGTATGCATCATTACCATAGTGAGGCTGCACCAGTCTACTCATGCACATGTAAATGCTACTTGAGAACTAGCAACATGCTTTTTCTTTTTCTTGAGCGGCGGCGGTGGACCAGGCCCTCGTAAAAAATAATAACAACAAATAATGAGGCATGAACTGGCTTTCCCGGGACAGAGATGATGTGAAAATTTGAACGGCATGTATGTAGGGTTTTGAATAATAATAGATGCCCAACGAAGCCATGCAGGATCGGTATAGTACATGGCCGAACCTGATCCACAGTCCCACGCTATTCAATTACCGTGAGGCGGTTTCTTACGCAGAGACCGAGCGATGAAGAGAACCAAAAGGCGAGAGCGGTCAACCCTTAGACATACATATGCGTGATACCGCTGATCACGGTTGAGGCGGGAAAGGGTTTTGGAAGGCCAATTGCACCCTTAACTCGTGGGAAGGAATTTTGTTAAAATCAGCCAAATACTGTTTTGTGCGCTGCTGCACGTCCTGGCCTCTCTCCTTGGTATTCTTGGTGAGTTGGCCTTAGTTCTCATATGCTCCAAAGGCGGTGAACGGTTGGACGCCATTGGACCGCCAGGGCGAGAGTAGGGGAGTCGAGAACCTTGAGAATCGAAGGGGCCTGTCACGGAGCTCTCTCTTCCATTCTTTGTTTGTGAACAAGGCTCATCCACACAATAAACGGGTCCTTTGGTGCCTGAAAGGAATTGATGTTCTCACCAGGCTCTTTTCTTCTGGAATCCTGGAAATTCGAGCAAAACCAAACGACGTCACTGTAAAAGAGGAATCTCTTCACTCCAACTAGGTATGGAGATTCCAGATAGATAACTGGCTCATAACACACACTTGAAAATACCCATGTACTGATACATCCAGCCCCCCGGATGTTGTTCGTAGGAGGAGTGGTCGTTTGTCTGAACCCCTCACGATAGTTTTGGATGAGTGGTTGGGATTTGGTGCTCGGGCCGCAGCAACACACGGTCATGTGATTGAGATCGCTGATTAAGAAACCACACAGCAGGGTCGAATACTTGCTCTCAGCTTTAGGGGAATATACGTGGATATAAAGATATCAAAGCAAATACACGCTCTTTCGATGATACACCAGGTAAAAATATACACCCTCAATAGAATATAATAAATTATGCCGCGAAATATACCTTCTCCGACAAGGCATGAGATCTCAACAACCTGCTGAAATGCACAATGCCAACCAAAACGCCAGACATAAATGCAGCGTCAAGCTAGAGCGTAGAGAGTACTCCGCACACCCCGAGCGACATAGAATGCGACCCCCGAGTATCCGCTGAACTGAGGTAAGAAAAATAATAGGGTGAGCAAGCACATCCACCCATAACCATACCAACAACCACTTGATTACTAACTAGAGACCAACAATCACCGAAATAAAAGCGCGCTCAATGCTGCCTCGGTCTACCTCTCTTTGCACCAGCCGGTGCCTGCACAGGTGCTTCTACAGGTACAGAAGTGGGCTCGGCACTTTCACTCTCACCCTCCTTGTTCTGGGGAACACACCCCTGGGTAAAGAAGAGCGCAGCGGGTTTGTCATAATCATTGGCAAAACTATAATTATTTCCTATAATCCCCACGTCAACAATGTCAGAAGTTAATATTGCGATTTACAATGGTAGCAAAATTGACTGGCAAGAATAGTAGAAGGTGGAGGAAACAGGAACGTGAAGAAAAATGTTGCGGATACTAACCTCGGGGAACTTGAAAAACGCACCCCTTTCCAGCGCTGAATTGAAGTCCTGACACATCAACCCGTATTCGGCCGTGGTAGACAAAAAAAACCATGTGCATTTTCTTAGAGTTCTTTTGTCTTTTAACAGCGCCAGGGGGCATATCAACAAATCCAGAACCTAGAAAAACGTTGTTGAGTATTTTCGCGAATCGGAATGTGGAATCCTTCACTTCATGCGTTTCTATTGCAGAAGGAGCAAAGGCAACATCTATACCCAAAATTTAGTAAAAGTAGCCCTTCTATTGAAGCTATTTCAAACGGAGGCAACACACCTATCATTTCCTCTTCCTGCGTGGCGCTCTGGGTTTTTGGATCCCACTTCTTTACTGGACCGTAAAACACCCCTTCTTCCGTTTCCCATGGCTCAGCGTTATCTATCTCATCCTCATCATCAGATGGGTCGTCCTTAGACCTTTTGGATTTGGACTTGGATTTAGATTTCTTCTTGGATGACTGTTTCCCTTTCCTGTCTACTCTCGTATCCAGCTCTTCTGTTCGAATGATTTCTTTAATCGTCGATAATGGGAAGCGTTGTCCAACTTCCGCAGACCCATCTCCATACACACACCGTTCGTTGCGCCAATACGCAAGTGGGCGTACTGATACCCGACCAGAGCGGGTATGCCTTGCGGATTGATCTGAGGGCGTTTCTCTTTTAAGTATATATAAACTTCGGTTTTTCAGTGGTCCATTTCGGTTTGTGATGTTCTCCACAACTGAATTTAGCTCCTGTTCTTGTTCAACGGACATATGAAGGTTGGATCGTCCCTTTGAACCACTTGTTTTCGCTCTCTTGGGTGCTCTGGAGCCATCTGCGTCCTCCTCGACATCATGATCTACTTCTGTAGTTGCGGCTTTGGGTTTTCTTCCTCGTCGTTTTGGTGCGGGCTTAGCTGATGCATTAGGGGCTGGCTCCGAATCCGCTTCACGTTCTTGTTGTGTCCTGGTTGAAGATTTGGGTTTTGATTGAGCATTCTTGCGCTTCCTCCCCACCGTTTTCGCAATTATTGAAGGTGAAGGTTCGCTTCCGGTATCCTCTGGGTCCTCTGGGTCTTCAACTGGTGCGTCATTCTCATCGTCGTCATCATCTTGATTCTGAGGGTTTGGTGAGTCTCCATCTACATTATCGTAGCCTTCGTGATAATCTCCGTGCGACTCTGCAAAGTGGGTATCCTCCGCTTCATCATCCATTAAATGATTGCCGTCATCCGAGAAGTCCGCAGGTTCGTCAGCTTCTAAAGGCATATCGGGAGGCGACCTGGCCAAGCGTGGCGCATGAGAAAAGTCAAGAGCACGCTTGGCTGATGGCCGTGCAGAAATAGGGCTGGAGGATGGGCCATAATGGGCAACAGAGGACGACCGGATCCCTGGAGTTCTTCTCGGGGAACCGGACATGTTTGATTTCATCGGGGAGCGCGATCGAGGAGGCAAAAGCAAGGGATTTCGTTGCACACGTCGGCCTGAAAGTACGTCAGCCGGTTCCGGGATGCTACCTAGAGTGAAATGAGTATATAGGATCCATCTTTGCACAGCAAACGTTATTGAACCCTAGTGAACCCTCTGCGTTTGTTGAGGAGGGGGATGGGGAGGGGAACGTACTATCTCCGGTTTCCATATCCTCTGAGTTTAGGGTATCGTTTCCGTAGCCATGGCCATTAGTCCTAACTGGGGATTTCTCCGGCGATGAGAACATCCCCTCAATCTCTTCCATGCCATGTTCATCGAGTTTCCCTTCCTTTAAGGTAATGCCCGTGCGCCTAATAGGAAGATACCAAAAACTTAGTAAATATTGTCGCAGTTTGCGCGCATTCCCGCAATGGCAATCCAGCTTCGAATCTCGAGAATTCAAGTACTTACCTTCCAGCCTTACCCACATTGGAGTAGTCGAAGTCGCGAGCTTTTGCAAGTCCTCGAGGTGGCATATTGCAGAATTGTAATGGTTTGTTGAAGATTTAAAGTCGGGAAAGCATAATATGTCCGCGATCAGCAGCGATGGCCCAAGAAGCAGGAGATATTCGGCAGCGACAATGAAAGTGAAAGGGCTCCGCTCAACACAGATATATATTCCCCTGCGTCGTTGTTGTTGTTGTATATGGTGCTGCTGGGCCTTGTTGGTCCGCCGTGGGAGGGGAGCATAATGCCGTAATAGAGCCAACGCGAATAAACGGCACTAATCCCGGTCTGGGGGACGCGTGTTATTTAGCTAAGCAACGTCACGTCTCCTTTTACTCTGTACTCTGTACTCTGTACAATGAACGGAGTATACAGATCACTGACCTATGATAAAGACAGACATTGGCGAAGTAAAAAGAGCCCTGAATACCAGCCATACAACAGGAATAAACACCATCGCCTCATTCCTCACCTTCCTCAATGGATAGTCAGGATTCCCCCAGCAGCGTACCCTTTATACCGCCATCAATACACGCTTCTACCCTCCTAGCTGGAGATTCATACACACATTACTCACCGTGTCCGCCAGTCATAACCCCGTCAACAACACCCTTAACATCCTCAAAAGACTCAATTGAACCAACCCCATGCGTTCTCGGTGTTGACGAAGCTGGCAGGGGCCCCGTTCTGGGCCCCATGGTTTACAGCGCATTCTACCTCCCACTATCACTCCACCACTCCCTATTAGCAGAAGAGCATCACTTCGATGATAGCAAAGTGCTCACTCCCGCCGTCCGATCAAACCTCATGCACCTCCTCTGTAGCCCCGACAACTCTTTGAGCACATCCTGCGGCTGGGGGGTCAAGGTGATGTCAGCACGAGACATATCTGCAGGCATGCTTCGACCTCGCACAAGAAACTATAACCTCAACGCACAGGCCATGGATGCAACAACAGAGCTTATTCGCTGTATTGTCGAGGAGAAGGGAGTTAACGTGAGAGAGGTATATATCGACACTATTGGGAATCCAGAAACATACCAAAGGAAGTTGGAGCGGGTATTCCCCTCGCTAAAGATTACGGTGGCCAAGAAGGCGGATTCGCTGTATCCCTCTGTCAGTGCAGCGAGTATCTGCGCAAAAGTTACGAGGGACGTGGCGTTGGAGATATGTTATGAGGCTCTGTTGAAACAGCGGGATACCGTGAAGCAAGACAGCACGACTGAGGGCTGGGGTAGCGGCTATCCTTCTGATTCCAAATGTGTTTCATGGCTCAAGAATGATATGGATACATTATTTGGATGGGGGTATGAATGTCGATTTAGTTGGGGGACTGCGAGGGAACTACTCGAATCAAAAACAGGGGTCAGAGTGGACTGGCCTGTTGAGGAAGACGAGGAGGCGCAACGGTTAACTAATTTCTTTTCAATTTCGGCAACTAGGGCTGGGAATAATGAGGAAAATGACGAGTTACGAGATTGGTACGGCCAAAGGCCTCAGGAGATATTTTGAAAACGCTCAAAAAATTTGATATCCCATTAATACTCTATCGCTTTAAAATGGCGATATAATGACAAATTATAACGGAGGAACCCTTTTAGGTTTGCCTCTTCATTAAAACGAAAAAGAAATGATGCATCCCGCACATTGTAATGCTCCCCTATAATACACACGTAGCCCGTTCTCTATAATAAACCAAAACAAAAGGGGAATTGCCATAAACTAGGAAGTTGAAACCTCAGACTCTTGAATAACAAAGGGAAAGATTCTCGGATCAGAGAGTGGCTGTTGGGAAGTAATAAGTATCCCAGAGATATTGGTAGTCTTCCACAATACCTCCGATCAATCCAATTAATGGCTTGCCTTCTAGTCTCTTAGCAAAACTTTGCAGCCAAACCCTGCGCACACAATATGGTAAGCATCCGTAAACAATTTCACACTCAGTGGCGCATAAGGAATTGAACAAGACCAGAACGTACTTCGTAATATTTTCATAAAACGCTCCCCTCATCACCCACCAGCCCATTGCCCAACCCCGTTTCCGAAGCTCCTCCTTCTCTAGAGCCGTCAAGGCCCGTAAACCGCCTGCAACTCTTTCTCGGAAATCCTTCTTCGCAAGTTGTCTGCATCCATACTCCATGCCAAAGCCAATAAGCCATGGAGTCCAGCTCTTCTTATTGTTGCGCCATTTCTGGAGGGCTAGCGCGTAGATCAGTGGGCGAATGATATACAGCACCTCAGCGAGTTGGCCCTGCCCGGTAACTCGATGAAGAAGACTTTTCGGAGGCTTTATATCATCGGCTGTAAGGACTCTAGATATCAGATAATTTGAAATGTCGCCAACATCCGGCAAAGTCGGTAGCGATAGGCCTGTCCTTGGCATCGTCCAACTTAAGTCTGAAGCTGATCCGCTTTCGCTATGAAGGGACGACTTATCATCCCACAGGTTATTACTCTCTTCTTCTTCCTCAGGGCTTCTTGGATCTACCTCCCTCTCCGGTAAAGGTGGAGAAACCAATGGTCTAGAGTTCGTGAGACGGAGTAATATCAATCGACATAATGCCTTCACGCCCTCGATAAAAACGATCACGCGCCAGCGGATTTTTTCTCCACGACGGCGGGCTATCATTTCCCAGAGTAATTCTGTATATTGAATCATCTGTAAGGTCAAGGCTACCCGTTGGTAAAGTGAGGAGCGCGAAGACCAATATTTAGTATATCGCGCATGTGGAGTAGGGTTAGGACGGGTAATGGTCGCAGGAAGCCGGGAAATAACTCTTGAAACGAGGGAATCATGGTATAACGATAGAAGCTGAACCCCAGAATGAACTATATGACGTTAGTTTGCCAAATGCGCTCATAGTTCGTGAGCCTGGTGCATAAAGGGGGGGGTGATGACGTACGGGACTCAGAAGCAAGCTCAGATTCTCGAAAACGTCCTAGTAGAGAAAATTATAGGTTAGCCAACGTTCGAGAACACAGACCCATCCGCGCATCCGCGCAACAACAGAAAGGATACTGGGCCCATACCTGGAATGATGTATGACAAGGATCGGAGGGTGGATTCGATTTGGCTGATGGAGCTGGAATTTTTGGTTACAAATTCTTCATACAGTCCTTTCAGTTTCCTCGGATGAGATAGAGCCGCTGGGAATCGACTGCAGTCCTTGTTTAAGGGCTCCATCGCGATATGACAGTGAAGCGTCAAGGCAGACACTGTCAGATCTGCCAAAAGGGTGGTTGTCGAGTAGTGTTGGTTGCGGGTGGTTGATCGGCACCGGAGAGGGATTCCACGTGACGCGCTATCAACAGGTGGGTGCCGAGGCATTCGGAGAGCTTTCCAGCGCAGACAAGGTATCAGAAACCTTAGATTCTCCAAACAGGTTCGGTTTTCACCTCAAAACTGAATGAAGACCACCGCAGGTAGTAGTTAAAATTTAGATGTACTTTATAATTAACGGTGTTTTCCTTATTATTATAATAAATGCCCCAGCAACAATATGGATAGCAAACAGCCGGATGTAGCCATTACATATGTATATAGATGCACTTCACAACTCACTTATTCATCAGCAAACTTCCACAAACCCCCTGGCCGCATCGCCTCCTTGTATCTTTCCGCCAGCTTCTCCTGCTCAGCCATCCTCGCCTCTTCCCGATCACGCTCCAGCTCTTGCGTACTAGGCATATCCGTACGCCAGAACCCAGGCGGCGAACGCCATCGTTCATGAACGTGTCGGTGTTTTCCAAACTGATTGGCAAGATGTCTCGTTCGCGCATCAAGAAGCAACTCCCGCAGCTCTTTTTCCGTCATTGTCTCTAAGACGTTTCTATTGTCGCCCAAGTATTCATCCAGAACTTGTCGGTCCTCCTGGTCTAAATCCTCCAGAGATACATCGTTATTACCGGCTGTCCCGAATCCCTTGAGCTTTGCCATGGCGCGGAAACCTTTCCCACAGCATTGTGGGCGGATGCAGCCCGGGAGGCATTTCCTCAGGTCCTTCCTGCGAACTACCTCATCGAATGCATAATCAAGTCCCTGGTTTCTTTCTGGGTTGAGTTTGAAATGTTCGAATCCGAGGCGATGAAGAGGTCTAGCTCGAAATGGTTCATCTTCTGGTGCCACCTCGTCGTCGGCTCGAGGCTGATGGGGTCCGGCAGAACTGCGTAAACTCCGCGAAGTTGGAGGAGGGGGCTGTCGCCCGGATCGGGCCCTCTTCTCGATACCCTGCGGCCGAGCAGTCCGGGGAGTGATGGACCTTGCCGAAATCTTACTTGGGGTTCCAAGGGGTGAGTTATCCGAAACCTCAGGGTTTCGAAAGGGGGAGGCCAGTATTGGTTGTGGCCGTGGCGCACCTTCTAGAAGATCTTCGAGGCGACCAGCAGCAGGGGATTTCGATATCTCAATTTTAGAGATCGTGTGCAGTTTTCCAGTATGAAGACCCGTATTCGCTCTCTGACAACTCGCTTCTTCTCCATCTTCTGCCACTAAATGCACTGGCTCAACACCTCTAGGTTCATACCGTCTTTGTTTGGCCCCTTGATTCGGGGTATGCCCGTCTCCTTGTTGAATAGAAGGAACATTGGCATTCACCGGCTGAAGGGCTAAGCGGCGCTTGGTTCCCGCTAATGGCCGCTGATCCAAATTTGGTGGCTTTATTCTGACATTTTCTCGCTCATCAAAGGCAGGAAAACGATTGTCTGATTGTTGAGCAGGTGGACTATCAGCATGGTCCCTTGGTATAAAATCAAATTTGCCTTTTTCGCGGGTACTCAGATCTAAACAGTCATCGTCGCTATCCCCCTCGATATCGTTATTATTGTTTGTCCTATGGGTCCTCTCAAGAGGGCTACTTGACGTAGGCTCGCTTTTCACAGTAACAGGTGTGGTAAAACTGCCAGTCTCGTGGAGGCCTGCGGCATTATTCAACACTGGATGTTGATTTCCCCTCCCCCTCCCCTTAACTGGCCTTGACGAAACGAAAATCGGGGTCTCGGCGGGGGGAGAACTTGGAAATATATGCGGCTCGACAGCGTATCGGGGATCTTGTGTTTGGGTTGACATTATATCCGAGGAGCTCAGCTCTGAGGAATGCTGCTGAAGTGACTCTCCAGTAACGCTTCCCGCTCGGGTGTTTGGACTGGGTAGGGTGGGTAATTGGGGTTCTCGCGCCTTTTCCAATGTTCCAATGGCCGTATTCTCCTCGACCAGACCGTTTTCATGCATGTGGGGTTGGCGTATTTGACCCGGAGATCCAAGTGTAGATATACCGGGTGTAGATACGGCTTCATTCTGTCCAGGACGATGGTGTCTCACTGGGCAATGAGCCGCAATTGTATTGTCCCTCCGAAAAACAGTCTTTTTCCCATGAACGTAAACATCAAATGTATCGCGTTCGAAGCATTTGTTCCACAAATTGACCTTGCTTTTGCAACTCCTCAGCTTCTTCTTCACTGTGAAGAAGGATTCAATTAGGCTAGCATTTTCTTGAAAAAGTTGCTCATAGCGCTTCGCTAGACTCGCATAATGTTCGTAAGAAATCGTTTCAGGTTTCTCTGCTGTACCCCCGAGATCATGAATAACCGAATGTGGAGCATATTGCTGTCTGTTTTCGAGTAGCCTTTTCTCTACTTCATCAACAGAGTCAGTGTCAGTCGTTTCAATAGCTTCGAGCTGTCGTTGCAAGTCTGAATTCTCCGTTTCCAAAACTTTAATCTGCTTCGCATGCTCTTCGAGCTTTGTTGCCAGCTCCACATTCTCTTGCTTCCATTGTCGACATTGGTTGATGAGGCCGCCAACCTGCTCTGCAAGATTGCTGAAATCACCTCCCTCCATTGGGGCTTTCTCAGAGACAATAGCGAATAATGGAGGTGATCATAACTCCCAGCTGTTAGGGCGCCTGGAGAATAGTTGGTCCCCAGAAAACGTATTAGAATATTGCAACGCACTGGGACTTAAAGCAATTAGACCAACCCCCGTTCCACGGTGGTGGTGCACTGTTTTCGGAGGGAGCCCGAAAGACGCGCTTGGAGCGCGTGCAACCAGAACGATATCACGTGGCGATAAGTCTGCGCCGATAAGAGGCGCTCGCCAAAACCAACTTCCAGCACCATCGCACCCAGTCAGACAGTGAATCGATATATGTATTGGTAGTCTGTCTTTTTTATGGATTAACGTATTTGAATTCCTTTTCGTCCCCGTAAAATGTCGAAACGTCGCCTTGACGACGTCCAAACAGCAAATGCGCCGCCGGAGAAGCGAGTGCGTGCTGACGATTCTCGAAAGAAGGATCTTCTATCAGGACTGAGCGATGAGCTCATACTTCATATCCTGAGTTTCCTACCTACTCAGTCGCTGAGTATATGCCAGAGGTACGCTCTACCTATTTATACCATGTTCTGTCCATCTTGGTAATGATCATCCTAACACTTGCGTTTTGAAAACCCGCACCAGATTATCACATCGATTCCATGGACTCGCCGGCGATTCGGAATTATGGAAGCAGAAATACTACTCGCGCTGGGTATGGCCTCGAGCCCGCCGTATTCGTCATCTTAAGGACTCGGGCCTCGCCTCCAGCACCACGCCCAGGCCTATTGGATATACCCCAAGGCCGTCGAGGTGGATTGGCCATGAACATTTAGCTACGAATCTAGAAAATACGGATTGGAAGAAACAGTATCGTTTGCGGCATAACTGGTCCAAAGGGTCTTGCCGGGTCACTGAAGTCGAGGTCGCACAACCGTCGGTCCCGCCGGTGTTAGTGAAACTATGCAAAGGGGTAGTGTTCACAGCCGATGCGGGTAATGGGCTTCGCGCGTGGACTACTGGAGACACGAAACTGTGTCTGGCTAAGTTGTCATTTTCTGATATGAGGGAAGGGAAGGGCTCCTGCAGCGCACCCACGGCGATTTCCGTGACGGCAGAGGATGGCCCCCATGGCGATTTCGAAGTCATTGTTGGATTCGAGGATGGGAGTTACAGCGTATATTCTTTAAGCTGCGACAGTGCGCGTTTCCATTTCCGCTACTCACATCCCGCATCATCGAATGGCGCCATTACTGCTCTTGCATCATCATCCTCGTATCTCTTTGCACTATCCCAGAACCAAACAGTGTCTCTCTACCGATTTTGTGCTTTTGCAAAGGGGAAGGGGGAAGTCCAAGAACAAACGATGAAATCGCCAACGCTAATCGCCTCCCTTAAAGCCCACAATATATACGCACCACTTTCGCTCTCCATCCGGTCATTAGCTACCGAAATCATTGCATCCATAGTATATAGCTTCCCCCGAATAGGTTGCGGATGGTCAGTTGGGCTGCAGGAACTCCGACTAAACCATGATGGTGAAAACCTAGGAAGCCGGCTCGCAACCACGGTCGATCTCCAATTCTGCGCCAGCCCCTTTAATTCCCCGACAATAAAAATACTAAATAACAGAGGCAACGGCAAAACGCGCCATAATATCCATAGAAACAGCGGTAAAAATGACTCCATCGTCATCAGTACTTCCTCCGCGCCCCTTAGCCCATGTCTCTCATACACACAACCGCCCACCTCGATCTCATACAGCCATCCATACCTCCTCACCTCCCACGCGGACAACACGTTGACGATGTACCTCGTCGTCTCCACCGCTGACGCGCTCATGATCAAAACGGGGCGTCGGCTCTGGGGGCACACGTCCTCGGTATCTGGCGTGCAGGTGAGTGAGCGTGGGAGGGCAGTCTCCGTCAGCTCGCGCGGTGGCGAGATTCGTATTTGGGAACTGGAGGATATGATATCGTCGTCGTTTCCCTCGGCGCGGATGGTGCGCAGAGATAGTAGTGTTCAGATCAGCGCTGAGAATGAAAATCGTAATGGAAATGGAAACGACGAAACCAGTGCGGATGCGGATGCGGATGCGGATGCGGATACGGGGCGGTGGAAAAGACGGCGGTTACAGCAACCTTTGGAGCTAGTTTCTGAAGCCATTGAGCGGCGCGGGGATGGACTAGGGCTTGCGCTGCAGGATGTGTCGAGGGAGCTGGCGTTGGCGGCACGAATGAGGGGGTGGGTGGGATTTGATGATGAGCGGGTTGTGGTGCTTCGTGAGCGGGAATTGGGGACGCAGTTGCTGGGTTGTTATGACTTTACGTAGAAGGATTGTCGCTTTTTAAGTTCATATTTAGCTGAATCAGATGGTAAATTGAGTCTGATAGTTATCTATCTACTGCGTAGATTCATAAATAGCTCCTAGACTTCAACATACGTAGTAAGCACGTGTACCTGCACATGTACATGTGCATGGGCCCCTCAGGAAAAATATCTTGCTTTTTTAATAGACGGTTTATACAGCTCTCGTCCTCTTCTCGTGGCCGGTGGGTGTCCTTTGCTCACGATTGTACAGGACAGACACACCACGTACAGTCTTAGGACTCCAAATGTTCAAAACTCAGACGAACTTCCACGGAGCTTTCTGTATATCTATCATCTAGGTGTACAATATGAGTGGACATGTGTCCTGGGCCATTCCTGCCTCTCTGCTGTCTGATGAGGGGGATGTTTGCAGTCCTAGAAGTAGAAGCTAAAAAATAGAATAAAAAGTTAAAAAGTAGGTATCCATGTATAGGTGGTAACTAACAACAATAATAATAGAGATAACCTGGTTCGTCATGAAGGCGATCATCGGCGGCTCGAGCTTCCTTCTCCCTTCCGTGCAGCTACGACGGACACCCAGTTCTGCCCTGAGTCTTCCCCTGGTCTAGCTCCTCTTAACGGATGCCACATATGGGTGGAATAGGCGTCATGCAGATTGCACGAGGGTGGGGATAGAGAGGAATATACATAGATATAAATAGAGTAGAGAAGAGAAGAGAAGATAGCGAGATAAATAGAGAGACAGCCGGGACCTTGGGGGCAGCGAACACGGAGGGAGACAGCGAGAGGGGGGACCTTGGGGGGAAGGGGAAGGGGTTGTTGAGCTGTAGTTATTAGCGTCAGGATAAATAATCAGGGTGTTCTAGTATAAATATTATATATATATATATATATATAGTATAGTACGCCCCCAGTTTCTCTTGCTGGATTGTTTTGTTTCTTCTTCTTTTTGTTTCTCTTCTCCTTCGTCTTCTGTTAATTTTTGGTGGGACAGACAAGACATGGCTGACAGACATCGCAATCCATATCACTACTACCACTCACTACCCACCAAGATGGCCTTGGGCCAGTTGGAAATTGAGTGGGAGATTGAGTGGGAGATTGAGATGAAGACGGCGAACAGAAATGAATAAATATCTAACATACTGAGTATCTAGGTGTTTCTGATAGGGGATTGTTTCTCATTTTGCAGCAGAAAATGAGAGCTTACTGCTGCTCAGTAACTACTTGTGCAACCCAACCGTGAAACTAATATTTGTACATGTACATACAAAATAGAGCTGACATGACAGGACCGCTATTTGAACCGACCAGGATTGAACAGGAGATCCTATTGTGGAGAGAGAAAGGGATTTTTATTATTCCCTTCAACAACTATGTTATTGAACAATAAAATATTATAATAATGGCTCCCGACTAACAAAGCCGCGGGTCCAGTGACTTCGTCGTCCTTGGGGCCAGCCGCAGTCCGTCCAGTCCGTCTTCTTCTTCTCTTCGACATCATCCAGACAGACAATCAATCAATCAATCAATCAACAACCACCACCCACTACCACCACCACCACCACCACCACCACAGCAGCAGCAGCAGCAGCGGCAGCAGCGGCAGCAACGTCTTCGTCTTCTTTTATATTATCTCTTCTTCTTCCTCTTCCTCCTCTGACGATAATCCTCTCCGCCAACTATTGTGACGGTACGTATTATTGACCCTCCGCTACCTAGCTCTAGCGGGCTGGCTTATTTTTGGCCCCTCGCTCGCTTGGAGCCACCGCCGTTTTCAAGCTTTCCCCGCATCGCACTGTCCGGCATTTTTGACATTTTTTTGCCTTGTGAGAGGGGCGATATTTTTTCGAATTTTTTTTCGAATTTTTTTCTTTTTACCTTTTTTTTTTCGCTTTTTTAAAAGATTTTTCCAAATATTTTTTCTTTCCCGGCCTTGCTGCTGACTTGGGTCCTGACTGACAAACCTTTTACCCTATATTTTTTGCCCCAAGGAGCAAATAATCGACATAAAATTTTAAACCCTCCCCCCCTCTCAACCTCCTCCTCCTCGTCGAACTTTCAACCCAGATCGATTTACAATACTCGATTTATTCTCCGGTTCTTTCGATTACCACCAACCTTTCATCTCCCCCCTTTCAGTCCTTATCTATAAAAGAGAATACTTTTTTTCTAAGTCGCCAAAGATGGATTACCAGTCAGGTAGCCGTGGATGCTTCAATTGTGAGTCCGCCTCTTAATCGCTGCGATTACAACCTTTTTTTTTATGTGGTTTGAAATTTTATTTGTGGCCGCGTCGGTTGTGTAGGTTGGCTGGAACTGTTTCCTCTGCACTATTTGTCCCTCCAGCCCTCACTTGGCCGTTTAATGTCTCTGCGGGACTTGTCCAATATCGATCGAAATAATTATCCAGGCGATCTGCGATATCTCCCCACGCGCAAGGCTCCGTTTTTTTGTTTTTTTTTTTTTGTTTTTTTGTTTTTTTGTTTTTTTGTTTTTTGTTTTTTGTTTTTTATTTTTTTATCGTTCTTGCACTTGGAAATGTTATTCCCAACTCGCAGTCGAGTGCTTTTTTGGTCTTAACCCATGTTTACTAACACCCATCTCCGTTATAGGTGGCGAGGCCTCTCATCAGGTTAATATGTTTTGCGCCCTGTGGATTCGTGGATGGCATTGATTTTTGTTTTTCTCCCCTCATTAGGCTCGTGATTGCCCCAAGAAGGGAACTCCTACCTGGTAAGTCATTCGACATCTTCTCCTCCTTCTCCTCCTCATCATCATCTATCCCTGTTTCATGTCTAACTCGATTTTCTTCCAGCTACAACTGTGGTGGTAAGTCGCCAAAACCCAGGTTTCATTTATGAAGAAGATTTTAATCTGGTTGTGTTTTGTGCTATCAGGACAGGGACACGTCAGTAAGTATACGCACCCAGTGCCCCCATTCCTCATATGACAAACCCACACGGAATCCATCTAACGCAATTTCCCTATTCTAGGCCGTGAATGTACTGCTGCCCCCAAGGAAAAAACCTGCTACCGATGCGGCCAGACCGGACACATCTCCCGTGACTGCACATCTGCCGGATCCGGAGACAACTACACTAGCGGTGGTTACTCTGGCGGAGGAGCTGCTGGCGGCCAGGAATGCTACAAGTGCGGCCAAGTCGGACACATCGCCCGTAACTGCTCACAGAGCGGAGGTTACGGATCCGCTGGTTATGGCGGTGCTGGTGGTTACGGCGGTGGCTATGGCGGCGGCCGCCAGCAGACTTGCTATTCGTGCGGCGGCTACGGTCATATGGCTCGCGACTGCACTCAGGGTCAAAAGTGCTACAACTGTACGTTTTAATTTACCCCCACCCCTTTCCTGTCCCTGTCCTCTTTCTTTCTTCCTTCCTCTCTTCCCCTCTCTTTTCGTCTCTCCAAGCAAATATCGTATCCAATTCTGATTTTTCTTCTTTGCCTCCGTCCCTCAAGGCGGCGAAGTTGGCCATGTCTCTCGAGACTGCCCCACTGAGGCCAAGGGTGAGCGCGTTTGCTACAAGTGCAAACAAACCGGCCACGTCCAGGCAGCCTGCCCCAACTAAGTACGGCAGAGAAAAGGGCGTTTATTGGGGCCGTCGTGAGAGAGAAGATCGAGGAGAAACTGGGTTTCCTTTTCCTTTTTTTCCTTTCTTTTTCCTTCCAGCCAAGCGTGCGGGCATTCATAGTTATTTATTTTTTGTTGCCCCCCACCACCACATGGCCCATTTGGAAGGATAGCCTGGTCATGACTCGGACATGAGAAAAAAAATAAATTTTTTCTTTTTTATTTGGGCCCCCTCCCCCTTTCTTGTTTTTTGCCTCTTTTTTCTCCTTTTTCCGTCGTTTTTCTTATACTTTAAATCATCATGAGATTATGCCTCTTTTTGTTTTTCCTGTCTTTCTTATGCTACTATTACCGCTACTACGTCACACATGGAAAGAAAAACAATCCCTTTTTTGAAACAAAAATGAACACCCCCCATACTCACCCTCCTATGCACACGCACATCATACACATACATACATACACCCTGGCCTGGATTTGGTTATGTCAAGGAAATCAAGGAAATTACTGATAGGCAAAGGAGAAACGAAGGGAAAGAAAAAAGGGCAAAAAAAAAAAAAAAAAAAAAAAAAAAAAAAAAAAAGAAGGAAGGAAAAAAGATATTCAAACGCTCTGAGGATGGTTTTGCGTTTTGCTCTTTTGGTTTTTTTTTTTTTTTTTTTTTTTTTTTTTTGTTCTATGTATGGATTTCCTTTTTTTTTATTTCTGTTTTTGTAAAAGGATGAAGAGACAGAAATTGAGAGTTGAAATGAGAGAAGAATGACACAAGCAAAGCAAAGCAAGACACACATCCCCACATACATACACCATCACACCCATGCATGCAGGGCATGTATATGCACAACCCGCTCCACCAAATCACCAAATCACCAAATCCCAAAATCGGATCAGCAATGGCACTTTTGTGTGTTCTCCTTCAGGTTGTTTTTCAGTTCAGAGAATATATCTTTCTCTTGTTTTTTTCTCATTTTTTCTTTTGTCCAGGCTACATACCATACCATCTTCATCATTGCATATTTTGTGGTGTATTTTTCCCCCGTTTATATAAATAAGCACACATACATGTACTTGCACCTATCTCCAGCGAGGGTATGCTCGAGCTATCGATCTCACCGGATAAAAGGCAACAAAAGACTACCTCCGACTCTGATACAAAATTGTCGCTTCCCTTTCTTTCGTTTTTATTTCTCTAGGGTATGTAAAATTTCTATTAGGTCTTCTCGATTTTTTTTTCAGGGTTCTTTATATTTCTTTTTTTCATTCTTTTTTCTTCTTTTTTGGGAAACCAAATTGTTATTTCTCCTATCTATATAGAATGAATGGGCTATGTATCGATTAAATAAAAAGGATGACCGGGGAAGGGGGGTTATCTTTCTCTCTTTGCCTTTCCTTTGTGTTGGTTTGCGAGAGACAAGGCCAGCTATCTGTTTCGGTTTTGAGGTGTCCTCTCTACACGTCAGCTTGTTCTTGTACCGTCTAGTAGCTAGCTATAGTTGTTTTTATCCTTGATTAAATAAGAAATACTTTTGCTTTGACGGAGAGAGCAAGGGAGAAGAAGGGAGGGCTGATATCAATATCATCATCATTAAGCTTAGCCGGGCTCTCTTGTTGCAAAATAGAAATGAACAGCGCTAGCTTCATATTTTGTTCAAGTGTTTACTTATTAATACCCTATAGACGAACGTGCCGACTCAACTCCCCACTTAGGAGGTTGATGGATGGGTAAATAAGTAGGTAGCTGAAAAGTATGGTTCAGGAACTCCTACTCTACTCTTTATCTTCCCTCTACCCACCTAAATTTCTCCCCTCTCCTACTCACGATCCCTCTACAACCCCAACACATTTACAGGACATTCCGATTAGCAGCCCTAAGCGCCTCCCCCAAATCCATATCCCCCACAATCTCCCACCGCACCATTCCCCCCCCTTCCCCCTCAAAAGTCACAGAACTAGGCCCCTGAAACACATACCTCCGCCCCCTCGGTGCCCCATAGCGCTTCATGTAAACAGCCTCCGTATACGTCGGGACGCCGCGGTTGCGCCGGATGGCTTCTTCGTCCTCGTCGCGGCACCTGCCGCCAGCGGACTCGTTTATGGCTGCTTGCATTTCCGCGTGGTTGAGCTCCTCGACGGCTGCGCTGGTAAGGCCCGTGGGGAAGGAGTCGTGGCGGCTGCGGACGAGGACCTCGTCGAGGGAGTAGGTAGCTATGGGGGAGAGAGGGTCTCGGTGGGATCTTCTGTGCGTTCTACCGCTGCGGCTGCGGCTAATGCTGCTAGTGCTGCTAGTGCTGCTAGGAGCGTCCGCTGAGGCCCGGGGTGGACGGTATCTTGTACAGTGGTCATATCTTGGTGCTGGCTCAGATGCTTGTGTGCTGCGGGAAGAGCGTGTTTGTGCTGCTGGTGAAGTGTTGCGTCGAGCTATGGCAGCCGCTGGCGGCCGTAGGCTGCCGATGAGGAGTCTCTAGATCTGTCTTGTTAGCAGCTGGTGTTTCCCACATGGTAGTATTGCGGAGAGGAAGGGGTGGGGAGGACAAATACATGCCTCTAACAGAGATCGCTCTACTCGAGGCCTCCGCCGTCTAGGGGCACCCGATCGAGGTCGTGGATGCGCGGAGGTAGGATCTGTTGTTGACTCACGGCGAACGCTTGAGCGCTCATATTCTTCCGGTTCAGCATATAAAGGGTCGTCATCTCGCAGAACGCGGTCAATTCTCTCTTCCTCCTGAGCGGACAATAGACTTTCTCGATCCATACCCCAGCTCCTTCCTGACCCAAACAGCCGATCCAGCCTCGCACGTTCGTCCTCCGCCATCCTCCTCCTTCGAACCCTGCCCTCGTCGGCATCCGCAACGCTTCTCTCAAGAATCAGCTGGAGCAGTTCTTCTTCACCTTGTCTGGTGCGCTGGGCCTCTGCAGCCGCGGCCTCAGATTCACGCAATACCCTCTCCTCCTCCTCCAGTTCGGATATTGCTGCATCTTCCACGTTTCTCTGGTGCTCTTCATGCAACTGTATACTCGCTTGAAAAGCACGAGCGAGGATTTCATCTTCGTCGCATTCCATGACTCGCAACGCTCTTTCTTTCTCCAGAAACTAGGAGGGCAAAAATCGTTGTTGAAAGCCGTAACTCCTGTCTCTTTGTTCGTGGAATCAAATGACAGTAGGTATATAGACGTGGACTATATCTTCTTGTTCGTAAGTATAATGAAGGTGAAATAGAAAAGCAAGTGTCTGAGGGATCTCTCGCTTTTTTAAAAAGCTTATATTTCACAAATGATGCTGGTGAATAATTTGGTGGCAGATAGAGTCATCAAGGATGGCATTTATCCAGGAGTTCAGTGTTGCAGAAGAGTGATAATCGTAGTTGTGCTGTGCATTTCTCAATGATCGAGAAGCGTAGCGTATATAAAAACGTCTAAACCACAAGGGAAGAAGAACCCGAAACCTCGAGTGCTCAATCCTGCATTATCATAAGATGCAGTAAAAAAAATAGTAGGCAGTCAGATATACATCAAAAAATATGGAGTTTCATAGAACAGGAAAAGAATTTTTTTTTCCCATAAAATATACATAGCCAATTAGTATGGCGTACTTATGAACTGCAACTGCACATCGTCATTCTCTTGAACTGCGGAACATCTCCGCAAAATCGCTCTTCCTCGTCTTTGTTCCAATTCCACTCCTCCTGGAATGGGTTCAAGGCCATATGCATGACACGGTCGAGAATTTCTCGGTCGCCCTTGTTCTCGACACGTTCGATCACCTCGTCGAGAATCCAGGATCGGGGTAGAAACTGTAAATTAAGGTCAGCATCGCACATATTGCTTAAACACAAATTGTATAATTTGTGCATCCAAGCTTGATAGATGAGTGGAAAAAGTACTCACTTTCGGATTAACAGCTTTCATTGCCTTCTGTCTCTCCTCATCAGTTTCCGTACCCCAGTCTTCGACGATGCGTTCCCGCCATGAAGAAAGCCATTTTGCAATACGCCCCCTAGCAGATTCTTCAGTGTTTCCTATTCCCCCGACGCCTTCTTTATGAAAGAAGATACTTGAAATAGCCTTCCTTTTCTCATCGGTGTCGATGTCAGCGAGCGAAATGCTAGATAGATGTCTGAAAAAATGATTGAAGTCCAACTCAAGAGCCTCGAGCGTATCAAGCAGTTCTGAGAACAGCTCCTGGAAATCTGATTCCTTGGGAGCTTTCAACGCTAAGCGCGCCGACATGAGCCGTTTGTATTCATTCAGGAATACAGTTTTGTATTCTTCGCCAGTGTTATCAATGAGTTTCCCTGCTCTTTGTACCAGGATCTTGCTAAACTCTTCAGTCACCCCCTTTGAAACGAAGGTCTCGTCATCCACTTTATCGCCAGCGCCCATCAGTTCACCCAGGGACTCTCCAAGTCGGACTAAGTTCCACCAGATCACACTTGGTTGGTTCTTATATGAATATCGAAGGAGATGGTCATCGTGGTTCGGGGTATATTGCGGATCAAAGTTATCCAGGAACGCAAAAGGGCCGTAGTCGAGAGAAAGACCCATGATTGAAGTATTGTCGGTATTTAACACTCCGTTCATGAAGCCGTAGGCCTGCCACGCGGCAACGGTCTTTGCATTGCGTCGGACTATTTCTCGATAGAGGCGAGTGAAGCGGTTCTCTTCAGCTCCTTCCTCTCCCTGGATTTCGTTTTTAGGCACACCTCTCAAAGGATAATCGACAGACGGTGTATCTTTCGCATCAGGCGATTTCGAAGATAGAGCTGCTGGAAGCGACTCCCAACCGGGAAAGACATCTTCCGCGACATAGGTTGCTAGTTTCCTGGTGAGATCTCTATCACCGCGAGATCTGGGAAGGTCAAAAGTTCCGATCCTTATCCATGATTGAGCAAACCGGGTCACAATAGCTCCGGGCTCCAACCGCTCTCTTCTCACTTTGGAGTTGGGTAACAGCACGAGCGAAAGGGCACGAGTTGTAGGGATTCCCAGGGCGTTCAAAGCTAGTATCAGCATTAGTGTATGCGTAGATATATCTACAGGCGGAGTGACCAACCTTCTGAAACTACATACTCCCTAATGCTCGAACGGAGAACGGCCTTTCCGTCAGCAAAGCGAGAATAAGGGGTCCTGCCAGCCCCTTTAATCTGAAGCTCATATCGAGTTTTCGTCGTAGGATTCGTTGATTCGAAGAGGCTGATGGCGCGCTATATATAGAGTATTAGTATCGCAACATGCCATAGCTTTAAACATAGAGGACAAATATATAAAAGACAATTGAGCATACCCCATCGCCCAGTTGCCCGGCCCATGAACCACTATAGAAGTGTCGTTAATATAAATCCTAATATCGAATGCTAAAGCGGTGCTTTCAACATACAATTGCCAGCCTCAAAGGTGTTAGCAGATAACTTATGATGACAACTTGACAGAATTTTCAATTTTCTAGATTTCCTCACCGCCATAACACTGTGCCCACGGATATATTCCTCCATTCTCCTTATCCCAGAAGATTTTATTTCCCGAGACAAGGTCGCGAAATTGCGCCGTCTTCTCCTCGCCGTCTTTCAGACCAATGTCCTTTAGCGCCTGTGGGCTTACACTTAACAGCTCAGGTCGATCTGTAGGTTCCGGGCGAACATAGGTAAACAAAGCACCTTTTACAAGCCGGGGTCCTAGTGCTTCGCGGGGCGCATTGTGAGAGGATTCCGGGGTTTCGAATGCGGGATCCGCAGGTAGTTTTGCTGTGAAGTTATTGGACTTGGGTAGTTCTGCTAGGGTTACGCCCGTAACAAGCGAATTTCTATTTCCATTTCCATTTCCTGTATGTGAGCTGGATAGATGAGCGGCCATCTGAGCAATGCGGAACCGGACGAATTGCGGTTGGCGGATGTTGCTGCGCAACAGCATATGGCGGAGTGGAATGGGATGTGAGCACTTTGCGATGTGGGGATAAATGCTCGACTAATTATACGACAGTCTAAAATACTTTGAAAACAAGAAGTTTAAATGGTCTAGAAAAAACGAAAAGCATTGATGTTGCTGAGAAGATTTAAATGATAATTGTTGATGAGCGGAGAACAGGTAAATATTGCCAAGGTTGGTCGTAATGATGACATAACTGCTATATTAACTAGCCTAGTTAACATTAACTAACTTAACTTACCACAAGCGCACTCACTCACTCTCTTCTACTAATATGGTAGTGAGTTGCGGTTAATAACTAGTTACTTCTCTCCACACGTCGAATATCTTTTTCACAATCCCTCGGATTCCCTCCCTCGGTAAATAACTAAAAGCTGCCTCTACACTGCCAATCTAGCTGCCGCTCTTCTTCAGCTTTGTCCATTTTTTGATTGCTGTTAAGCATTTCAATTTGACTAGAAGCATCAGCTTATGATGTGGACTTTTTCTCTTCCAAGGTTCTGATCCCTCAAAGTCAGTTGTAACACTAATAATATAAGAGCTTAATAAATATACTCAATCACCCTGATGCAGGTAATAAGCCTTCCAGCTCCTGATATTATTAATATTCCTCAATTTCGAAATTATACTCTAAAAGCAATTCCACTCTTAGATGATATCCTGTGCTCTTTTCCTGATCTAGATTAGGTTTGAGAGACCATCATGTCAAAAGCCAAACAAGTCACTGTGATTTCATTAACTGAGTTAAGTTTGTTGACTCTAACAATCTATGAATCAACATCCCTTTGTTAAGTTACTCTGTATTTAAACCATCTTTTGCACCACTTCCCAAAACTTCTTCTAACACAATGCATTGCAAGGTGAGTTGCCTGCTACCCCTCTCTGTTCAAGAGGTCAGCCTCTCTGTATGCCCTTTCCACTGAGCCAAAGTGAATCTGGACAAGTTCAGAGACACCAAACCCCCTAGTGACATGCTAACGCATGGTGTCAGATTGAAAAAAGAATTTATCATCATTGAACATTTGTTCTCAGATCGTAACGAGGGTTTTTGTTTTCTTCATTCGCGGGGAATCTATCGAGTACAGGGGCTAAGCCTCGCCGTCCCTGGAGACAATGATGAACTCATAACCAAACAGCCATCTCATCTTTGATTCAAACTTCATCTTGAGAACGTTTGGACGCGTATAGGGACATCTTGGTTGATCTAACTCTCCTCCCCTGCTTCCTTTATGCCTCCTGCTTTTGTTGTTTGGCTGTTGTTAGCACCATATACGAAAAGGATGTGAGAGAATCATCCAAATGACTTTGCCGGATTTTGGGCACCCTTTACCTTCAATACAATAAAAATTACTGCTTGTTCTTGCTGAAGGCAGCCCGAGGTAGAAGCTGTTAGGGGCAATCTATGGCCAGGATGATGAGCGATGCAAGTCTCAGATGTGTTAGCCACACACTGGCAAGAAGACACCACAAAGCGCTGCATTTTGGGCTGTGATTGCCAGTTTGCCTCGAAAGATACACTCGGTCAAATTATATGATGAAGACACGGGCTTTTTAACGATGATGAAGAAGAGGAAGAGAGGAATCCTCTACACCTCAGAGTTCAGCTTTATATACTTTGTTTACCTGTTCTGTTGGAAGGCTACATCGGAGGGAGGAAAGCTCTCAATACACGGTAGATTGGCTATCCACAGGGCCACCTACTCCTTCCAATCAATTTAGACCTCAACGATCATGGTCAGAACTACCCAATTATGTATCGTGGATGGATGGAGATATAGCAAGCCCGTAGATGGAGAGCAGCAGCACATAGTCGATTCTTGTTACTACTATGTATCTTCTGCAGGCTGCAGTTGCTTCCTATCACTACGAGAGATACGTGAATGCCTCATAGGACTATTCAGATTTTTATTTTTATTTTTATTTTTATTTTTATTTTTTTGGAGGGGGAAGGGTTCTGTTCAATTTCTACAGAGCACAGAAAGTATGTATGTAACATCCCTACACCCCCTTTTTTTTTTGATAAATCATATGTTACTTCCCAAACGAACGCTCTAAAAGTTTGTATATAATTATCAGTTCATTTTTTGTTAATATAGTCATTTTCAACGTCCGAGAGTGGTTCTGGGAGGCTAACTACCTCAATCCTTCACCACGGAAAAGTGCTGGTCCCTCGCCTAGAAAGTTTCTATAGCTAGTGATCGGGCTTATGTAGTTTTTGAACAAGAAGAAGCCAATCAATCTTTGATTTCGTGACCTGTATCATAGAAGATAAAATAATAGCTAAGTAGTTATGCCTAGGTAGATAAAGATTTTTGTTAATGTTTAGTTATTTGAATAAGATGTTGAAGCTGTACCCATCGTTAACTACCGACTAGTTATGGAATGCATGGATAACCGTGAAATTTCCTAGATACCACGATTTAGAGCTGATACCATGACCCTAACGGTATGCTGATTAGACTGTTCCTACATAAAGGTGGTAGGTAGTTATGACGTTTGTTGACTAACTCTGTAGTGCTGACGGGAACTACGAACCCTGAACCCTGAGCTTGTAGTCAGAAAAAGCTGATCTGACATAGTTATATAAATACTTCTTGAGTGCCCTGGTTTTCATGCCACTTCTATCTTCTCAAATAATAATCATGGTTGGTCTTGCTAGCAAATGCAATAAAATGTTTTTGAAAGATAACAACTAACAATCTCTCAACGTGATCAAGATTATCCGGGTTGAAGGCTCTATCTCCATTTAGGCTCTCTCTCTGACTTTGCTAACGGCGCAGACAGAATGAACTTATAATGCCGTCTCTCTAGCCCAGTTTGCTTCAAGGAACCTCCGAATAGAGGAATGCACCCACTACAGCGTGGTCCATGTTCTCATATGTTCCCATATTCTTGTTTCTCAACAAGATGGAAGCCTATGTTCAGAGAGATTCGGCTGGTGTTTGGGCAGATGCACACGGTATAAATTGCTATACGAGGTAATTACATCGCAGGAATCTTTGGGAGAAGCCATGTCATGAATTCTTGATGTGTCCAATTGCCACCATTCGCTTTTCCCGGTTTTAGTTGAAAAAAGGGCTCTATGATGATGGATATTTTGTCCCACTTATTATTTACTGGACCGGCTCTCTGGCGGTTAAATAAGCTCTCCCCCACTCTTTGTGATTTCTCCAGACTTCCTCTCGCAACCTTCTCATCTAACCAATACACAAATTTGCTTCTCTAAAATGGCTATTTTACCCGAAATCAAGCTCGAGGATGGCAATTCCGTCCCAGTGGTTAGTGGTTCTTGAAACCTTCGATCCTCAAGGCTCGTTTTTTTGATCGCTGGATATGGCAATTGGGCTAATTTGATGCCGTCATTTGCGGCTTGACAGCTCGGCTACGGAACTGGAACCGCGTGGTACAAGAAACCTGGCGACACAGGTATTGACAGGCAACTGGTCGACTCGATAAAGGAAGCAATTAGTTTGGGGTATATCCACATCGACGGTGCAGAAGTATACGGAACAGAAAGTGAAATTGGAATCGCTATCAAGGAAAGCGGCGTTGCGCGAGATAGGCTCTTCGTCACAACTAAGGTTATCGACAACATTGGCGACATTCCCAATGCCATTGATACGAGCTTGAAAAAGCTTGGGCTTGATTATGTGGATCTGTACGTTTAATCAGCCATTGTTGTAAACTAACAAAATGCGGTTTGAAACGTGTTTATTCCTAATGAGGAAATTTCCCGGCGTCTTTCTACTCCAGGTACCTAATCCACAACCCATTCTTCGCCAAATCCGACAAAGACCTCCAAGATGCATGGGCTGAGATGGAGAAGGTCAAAGAAGCGGGCAAAGCGCGGTCCATCGGCGTCTCGAACTTCCGCCAGCATGAACTCGAAGCAGTGCTGAAGACGGCAAGAATCACCCCAGCCATCAATCAAATCGAATATCATCCATACTTGCAGCACGGCGGCTTGGTACCCTTCCAGGAAGGAAAGGGTATCAGAACCAGTGCGTACACCCCGCTCACGCCGGTGACAAGAGCTAAAGGCGGGCCGCTCGACGATATCCTAGCTGGACTTGCTAAGAAGTATGCGGTTACTGAGGGGGAAGTTTTGCTGCGGTGGTGTATTGATCGCGGTGCTGTCACCATCACCACGAGTAGTAAAAAGTCTCGATTGACATGCTACCTACGCGCACTCCAATTCCGTTTAACCCCAGCAGAGATTGAGGAGATCTCAAGAGTTGGAGAGGAGAAGCATTTCCGGGCGTTTTTCAATCAAAAATTTGCTCCTGACGATCGATCGTGAGGAGGCTTCCCTTTTCTAAAATATAGACGACTTTGCAGTGTTCTAATATATGACCTTTCCCCAAGATTTCATTTAACTGTATATAGCAGAAATAGAACTGGCTGCCTCCCTCATAAGTAGCTACAGTAGTATTGCTTCAAACAGAATCTTTCGTCTTCATGGTCACTCTTCTCACTCTCGGTTTTATATCGGGTCCGCAATCTCTTAACACAGAAATTCTGGGTAAGACAATCCCAACCAACTTGTTTAGACTTAGTTTCCGGGATAAATAAAACCAAACTCTTTCTCCCTAACTAACCAGAACTTTTAGATACCCGGGATCAACGTCGGAAGGGTTTAAATCAATAAATGTATTGTAACTTTTCGCCTAGGAACTCTGTGTTGCAACTCTAACAGGGCAAAGAAACTCTCTCTACAGAACCCGTAATCTCAACTGTTAGTTTATGGCGTGATTCGGTCTTTGTCCAGGGGAAATGAGGTTTCCTTAGATAAATATTAGGCTTGCCAGACATTCAATTCTTCCAAGCTAACGATTAAGTGTGAGCAGAGTACAGTACGAATCAATTGTTGAGAAGCCAAGCTTGAAACCCTTTTGAGGCAGAATATGAATATGAGTCTAAATGATCGTAGCAGAGTTAACTATATGAGCAGCCTTGAGAGCATGGCGATTGGAAACATGGACTGAGCTTTAGCAACAAGGATGGATATGTCAAGAAATACCGAGAAGACAGACAGACAAAAGAGGCTTTGTTCACAGATAACTATACAATAAGGAGCTGAAACAATTGGATCCGTTCTATTTGGATTGCAGAACTTAAGAGACTCCAACAATCAATTCTATCATCGATGCGTTGGAGAACGGTCAGTATCCGCAGCAAGACGGCGAGTGACTTCTAAACACACCTATTCCACAGTAGAAATAGAAGTAGCTATATAGTTATTTATTTAGCCAGAGATAGATATATATATATCTACTACATCCTATAGTTACTAGAAACATACAATAATTTATTCTTTTTTTCCCCAGCCCGAGATCACTAGTAGCAGATTCTCCAATAACAGCGGGCGATCTCCCTTCCAGTGAAGAAATCCAAGCTTTGTTAAGTTACTTTGTTACGCCAGCTCCACCAGCCGTGATCGATCCTCTCCCGCCGTTCGACTGCTGCGATCTCCGCCACTCACTCCACCCACCACCACCACTACCACCACTACCATCATCATCATCATCATCATCATCATCATCACCACACCATATCACCACCACCACCATCACCATCACCACCATTGCTCGTCCTCCTCTCCTCCCGCATTTTCCTCCCGCCAACGCCCACGAACTAACCCCTACAGCTCTGCAGCCTCCGTTGTCTCGAGGCCTTTCTGGTTTCCCTCCTGTTTTCTCGCTCGCTGCCTTCCCTCGATTCCTCTCCTCCCCCCAATCAATGGCCTCGCCCATTGGAGCCCGAACCTCAGCCGCCCATCCAACCACAGTCCTGAAGAACGCTGGGCTGTATCGCTGCGGCCTTGCTGTCACTGCTTGTCTGATCTAGTTCATATATTTTCCCGCTTCCTGTTAACCCGCCATCCTCTGCTATTTTTTAATTTTTTTTCATTGTTTTTGGACAAGCGCTTATGGGCATCAGCTGGCCTCACCCTGGGCTCCATTTTCTTCGTGAAATCCCCCTCTGACCAACACCCACGCCGGCCTGTCTTGTCTGTTGTTGCAAGCTGCGGTTGGAAGGGCCGTCTTCTGTGTCGGCCCAGCCAGCCAGCCGGTCTGTCAGTTAACCTACGAAACGCGCACTTCAAGAAAGCAAAGCGATCGCTGGCTCTGGCTTGGGATTGCTGTTGTGATGCTCCTACTATTCACCACTTGTGAGTTGAATGCGCTGTGTCTTTTTTTTTTTTTTTTTTTTTCTATTTATTGCTCTCTTACTATACCCCACCTTGTTCACTTCGAGTTCGCATCTGTCGTGGTGGGTAGGACTGGTGAATAGGTTATTAGTTTACTAATTTGAGCTCTCCTCTAGCAGTTAAAAACCACTGAATGCTCGAACGGCCGGAGCTTTCCCAGATCCACCTGCGCTCCCCTTTCGCCGAATACAAACAAATCCCCTGCCACCCGCGCTCTCTTTCCAAGCTATTATATACACCCTTAAGCTCAGCTTACAGCGCTGAGTTTCGTTCACAATCATTGCGCTTGCGTCCGTAGCGATCTGCCATGTCCGTTGAGCTCCAAACCTCACACCGGACCCAAAACACCACCGAAGCCTCGTCGCGTGTGCCAGCCAAAAGATCCTATTCAGAATTTCTCAAGGGCGTCAATACTCGCTTCAAACACCTCTCCGACAAAGTGCTACCCGCGTCCCCATACCTCCTCAAGGTCCCCACTGAAAGACCTTTCCACTTGGGTTCCCGGTTCGTCAGTAATTGGGCTGTGGGTGATAATAGACCATTTGCGCCGGAGGAGGAACACCTTCAGTACATGACCTTTCTGCCCCACCAGGTTGAGGACACTCTACTCGTTGCTGTGGGGGGATGGTCTGATGAACGTGGAAACATCATGGAAGAAGATACGTCGAAAGTCCCAAGCATCGCCACAAGCCCGTCCGTCGATACACCAAAACAAAAGCTTCAGAGAAAAAAAATTAGTCTGAGTGACTACAAAAAGAAAGCATATGAAACTCCAAAATCACCTCCTAGAAGCGCTACCCCAGTGAATCGCAGGAATGGCACGGATCGTTTGACTCCAGCCGTAAAACCCAAGTCACCTCGAGAACCCGTGCCAACGCCCAAGGTGCCGGTGATATTACCTTCTAAAAGAAAAGCCACCACGTCTGTAACAACCGACAATTGCTCCGATAATGCTAACGGAATTTCGCAATCTAAAAGTTCCCGCGATGGAAATTCCCGATCCACACCTAGTTCCCACAAACCTCCACCATCAGCTCGAGAATCCCCGCCCCCCACTAAAAAGCCGCGACTTTCAACTACAAAGGAACCTCCCGATAATAAACCCACGAGACAAAGAAATGCGCCGCCTGTTGTTCCCGCGCTACTCTCTCCAACACTTCCCCCTACTAGCGTTACACCTAGGCTCCCTAGATTACTCTCACCCACTCTCCCACCAGATATAGAGGAAGAGCTAGCTAAGATAAAAGGCGGCGAGCTATCTATAGACAGAATTTCCAGCCCCAGGAAAGCTCCGTCACCCTCTACCATTACAGGATCGAAGCCTGAGCGGCCACTACCCAAGTCGAATAAACCTAGGCCCCATTCTAGTTCTACCTCCAGTTCAAGCGATAAAACTACCAAGGCTAGAGTATCGTCTTCATCCTCCAAGCCCCAGGACAATAGCGTCGCAAGGCCTGTCCCTTCCAATAACCAACGTTCTAGAGCTGTCGATCATACACAATCGCAAATTTCCTCGAAGCCCAAGGGAACAACCCAACTTGCCAAACCCAAACTTATTGTGAAACTAAGATACGGGAGGTCCAATCGGAAACGGATAGAAGCGTTACTCAGGTTTTCTGGTAAATATAAAAGCACACCTCATCACCAGTCATCGAAACAGAAAAGAGAACCTGAAAGTCAGCGAAAGAGTAAAACTGCCCCTTCTTCGAAATCAACAGAAGTACAGCGCGCTGAAAAGCGACCAAGGCAGACGGACGAAGACGACAGCCAGGGATCGGTTCCCAAACGCCAAAAGTCCGCCACTCTTCCGGCTTCAGAGCGACCAAGGACTCCAGCCACAACGGCCTTCAAGTCTCCTTCCGTTCCGCAACAGCCGACATCAGTATCAAAGGGCCAATTTCTAACTCCAAGTAAGGATTTGAGGGCTACAACCATGCGCCGTCTAGGCTCTGGAGACGGTGATTCGAAGCTACCAGCAGGGTTGGACCGCGGAATGAACACGAGCACACCTGGAAGCGCGGAGAAAGCAACCACCAAACACTCACCTGTAACGCCGAGTGATAACCCACAAAACAAACCTCGGGATACAGCAGAATCTCGTTCATGGCAAGAAGAATCCCAGAAATATTTCAATATAGGTCGCGAATTAAAACGTTCATCCCAGAGGTACCCGGGACCGCATGCGACAGACGCCGATCATAAGCTTAGCGCGGCGATTGCAGTTGAAGCGGTCCTCTGCTTTATCCTCGCCTTCATCCTTGACGATAGGCACAGAACCTTAAACCGTCGACTGGGAGACTCATCAACCTGGTTGTCCATCGTCCCATACTGGAAAATGGTGAAAGGTAACATGGACAAGTACCCGCATCTCCACGCCCTTTGCTCCCTCCTCGGCGCTGTCTTCCACGAAATCATCCACGGCCTCGACCTCGAGCGCCTTGCGATGACCGCACTTCCAAGCGACCATAGTCCCGCTCCCACTCCAGGAAGCGATGGCAATACGGTAACTTCAGAAGAAAGCAAAAAACAGCAGCAGCATAGGGATTTTATGGATCTTAGGAAACGACTCGTCGATTCACATAGAGAGGCTAGAGCCCTTTGGCTCGAGGGGTCGCGCAAACTGTCGGAGGAAGTACTGACCCACCAATACCCAGAGACGTGGTCGAAGCGGTCCATGAATTTCTCAGAAAGGGGTCGAGAGAAGGCTCTTGTGCTGGGTGAATATTCAGGAGAATATTTTTTACCTCTCGATCGTACGGCTACCCCTCTTGAGGCGATTAGGTTTGGGTGGGTGTTTCTGACCGAGTGGACCAAGAAAGAACGGGTAGAGTGGAAAGGTCAGCTTGGGTTATGAAATGTATTTGTTTGACTGTCATGATTTTCTTTTCCTCTTTCTTTGGCATTTCTCTACTTTTTTTCAAGTTCTCTGGCTTGTTGGAACTGAAACTCACCTCTATTTACATCTTATTTCCTCGATATACCCTAGTAGCTTTGTCATGGAGAAATTTTCTTAATCACAAGTTCCCCTTCTAGAATAACTTCGCCGTCATTTATTTTCCTTTGATTGGAGTCATCGTATACCACTGGTTTACCAACCTCGTTTCGAAAACACTTTTTCTTTCCAACTTCACTGCTCCTATTTCCTCAGCCTACTGTGTTTATTAAACGAGCAACATTCTCATCTCCTCCAACGAAACCCCTTATTTCATATACTTGGTGCCCTGTACTTTTTCCCTCCTTTCCTCCCCACTCCCTTTCCATACATAACCTCCTCCGCACACGCACACATCTCATTCTATTACTGTCTCAAACTCTCCATCTCTGTCTCAAATATACATTATTTATGATACCAACGAACTCGGCATATTTTTTTTTTTTTTTTTTTTTTTTTTTTTTTTTTTTAGCGGGGAAAACTATTTCAGAGCGACTCCAACGCTTTTCCAATCTTTTTTTTTCCAAAATTTTTTTCCAAAATTTTTTTCCAAAATTTTTTTCCAAAATTTTTTTCCAAAATTTTTTTCCAAAATTTTTTTCCAAAATTTTTTTCCAAAATTTTTTTCCAAAATTTTTTTCCAAAATTTTTTTCCAAAATTTTTTTCCAAAATTTTTTTTCTTTTTCTGCTTATTCTTTCCTTCATTCTCCTTCTCTCTCTCTTCTCTTTGTGTTGTTCACCCTCTCTATTCAGTTTTTTTTCTTCTTTTTTTCTTTTTTTTTCTTTTTTTTTCTTTTGCTGTTGTTTATCCTGCTAATGGCATATATGCCACGAGCACCCCAGCTTATAGTTTTGTTTTACTTTCCCTGCATTCCTTTAAATATCCGGGGAACTAGTTCTCTTCTCTCTGTGGTGTTTGGGCGCTGGACGAAAGGAGAGTTTTTCCCCGATACTCACTGGACCGGGACCTGACTGGATTGGATTTGGATGAGTATATATGTACGCAGTACCGTGCCCATCGTTTAGTGATTGGGTGGCTACGGTGGGGTGGGGTAAACATTCATCAGATTGGATTTCTTTTGCTATTCGCAGTTATACGTTTTTTACTATTCCGATTTGGTAGGATCCAACGCATGGGCATGAGAGTTGAGAACTGGAACTGAGAAATTGTAGTATTGACTGAGGTAACATGGTTGCATGAATGGAAATTATTCGATGATCTCACAGTTGTTTTTTAGTCGTTAAAGATTAACCCGCAAGAAAGCGTGAAAACATCAATTGTCACTTGTGGTGTTGGGGAATATGTAGAAACAACGTTCGTTTTGCTCAGGATGAAGAAATAAAATCACGAAAACATAAATAATCCTAATGGACGAAAGATACTGTGAAAAACAAATGAAAAATAAATGATATCTTCTTCTAACTAATTATAAATAAATGCCAGGCCAACCGGGCAACTTGCACCACTCAATGCAGCCTTCAAGTTATGATAGAAAAAGGGATGTTGCAATGCATGCATGCGCATAAAGCATTTTGCTGTAACCATCGCCATCCATTCATAGCAGAAACAAAAATAGATAACATAAATGCTCTGCTCGCTCTAGTCCAAAAAAAAATTAAAATGAGATACGCTCCGAGAATCATTTCGCTAGTTGATAAATGAAAGCGCTCGCATCAAATCAATGGGAAAAGATTTATATCAAACGTCGTAATCATCCTCGCTCTCCCTACCTCTTCCGCGATTCCTCTCCCCACCAAACAACCACCCAGCTTCCCGACAATACCTCGCCTCCCTCCTCTCGCTGCCCACCTCACTAGCCCAGCAAACAACAGCTGCATCCACGACGCCAGTCAGCACGCCTTCCATCGCACCCAGGACACCCCAGCCAATAGCCCCCGCAATCAATCCCACAACATACGCGTATAAACTGCCTCGGATAGTGGAGGTTGATCCCGTTCCTGTTCCCGTTCCTGTTCCCGTAGTAGCTAATTGCAAGCCACGAGCGGTAGATACCCACCCGCCGAAACCTAGACATAACGACATTGTGAAGCGCATAGCATGGAGGAAAAGTTTGGCGAGGCGGTATGGAAGGAGAGAAGAATTGTTGTGACCGTTGGTGTTGCCTCGTGGGTTAGAGGAGAAGGAGGTTGGGTGGAGTGAGGTGGCTGCTGTCGATGGGGCGAGGAACGTCATTTGGCTGAGGCTGCGGGCGGAAATGCCCAGGGGCAGTGAGTGGATGGCGCTGTAGGTTAGAGTTAGGGAGTTAGTGAGAGCGGCGATGGGAGTGGGAACGCAAGAGTATGCGGCTAAAGATAGAAACGACGACAACCGTCTAGGAAGGACGATTAGTGGTAGACGTATTAGTAGGGCGAGGAGTGTTGAGAGGCAGATGGTGCCGAATAATGTGCTGACGGAGTGAATTAATGCTGCCTGTACGATTTGTCGGGATGAAGGTGCTGGTACTGATAACCGGTGGAAGTACCACTGACTGACAGTTGCAGCCGTGACGGTCCTTTGGATACCTGAAATCACTCCCAGGGACCAAAGATAAATTAGGATGAAGTAGACGGCCAGCCACCAGCTTCCCGCGTTGATTATAAACATATTTTTTGTTGTGGAGATATGGCCACCAAGGAACACGCGGGTGAACATGAGGATCCATACCCATGTCCAGGAGGCGATAACAGCCAAGGTGATAAACCCAAGTGCGAGCAGCGCTGGGTTGGATGCAAGAATGCGACATGAAAACTCCAAGATGCTGATCGCTTTTTCCGTTGAAAAACGACCCTGAATGACGGAATATACCCAGACAGATGCAATTATGGCGGGTACCAAGGAACCCCAGCGCATGACTTTGTCTTGGATGCTTTGGCCATGCCAAGCCCCGCCAAAGCTAGCAATGAAAGGAAAAAGAGCAAATGTGTAGAGTATCAGAGGGACTGCTAATAAAACCAAATAGACCAAGGGGCGGACATATGAACGAAGGAACGCTAGCCACAACAAAGAAACCAGAATGGAAACCAGAGTATATATCGCTAAGAGAAAAAAAGAGGCATGAAGAGTGGAATAAATGGTATCGCCAAGGATAGGCTTACCCTCTGGTAGGGACGTGTGCAAATAAATAAGAAAAGCTGTAGCAAACATGCCCACGAGAGAGATTAAAAAGAGGTTGCCCCAAAATGCGTCATGCTGGGGAGGTTCGAAGTCCGGGTGCGTCATTGACGCCGGAACGGACGATCCCGTAGAGCTTGGAGGGCGAGGATGCTCCAGAAGGGCGCGCTTATCCGTTTCTTTGGGTAAGAAGGAGGAGCTAGTTTGGAAATGGTCCCCCGCGATGTCAGGTTGTTTTCGGAACTGTTGGACGGCTGGTGGAGGGTCATCATCAGCGAAATCATCACGCGCGCTGTCTCGTTGCACGTTCACCATATCACTCCTCAGCGTATCTTCTAGGCCAACATCAACCATCCTATCTTTCCCAAGAGAGCTGGCGCCCGTGCTGCCCCTATCGTCCGCCTCATTCTCATCACTTTCGTCTAGTCGCTCGAAGGGCTTGCCTCCCAGAACAGGCGTGGCATCACTAGATCGACCGGCACGCCAGGAGCTCTTGATGCCTCCGCCTCTTCCGCGATTGCTATGGTTACTACCAGCAGCATCCATACTATTTTCAGAGTGCTTGCCATCGTCATCAACCTCGGATGACTCTTCTAGATGCCTCGAGTCGAAATGGCGTCGAGATCTCTGCAGGGCGTAGAAATCTGCAATTTCGCGTTCGTGCTCCTGCTCGTCATCTTCTTCTCTAAATTCATCAGCAGCACTGTAGAAGAGAGGAGCATGCTGTATGGAGGCCCTTGAGGAAAAGGGGAAGTGCGAGATGTGAGACGAGCTTGGTTGGTAGGGGTTGCCAATGGCGCGGTGAAGATAGGACCTGGAGGCTGGATTTCGCGAAGACCCAGAAGGCTGATTGAATCTTCTATTGTAACGGTCTGAGCCTTGTCTTTCGTTGTTATCTGGACTGAAGGCTATTCTGGACTGGGACTGGGCTAGGAATCGGGAGGCATCTAGGTTTGGCGGTTAGTGATATTATGACGTGACTAGGGATGGAAGTGTGGGGAAGGAAGCTCCATACATTCCGAAAACATCGTTAGCTAGGTTTAGTCTAGTCGCGGGCATAGAGAGTGATATATCAAAACTGGTCGTACGGCAGTATAGGATGTATGTAGAGGAATAAAATAAGAGATGGCCCACAGGCACACGTCCAGTATTGAGAGAGGTGAGTGTGTGTGTGTGTCTTATTACTGGTGGGAGTGTAGTGTGGAGAGGGAAAAGAGTCGGTGAATGGAGAGCTTGACATAGAAACTGCCAGAACAACAACAACCCTAGGAGAGGCAACACGGCCCGGAGGGATTAAAGGGGATCAAAGAAGAGCATACAAAGAAGAATGAGACGGGATCATCGGCAAATAAATGAAGCTGGGGAGTTGCTGAGAAGAAGCTGAAGGAGACGAAGAATGAATGATGCCGGATCGTGATCAAGCAAAGTCACACTGCAGAGCATGACTCAGCAGGCAGCGAGCGATTAGGTCATCCGCGTGTCATGTGCTTCTGCTCTGTTCCGTTGTTTGGGCAGCTTTTTTCTTTTTTCTTTTTTTTCTTTTTTTTCTTTTTTTTGTACATATATTTTATATATATCTATATTGTATATTTGTATGTATATTTATCGTTTGTATATATTTATAAATATTACAGATACGCCTGTTGGACCGGACCATACAGCGCTCATCAAGGAGACTGAACCTTTTGGTCCCGTTTAGTCCCGTTCACTCACTAGCTGGAGCATCCTCATCATCCCCATAAACATAACTCTGCCTCACCAGAGCTCAATCTCGCAGCTCTCTCTCTCTCTCTCTCTCTCTCTCACACACACACACACACGCAAAACATTACATCCTCCATACAATAAAACCTACATTCAATTCTGTTCTCTTACTCCGCCGCTACAGCTCTACATATCTCCGCTGCGCTCAAATCTAACTTGTTCTGTACGGTTTTGCAGCTACCCGGCTAATTACCTCCGGCCGCTATCCCAACAACTCACCATTTTAACCTCACCTTCGAGATAGGATAACTACCTCAACTCACAGCCCAGTTGCGTTCATGTCGCAGCCATGGGATTACATCGCAAAGCTTGTCTGTATTGGTGATTCCGGCACCGGTAAATCTAGCGTGTGCTCTCCCCTTTCCCATTTTCATCTCCCCATCTCGATATCTACTCTAGATATCTACTATCGCATTCCGTCCAACTAACCCTTTCATATTCAGCTCACCATCCGACTCTGTGAAGGTCGTTTCTCCTCATCCCACGATGTAACAATTGGCGTCGAATTCGGTTCCCGCATCGTCCCCGTCGGGCCGCCAGCCTCGGATTCCCTTGGCATAGACTTTGACCTTCCCTCTTCGTTGTCTACTGACCCATCATCTCACCTCCCGATTATCCCCCCGTCCCAAACAACCACCACTACTGCCGCTACATCGACCCCCCATGATCCTACGACATTAATGAACGGAAGCGATCCCTCGAAGCGAAAACCCCCCCATCAACAGCCACAACCACCATCCGGCCTGCCCTCCCCTCCCCGCAAACTACAATCCCCACCCATCCAAAAACGCATGAAACTTTCCCTCTGGGACACTGCCGGCCAAGAAACCTACAAATCAATCACCCGCTCCTACTTCCGCGGCGCCTCCGGTGCCCTCCTAGTCTTCGACATCACACGTCCCTCCACCTTTGCCTCCCTGACGCAATGGCTGCAGGACCTGCGCCAGATCGCCGAGGAAGGGATCGTGGTCATCCTCGTTGGCAATAAGAGCGATCTTGCTGCCCCTTCTCTAGCAGGGAGTAATAGCGCTGATGATGGCGGTAAACCTCAGAAGGAAGCTATAGTTACAAGAGAGGAAGCGGAGGCATGGTGCCGAGCCAATAATATTTCGCGGTACGTGGAGACGAGTGCAAAGTCTGGAGAAGGGGTTGAGAGGGCGTTCCTGGAGGTTGCAGAGCGGATATACCGGAACATCGAGGCCGGGCGGTATGACTTGAACGACCGGCGGAGTGGTGTTAAGGGATTTGGAGCCACTGGGGGAGCGGGTGGTGCGGGGCGCGTGCAGAGGACGGTTACACTGGGCGTTAATGATGCGATGGGGCGAGGCGGCGGTGGATGTTGTTGAATTTTTTTTTTTTTTTTTTTTTTTTTTTTTTTTTTTTTTTTTTTTTAGTTCTGCTCCTTTTATTACCGCTCGCTGCTTTGGCCTATTTCACTTTATTGCCTTTCAAGAAACAGTTCCGGGTCAACGGGCTTGTTATACCACTACCTCTTGTTTTACCACATACGCCCCTCTGCCCCTCTGCCCCTCTGTTATATTAGTTGCGTCATATCTCTATTTAATATTGTTTTCCTTCCTTCTTTTCTTTTGCCTTTACATAATATTTCTTATAGCATAACTATATTCATGTCTAGGGTATTTTAATAGGGGGTGTGATGCTTAATTATCTTTTTCCAGGAGCAGTGTTATCCGCTGAGCCTCCCTCCGAACCACCTCTTTCAACCCACTTTGTTATTAGTGCTGTATTATGATGTTCTACTTCACATTCAAGTTTGTAGGATTAGGTGAGCCCCAATTTTATTTGTATTTTTTTGAATCTCCTGTTCATGACATGGAAAATAACATTTCTTGTTGTTTGTATGACCTCTTCACAAAATGAGGCCAAGAAGATGGACAAATGATTGCAGAAGAAATATGCTCAAAAGCTCACTCAAGGAGAAGAACCAGACCAGTAGTAGAGGAGGGAGGGTGATGAGGGACCCTCATTGGAAGGGATTTCTCTACCACTGATAGGAAATTTCGTTCCCCTTTTTCAAATGGACAAAAAAAGCTCATGGTAGACTCCCCTGTTCTGTTCTACAACTGACAAAATGTGAAGAGATTCCAGATTGATAACTGTACATATATCAAATCAATACATATCACTGTCCTTCCCTGTTCATTCCCATGCACAAAGCCATACCATAGTTACCTGCTCAAATATGTATTCTGTTTCACAGAGAACGCTGCCAATAACAATGGAAATAAAACAAACAATAAACAAAAAGCATGCGGAATGAAACAATGAGGGAGAAAATAAGGGGAAAAGTATTTCAAAACAAATTAAAACATTCTCTTTTCTAAAAATTATTCTTTTCCCGTTTTTTTGCGTCATTCAGAAACTGTAAAATGAAACACAACAATTAAAAGAAAGGAAAAGCAAAATAAATACCACAAATGTAGCATGATAAGATAGCAACAATACATCTTCCGTTTTCAAACACGTCTCTATCTCCCCCCTTCTCTTTCCTTCCAAAGCTCGAAAGACCTACGCAATCCGCCACGTACTCAACCAACCCAGATGCGCCCATTTCGAGCTCGAACCTTCCATCCCAAACACAATATCGCGGAAAAGTACAAATAACCCAATAACGGCTGCATAGAGAACTGTGTAAACCGCCCACTCGACCGAACGGGGCAACTTCTGCGTAAACCAATTCATACAGAAGCCCAGGGACAATATCGTGAAATACAGCGCTGGGTAATAGTGGTGCACGTAGGTCACGCGCGCCATGGCGACGAACGGGAAGTAATGCAGGAACCAGCCTATCGCCGGGTATAGGCCTGAGTGGTAGATGTGTTCCATGTCAGCGAGGCTGAGCTCGTCGTAGCCGCGCTGCCAGCGGATTAGGTACCACGCGAGGATTGCGCCGAGAAGGACTAGACTGAGGGTGCCGCCCCAGTAGACGATGGGGTTGCCGAGGAGGAAGTACTTGATGACGTTGTCGTCCCAGGAACACATGCGCAGGCCGACGTGGAGAATAGGCCATTGCCAGAATTGTGAGGCGAGCTCGTCTTGTTTGTCTGGGTCAGGGATAAGAGCGTTATTTGAGGTCATCATTGCGACGTTGAGGTGGATGAAGTCTTGTAGGAAGGGGGATTTATAGGAACCGGGGTCACCAGGTGGTACTAGAAAGTAGGTATTAGAAATTTGATCAGCCTCTTCGAAGCAAAAACGACAGGCACGAGAGAAAAACTTACATCTTTCATTAACATGACTCTCAACATTCCAGTGAGTATATCTGTCCCGAGGGTTATTTTCCTTGATACAAGTGGTTTCAATCTGCTTGAAACCCCACTGCGGGAGATTGACAGTGCCAGCGCGAAGGTAGCAGCCAAGCACAGCGTGTCGGAGGCGAAACGAAGTCGTCAAAGTGCGAATCTTCGACCGGTCCCTAGAGGCGACGTCGCCGAGTACCTCAACGCGCCAGTGGTCTTTTTCATCTCCTACCGTCGTATTTCCATAACAAGACACTTCGTTGTGGCTTTTCGTTATCGGTGCAGATACGGTGTGCGAATGTAGGTTGCGTCCTGTTTGCGCATGAATGAGCCGGATGACATCCTTGTCGGCGACATATTTCAAGGGATCGTTCGGGTCATAATTAGGTTCCTGGCGATTCGGATAGATAAACCAGTCATTGTTGGTGTCCTTGTGGTGGTAGCAAGTTACTTGCTGCTGAGTTGATCCTTCTGGGTACGTTTGGACGTGTGAATGGAGAAGGCCGCCGCTATATCCCATATTTTTCAGCGTAACCTTTGATCCGATGGCGATTTCAAGTGGGCTATTCTTTCCAACGTTTGTGCCTTTCAGGTTGGCCTGGAATAGAGAGCTCATTTGTGCATCGCCGGGTCCTGAGTTTTCGAGGATAAGGAAGTGGACATAGAACGAGAACATGTAGACGAGCAGCGGAATAATGATCAATCCCACTACCCTAGCGGCAAGATGTTCTGCAAGCACAACCTGTTAATGGGCATATTAGTTACATTTCCGGTGATACATAAAAAAAGGCACAAGAAATAAACTGAATGGTCCAACCCCCTTACCTTGGGCATTTTGAGATCACCGAACTTGTTCCAGAGATCCTCAGCTGTATAGAGCCCGACTAGAGCAGTAACGAAGAATCCCACCCATTTAACACTGCAGACACAGCCAATGCTTAGCCCAGTCAGAAACAGCCAGGAGAACCATTCCGCCGAGAAACTTTTATTTTGCAGACGGTGGAATCGGGCCCAGCAAAGGGTAGTCGTGAAGGTAAAACATAACAACATTGAATCAAGGAGAATGAATCTGGAGATGGTCGCATAGGAATTCTCACACAGAACCATCAGAGTGATCAACCAGACAGCCGGGCGACGTAAATTTAGTTCGCGGGCGGTAAAGTAGGCCAGGGGAACGCAAACAGCTCCGAAAAAGGAGTTGAACAAACGCATGAAAGTGTAGTTAAGCTCAGGGGGGTACTTCTCTCCGGACTTGAATTCAAACGAGCCATTGTAGCCCGCAAGGTATCCCGAGAGGCCCACCAGCATTTTCCCCAGCGGCGGATGTACATCGAAATAGAACTCCCTCTTCAAGTAATGGGAGCCAAATTTGCCGAAACTATCAGGGTTTACGCGGTTGGTTAGCAGCGGGATCGACAGCAAAAAACCCACGTCGTAGCTCCTATCATTCCAGCGGCTACCAATCACCAATTTGGACCCTGGTACAACTTACTGAGCCTCATCCCAGGTTACGATATCTGATCTACCAATACGCCACATTCGCGTGAAGAAGGAGAACGCAGTGAATATCAGTGGAGCAATAATAAATTCCCACTCGTCTAGGACATCGATGAAGGTAGACTATGACCGGAAAAGACAAACCAGAGTTAAATTGATGGACCAAAGCTTATGGCAATTGAAGGGATGATTGTGGTCCACGCCTCAACAGAAAAGAAAGCCATGGGTATTGAAAAAAAATTACCTTGCGTGGTGCTTGCTTCTTTCTCTTCTCGTCAACCTCGAACGGAGTGTGTCTTTTAACCCCACTGCCATCTTTCTCCGAACCGGTGACGTTTCTTCGGCGTAGATCAGGGTTCTGAGAGGTGCCAGTGGCCGTGGCAGTCTCATGGGCCGCCATGAAGGGTGGAAGAGTAGGAGAGAATGTTGACGGGAGAGAGATAGCGGAGGAGGAGAAAGAGGGGGTGAAGGGGAGGCTTTGGATCAGGAGCCTGTTGAACAGGCTTATTCGAAAAGGTCCCGAAACCGTAGGAGGTACACGATTGAGAACGCAACGAGGCTAGTTAAAAGTAAAGATGGACAAGAGCAATATCCATCAGATGGATTCAGCGTAGCGTGATAGAAATGAAATTATCCGGTCGAACAGCTCCCTCTCGCAATAAGCATCCGAGAACGAAATCGAGTTCTTTGAAGGGCAGGCGGGCGGAAGTATGAGCGAATGTAACCCGTTGTTTTCCAAATGAAATGGTTTAAAAAATAAAAAGAAGAAGCTAACCCGACGATAAGGAATGAAGGAATAAACTACTGTACAAGGAAACGGCGAGGAAAACGGGGGCTTTGGAGATAGGGCAGGCCAATTGAGCAAGGATATGGGTTTAATTTGTTTCGCCCAGCACAAGGACGGGCGACAGGGGAGGAGGAGAAATAAAGAGAAAAAAAATCTGGAGAAGAAATAAATGAGAAGAGGTATATAGAAGAAGAGCAGAAAGTAAAAGAAATGGAGAAGAGAGAGAAAAAAGAGACGATTGTTGTTCGCCAACCAGGAGGAGTTAGAAAAAGAGGATGGATGATTGAAGCCGAAACAAGCATCGTTGGTCTTTTGGGATTGGGCTTGTTTCGGAGGCTGTACTGTACGATGTGTACCGCGGCTGTATTGCGGCCTGCTCCGCGGGTGTGTTTGCACCGTAGTTGGCCTGTGCTGGGCGCGGTATTACGCTTACATCGCCATGTGTTACGTGCCAAGGCGGGTGCATGGGATATTATCAGGTGATCAGGTATGTGCGGTGGTTCTCGAAGCCGAGTAGAAGAAAAAGATGATGCTGATGATGATGCTCGGTGGTGATCTATCTATATATTATATCCAAGGATCTGTGTATCTCAGAAGAACAAGGTGTTCAAATACGTGACGTTGCAGATCAGTTTCGATTATTGTTTGCAAACGTTTCCGGTCCCTCAAACAAGTATATATATATATGGAGTTTAATGTAACAGGTTTGAAAGCCATAGCTAGCGAGTATCAAACCCTGGATCCAACCAGCCCCTATTTAACAATAATAAATGTGTCTTAAAATAATAATAAGTTAATAATAGTAATAATAAATAATAAAATAATAAAATAAAATAAAATTACCCAACACAGATTTGACCATCTAAAACTAATAATAAAATGTAAAATGCAATAAGAAAACAAGAAAAAGGATTAACAGTTTATGTTGCACTCTCATGTACATGTACATGAACCGGCTATGTGTAGCGTCTACTCTCCGCTTTCTCCCTCTCTCCCCTGACCTAGCCAGCCAGCCAGACGGACAGATAAGATGAAAATATGAAAATGAAGAATGAGGAAATATTACAGCAAATATATAATAAAGTTCGCACATGTATCATGTAACCAGATGTTCAAAATAAACTTGTAGGAAAAAGTGGAGAATTGAATGCCCAGCGTGTATGCCACCGGGACGAAAAAGAAAAGCCGAGGGAAAAAATAATGTAAATGGGAAATATGAAAGAAAGAAATAATAGGGAGGAGAAAAAGGCGTCTACATTGGTGTGTGTGTGTGGGGTGTTCCTGGCTCCCACCGGGCGCAAAGGGTGGACCAGGAAATTTCAGGAAGGAGAATAGACTGTATAAAACTTCAGAGGTCTAGAAAAGCTGAATAAGAAATGATCCCAATCAAGTGTAACCGATGCGGGGTAGTATCAAAGGAAAAACACACCGAAGAAAAAAAAACATTGTAGTACCACCCTGGGTCTAGAAAATGAGCTCGCTGGAGAAGCGTTAGCGGGTGTGATGAAGGATGTACGCTCCCTGCTCCACCTCCCCTACCGCAATCAGCCAAAATTGCCCTCCTTCCTTCACGTTGCAAACACAACATTTATGTATTTTTGATCTTTTGTCTCTTTTGAAAGTATGATCACTCTAACTCTCTTCATCCTGGTCAAGCCGACTATATCGTCCCTGATCACCGTTGTTGCCGGAGTTTCTCCCCCGCCCAATCATGCTAGCTAACCACGAACCAATTCCTTCGCGGCGGTCAGATCGTTCTACCGTGCCAGTGCTGGGTCGATCAGACTTATTATTTTTATAATTATTGTTACTTGACTCGGGTGGGTTAATGTCAAGTCCTGGGATCGCATGTTCGGCCCCGGGATAGCCCTCAGGAGACCTTCGAATATCAAGAGACGGCACCGGTGATCCGATGCCCATGAGAGCGTCGCGTTCTGCGGGCGTGGCTGGTGTTGGAGCAGCAGTTCCATCGCCAAAGATCGCATCCATGTCTTCAAGGCGGATTCCACTGGTTTCGGGGTAGACGAAATACACTGCGAAATGAGGGAGTTAGTACGGAAAAGTAGGGGAGTAAGGATTGGTTGGTATTCGGGTTACCTAGAACAAAACTGCATGCGCAGAAGAAAGCATGCATCAAATAAAGACGCCATTTTATCGTTTCCTGCAGGACTGGGGTTATTTCCCCGACCAGCCAATTGAACGCCCAGTTGGAAGCAGTACTCAAACTCGCACCTTTTGCTCGAATGCTGAGTGGTAAAATTTCCGGTGGATACAACCATGGGATGGGGCCCCACGAAGCACCGAACGCGGCGTTGTAAACCATGACGGAAACAACGGTGAGGACTGGGGTTAATTTAATATCAAGGTAGAGCCAGTAGGAGATAAAGGATAGTGATATAATCATCGCCACGGCGCCGGAAAGCAGAATTGGACGTCGACCCCAGCGGTCTACAAGGTACCAAGGTGGGATCGTCGAAGCCAGGTAGGATAGCGAGTTAATGCCGGTCATAAGGATTGCCTTACGTCCCATCATGCCAGCGGATTCGAAGACCAACGGGGCATAATAGGAAATAACATTGATGCCGTTGAGCTGAGCAAATGCTTGGGCAGACATGGCAATGAAAACTCTTTTGCGGTAGCGGCGAAACATGTCTGCATATGTCCGTTCGCCCTCCTGTCTCTGAATCAAGACTCCCATTTTGATATCACGGTATTCTTGACGGGCTTTCTCATTGTGAAGGTCACCTCCACCGTACAGGTTGGCAATGACGACCATGCCTTCTTCATCGCGATCTGTATCTAGTAGCCATCTATATTTTCTACGATGTCAGCAAACTGATATTGTACGGACATATAGCAAGTTCAGGAACTTACCGAGGAGATTCGCAGATAATAAGACTACCAAAACCCAGAAGAGCACCCATAAAGCATTGTAACGAAAGAGGTAACCGCCAAGCCCAGTTGTTTGGGATAAAGCTGCAGAAGTAGTCTACCCAAACGCTGGCTGCATAACCACAAATGTTTCCAGTAAACTCGATACAAGCCAACTTGCCTCGATTATGGGGAGGCGATATTTCAGACTGATAAACAGGGACGATAGTAGATAAGGCACCCACGCCCAAACCGGCGATGATACGACCAAGGAGCATCATAGGAATGCCCGTAGCGCAAGTCTGGAAAGCACCCCCAATGAAAAACACCATGGACCCGTAGAGAATGGTGCGCGTTCTGCCGATGATATCGCCAATCTTTCCAACGATAAGAGAGGAAATGAACGCTCCGATCTCCAGAATGGCAACCATGGTACCGATCTCCGCCATAGTCGGTTGGTTGAAATAGTCTTTGAAATCGGCACCCCTAAAACGAACTGTGAGATTCTAGGGATTTCGATGCATGTGTATATATGCATAGATGAAGCGGTGTACATACGTGATAATTCCTGACATAACTCCTTGATCATATCCAAAAAGGAAAACACCCAATGACACAAAAACACTCGTTAAATATCTGTGGGAGAGGAATCAAATGTCAGTAATCTAATTGTCCTGATAGATATATGCCCGTGTAGAGATACATAGGGAGGGGAAGGTCCATACAGTAATGGTTTGCCCACCAGGCCATTGCTCCTGGCCTTTCGCGGGGCCCCAGGGGACATGATAACGGCTAATATTCTTTCCACTCTCGAGATAGTTCGAGGAGCTGGGGTTGGGATACGGATCTCCTTGAAGAGGCCACTATCACTGTTACCGTTGCCGTGGCCTTCGTGGTGGTGATGGTGATGGTGGGTTCCGTGAGGGTGCTCTTCAGTTGGGTAGTGCACCCGTTTTGAACGCTTCCCGCGAGAGCGAAAGCCGCTTCGCCCAAAGGCGGAATGTTCAAGCGAATGACGGAGATGGATCTGAAGAGGGTCTTCTTCGTTGGCTAGTTGTTCAGCGAGGTCGCCAGTGTCTGACCAAACCGAGAAGTCGGAGTCTGAATCGGAAGGCGGAAGAGAGGAAGAAGAAAGCCGCCGGTTGCCCTCTTTCTCGCGTGAAAAGTCTAACAGCGCGGAAGGTGGATCAGGCGAGGGCCGGGATTGAGGAGAAAGGGACCGGAGGGGGATAGCGGTGGGAGGCTTGGGGGGTGTTGAGGAAGAAATGGTGGCGGTGGGAGGTGAGGGCTGGCGGGAGCAGCCCTACGGAGGAAATCGTAGAAAGGGGAGGGGAGAGAGTAGGAAGAGGAGTGGGATGGAGGAGTCGGGTGGGTGAGGTGTGATCGGTCTCTCTCCAACGGGTTGGCTGGTTGGGGTGTGATCAAGATCAGGAGGAGTGGTTCTGTAGCAGACGAGACGGGAGAATGGGGACGGGCTGCGTTGGTGGTTACGGGGTCAGCCAAGGAGGAGATGGGAAGCCTGACATCTGACGAGAAAGAAAGGACAGACGGGGCATCGAAAGATCCGGGGTTGTCGGTGGATTGGCTGGCTGTTGATTTGTTGCGGAACCTGAGATGCGTGGTTAGTCCGGGTGTAGTGGAAGTTGTTGGTAGCTGGTTGGCCGCTGTATGGACGGGTGGCAACAACGCTGGAATAATGATGATGATAGAATATTGATGCCGGTTGTCTCGGTTGTTTCTGCTGGCTCTGCTGTATCTGCTGGTGTCTTGTTTCTCGTTTCTCCCAGACTAGGAATAAGATAGGATAGTCTAGTAGTTATTGTTGGAGGTATTACAATCAGCCCCAGACGGTGGACACTTCCCGCTAACTTCCTGGCGTACCGTAAGTGGTCAGTACACGTGGTCTTTGTCTCTTTACAGCAAAAATGGCAGCAGTGGTACCTGGCTACATGTATCTCGATATTTTTCTTGCACAAGTGGTTCTGGTTGCGGATGACGAAGTTTCCGTATTCTGCGTTATGTAAGTGACGTCTTGTAACTTTAACCAGGAAAAAAAAGGGGTTGGGAGCTTTTCAGTTATACAGTCCAAGACAAGGGCAAAACTGATCAAAGTTGATCAAAATTGAGTGTGCTTTTGCTTCTTCTGAGAGAACCAAATCAATCAAATCCAACGCTCTCCTTGTCCTACTGCTGTTGACCGCAACACTCTGATAGGAGTAGAGAGCAAAGCCAAGACCGATTCAAAGGCACACTACACTGGAGGTGTATTTGTTGTTACGGTGATACGCGAAACAGGCACATTATTATTTCCACACCAACCACCAACACGGCCACGCAGCCTCGGAGTGGCGCAACCCTAAAACTATCCAATCAGCGCATTTCTTTTTCCTTCGTATTTATTTATTTATTTATTTTTTTTTTTGGTTTATATTTTTTTTCGCCTGAGGCGTGGCTCAGCGTCTGCGCGTAGATATCAAAATCGAGGAATAGAGTATATGAAAATAGGTTGAGGACAACGAGTCCACTTCCTCCATCCAACACCATTGACACAACTCCTCTCACTCCCAGCAATCCTTTATAATAGATACTACTATTACGGACTATCATACAGACTACAGAGCAACAAAATATGAACTTTCTACCCCACAACCTTCAATTATTCAGCGCTATCCCCTACCACACAGTTTATTATTTTATGGAGAGATACAATGGTCCCCTCTTTATTGCCCCATCCAAGCTTCCCCCACATTCAGCGGGAACATACTAAACAACAGCATAATACTATTATATCTTCTCATACATCGTTCCCCCAGCCCGAGGAGAGAAGAGGGGCATTCGTGTGGACATCATACTTAATCCTCAATCTGGCAGCACCTTGCACAGATATTATGTACGTAGTACGTGCTGAGATAGAGCATCGAACCCCCAAAATCCAGCGGAGCTAGCATAAAATATGGAGTTGATGTCCAGCAGACTTGGGGCTCATGGATCACCAGAATATGGTCCCTGTGGAGTCTCTTAAACGGTAGGCGATCTGTGGGGACGTCCAAAAATTGGATGGAAAAGGGTCACGGGACTCAGTGCTTGGCACCTGGGCACTGTTAACCGTTAGCTCATAGCCTGTAGGGAGATACTATTCCTGTAGGCTATGGACATCGAAGCATTCGGTTGTTGCAGGCAGATCCCTGCGCCGTTGTTGCCCATCATCAGCTGCTCGTACTCCGTACATGATACGCGATGGTGTCCCACCCATCGCTTGTCAGAACAGACGGTGGCTGACTGGGTCAAGGGGACAGACAATACGTCATTATTCTTTTCTTCGAAGCAATCATCCGTACACAGACATGAATGGATGAATCTGGACACTGGCTGGGCGTACGTTTATTTATGTATATCTTGGTGGTTATTGTCTAGTAAAACACTCCTATCTATATAGCAACAAAACCAAGACGCCCAAAGAAAACAATAGTCTACCTGTGGTATATATTCTAAAACAAAACCCCGACAAAAAAGATTCGTTGCCCCAAGCATTTAGAAATCCAACATCCAAAAAAATACAAAAAATAAAAGAAAGGGACATCCAAACCCCGCAGAAACGATCATCACCTCAAAATGATATCATACCCGTCCTGCTGAATATGCACCACCTCCGCATCTACCCCATATTTACGCCGCACCAGCTCAAAAATGATAAGACCGGCGCTAGTGCTTGGCACCTGGCGGAGAGCATTCCCAAAGAAGCCCCCAAAAAGCCACGGGCGCCAGCCGCCCGCTCGTAACGCCCGCCTCTGACATCGCATAAACAGTTCCAAGTACGCTTCATAGTGATGCTTCATCATCTTTCTTCCCGAGTGATCCAACTTGGCCATCGCATCGATGTGCTCCAACCTCTCGTAGTAGACCGTCTGCACCAGAGTGAGAGGATGATGCACAAACTGCTGCACCAGGGACGCCGTAAGGCCGGCTAACATCAGGAAACACGGTTCTAGACCATAGTGCGGTCGGATCGTGGGGATATCTCCAGATGAAATGCCTGCTGTTGACACAGACAGTTTCTCGACCCGGTGCGGCTGAAGGGAGCCGTAATAATATCTAACAAAGGTATAGTATCCTTGCGACTTGATCGTTTCGAACATGCCAAAGAAGAGAGCAGAACCGAAGGAGTCCTTGAGGAATGACAGACCCCAGCCAGAAAAGATGCCCCGGATGCCTATTTCATGAAGTTTGTGCTTTCCGTATTGCCATACGTTCCTATACTGGCCCTTCATCATATCGTTGGTGCTAAATCGCACCTGGAGCGCATCTAATGGGGCTGCAATGATGGATTGTATTCCTCCCGCGGCAAAACCGGCCGTGAACGTCAAACTCGGAGCTGGAGGTGGGTAAATGCGCTTGGTCGCTTGTAATGTAGGCTCATGGAGTCCGCTTAATATTTGGAGATATGAAGTATATAGAACTGCCCCAACCCTGTTGCAAAGAATAGTGCCAATGGGTCAGAAATATCATATCCCGCAGCAAAGAAATTTAACTGTTTAAAATAGGATTTGGCGGGACGTGATGACATACACAACATTTCCCATGAGCGGCGGGAGGACTTGGTCTGGAAGGAAACGCCAGCCATATGTGCGGACGGCGTGGGCAAGGAGACCTGGAGTCGTCGTATGCCATGACCAGCCGCCCTCCGCGACTCGCGGGTTGATAGCTTTGGCTAGAGCCTAGGGATATCCGTCTACCAATCAGCCTGGCTGTGACTCTGGCCGGTGCAAGCAAATCTATGCAGGGAGGTGCTAAGCAGACATCTACCTAGGTAGTCACCTAGGCAGGTAGTTAACTAAAACTAGGAGATTTCGTACCATATAGCTACGGAAGTAGATCGTCAACAGCTATCCTGAATACAACATGATAAATACAAGTAGAACACCTACTCCACTCGTGTGCGAAAAAACGCTTTGGCAGGGGCTCTGAAATAGAAGGCTACAGCCTGCGCGCTCAGGGCACGAACACCCGCCGCGGATGCGCCTGTAGCGGCGTTTGTTCGAGGTTTCCTGCGCGCTCCATCCTCCGAGGAATCTAAGTCGGCCGAGGGGATTTCATCAAAGCTGGTATTAGAGGGGTCAACAGAAGCGATGGACATAGTTCCGTGACTGAAGTGATTGCGGGCGATGGCTCCATGGGATGGAGTTTACTCGAGGACCTGTACAAAGAAGATTGACTTCCTGGGGCGATGAAACTAGAGCCGTGTCGTTCCTAGAGAAATATCATGATCGCAAAGATTAACGAGAGAGTGGAGAATATTAACAAATGAATAAAGAGAGCTGTCGACAGGCCAAAATACCAGCCAAATGTATGTAATAATATCTCACGAGTAAAATGCGCCGAAGTGCAAACAAAGCAAACATTCCATTTAAGTCAAGATCTACGCTAAACTCAATTGGGCTAAGCACAAACGCGTTCTCCCAGCGTCACGTCAAACGCCGCAAGACAGCAGCCGTCTCGCAAGATTTCTTCTGTCAGTCGTCAACTCCCTCGACTTCACTCTTACATCCTCCAGCACCTTTTTCCGCTTCCAAGTGTTCCTTGCGACTTGTTGCTCTTCTCGTTTCCATGTGGTAGCTCAGTAATTTTCCACCTATTGAAGCTCACAGTCCTCCTCAATAACTCCCTTCCTGGCCCTAGAATATCTTTTTGCCAAAGATGGCGGAAGAGATAAAAATTGACAAAGCGACGTTTTTCAATCGCCTCTCTAGCTTCTATTCAGCATGGAGAGCAGACAAGCGATCGTCGAATCCTGTGTTTGGGGGCGCTGGTTCGATTGTGATCCTTATGGGAAGAACAGAGGAGGCAAATTCCTTTCAGAAAAATAATGCTATGCACGTAAGTTTGATGTCCCATGCTGTTGGCATTAACGCTCTCGTTTTAGACCTTCGTTTAATCGGTTTTATCCTACTGTTTAGTTCTGGCTGCTGGGTTATGAGTTCCCGGCGACTCTATTCGTTTTCACAACTGAGGCCATGTATGTGGTAACAACCACAAAGAAAGGTAACATCATACCAACGCCTCCCACCCCTCTTATATAGGATCAATTACTTTAGTGCTAACTTGCATGTATTATAGCAAAACATCTTGAACATCTAAAGGGTGGAAAGATACCAGTTGAAATCCTCGTCACTACCAAAGATGCCGAACAGAGAACGAAGGTTTTCGAGAAATGTCTGGATGTCATAAAAAGCGCCGGGGTAGGTTGTCATTTCTTCCCCTTGATAGCCAACTGATCTGGCCTAACCCATACGCAAATCTATAGAAGAAAGTGGGCACCCTACCTAAAGATACGTCCTCCGGTCCGTTCGCGGAGGAGTGGAAGCGGGTGTTTGGCGAAATATCGAAAGAGGTAGAGGAGGTCGATATTGCGCCTGCTCTATCATCCGTTGCGTTCGCTGTTAAGGGCCCGGAGGAACTGGTAAGAAGTTTACTTCTCTATATCTTCACGGAGAACCCCGTCCTGACTAGGTTAATAGATCTCGATGCGAAATGCCTCCCGTGCCTGTAGCGGTCTCATGTCAGAATACTTTGTGGACGAAATGTCCCAGCTTCTCGACGAGGAGAAAAAGATATCTCATAGGGAGCTGGCAAACAGAGTGGATGCGAAAATTGATGATGCAAAGTTCTTTAAGAAGCTTGCTAAACTGCCCGCCGAGTTTGATCCACAACAAATCGACTGGGCTTATGGCCCCATTATCCAAAGTGGTGGCAGCTACGATCTTCGATTTACCGCCGTTCCCGACTCCAACAACCTCCATACCGGTATTATCATCGCTGGATTTGGTATTCGCTACAAGACTTACAGTTCCGTAATCGCACGGACGTTTTTGGTCGACCCTAGCAAATCTCAAGAGACCAACTACACGTTCTTGTTAAGCATCCAAGAAGCTGTCATGAAAGACATCCGTGATGGGGCTGTGGCCAAGGACCTGTATAATAAAGCGCTTGGAATGATAAAAGCCAAGAAACCGGAGCTGGAGAAGCACTTCCTTAAGAATATCGGCGCCGGAATTGGAATAGAATTGCGAGATTCCAATATGATTCTTAACGGCAAAAACAACAAAGTACTTAAGAGCGGAATGACCCTCTGTGTCATGATCGGCTTTACTGACATTCAAGACCCGGATCCGAAGGACAAGAAGAACGAAACTTATTCCATGATTATCACGGACACTGTTCGTGTTGGCGAAAGTGGGCCCCATATCTTTACGAAAGATGCGGGAGTTGACATGGACTCTGTCTCTTTTTATTTTGGTGACGAAGAAGAGACTGAGAAGCCAAAAGTCAAAAGCGAAACTGCAAAGTCTAGTGCCATCGCCAGTAAAAATATCACAAAGTCTAAATTGAGAGCTGAACGACCAACGCAGATTAACGAAGGCGCAGAAGCCCGTCGACGTGAACACCAAAAGGAGTTGGCTGCAAAGAAACTCAAAGAAGGCTTAGAACGTTTTGCTGGAACCACAGGCGATCAGAATGGGACATTACAGAAAAAGTTCAAACGTTTTGAATCCTACAAGCGAGACAACCAGCTTCCCATTAGAGTTAAAGACTTGACGGTGTACGTTGATCACAAAGCCTCAACCGTGATCGTTCCTATTATGGGTCGGCCTGTTCCGTTCCACATCAACACCATAAAAAATGCGAGCAAAAGCGATGAAGGGGAATACGCATACCTACGTATCAACTTCCTGTCTCCTGGACAAGGTGTAGGTAGGAAAGATGACCAGCCGTTCGAAGATCCATCCGCGCATTTCGTGAGGAATTTGACATTAAGATCGAAGGACAATGACAGACTTGCGCAAGTTGCGCAAGATATTACTGAGCTTCGGAAAAATGCTCTCAGGCGCGAACAAGAAAAGAAGGAGATGGAAGATGTCGTTGAGCAGGACAAGCTTATTGAAATTAGAAGTATGATAAACTCCTGTTCGTCTATCTGCTGTTTTGGATTTTACTAACAAAAGATATATTCCAGATCGTCGACCTGCAAAGCTTCCTGATGTGTATCTTCGACCACCGCTGGATGGAAAAAGAGTACCAGGAGAAGTTGAAATCCACCAGAACGGTCTCCGATATCAGTCGCCACTACGGAGTGAGCATGTTGATGTTTTATTCAGCAATGTCAAACATTTATTTTTCCAGCCCTGTGCACACGAAATGATTGTTATCATTCATGTCCACCTAAAAACTCCTATCATGATTGGTAAACGGAAGACCAAGGACATCCAGTTCTATCGGGAAGCTACGGAAATGCAGTTTGATGAAACAGGGAATCGCAGACGGAAGCACCGTTATGGAGACGAAGAGGAATTCGAAGCTGAGCAAGAAGAAAGACGCCGTCGACTTGCGTTGGACCGAGAATTCAAAGCGTTTGCCGAGAAGATCTCCGATGCTGGCAGAGATGAGGGGGTTGACGTTGATGTTCCCTTCCGAGAAATCGGTTTCAACGGTGTCCCTAACCGCTCTAATGTGCTCATCCAGCCCACCACGGATGCTATTGTTCAATTGACAGAGCCTCCGTTCCTAGTGGTGACGTTGAGTGAAATTGAGGTTGCCCATTTGGAGCGTGTCCAGGTATGTTGTTCTTCCCATATTTGTGTCTTTGGAATTTTTACGGGGCTAACAGGACGTTCGCGAAAACCAGTTTGGCCTCAAAAACTTCGATATGGTGTTTGTTTTCAAAGACTTCCACCGACCCCCGGTTCATATCAATACTATCCCCGTCGAGTCACTAGAGGGTGTCAAAGACTGGCTTGACTCGGTCGACATTGCGTTTTCTGAAGGCCCCCTCAACCTCAACTGGGGCGCCATTATGAAGACAGTCACTAGTGATCCGCACGGCTTCTTCGTTGATGGTGGCTGGGCCTTCTTGGGCCAGGAGTCCGACTCGGAAGAGGAAGAGGAGGAAGAGGAGTCTGCCTTCGAGATGTCAGACTCCGAACTCGCAGCTTCTGATGAGAGCTCTGAAGATGATAGTGAATTTGACGATGAGGCTAGTGCAGAGGCCAGCGACGAAGCGTTTAGCGGTGATGAGGATGAGAGCGCGGGTGAAGACTGGGATGAGCTTGAGAGGCAGGCGAAGAAGAAAGATCGTGAAAGCGGGCTCGATGATAGTGACAAGGGCAAAAAACGGAAACGGTAAATTAAATATTTTTAGTCCGAATTATCTGTTTTGTTTAGTGGGCAGCATGAAGTATGAATATTTATTGCGTGGATCATCTCTGCGAAATGCGGACTTTTTTTTTTTTTTTTTTTTTTTTTTTTTCGAAAATAATAATATGGGAGGCGGGTGGCGGGAAACGAAGATATGATCAAACGGGGTGTTCATAATTATTGGCGGTCAATTTCTTCTTTCTCTTCTACAAAACTCACTATCTTCTTTTGCTCGTTCGCCACAGTAAAACGCGGGGCCATCATAATAGTTGTTTATCCACAGAGTACTCCGTAGAAATGGCTCTCTACCAGGCAAACTAGTATGCTCGGCTGATCTCGAATAAAGTCAACCCCAAGACGGAAACCATTAAGGTCGCAATGATATCTATCTGCCCCTGTTAAGCAACTTCCTTCGTACGCATATCTACAGTTGATGGAACATAACGTCTCCAATATGATATGAGGAGGGTTCGCGGCCCATATAGTAAACTCAGACACGTAGAAGAAAGTAGTATACTTCCATTCCGCTAACTATTTGAAAGAATCCTACTAGGCCATCGAAATAGTTGCAATGGGTGCTGGATAATATTTGCGAAAACACCTTGGTGGGGTGTTCAACTTGTACTGCCTCCATTGGATTAATGGAGAAGAAAAGAAAAGAAAAAGAAAAGAAATATATAGAAATAGTTTCGAAATCAAATTGCGACATCAGATAAAGCAGGAAAGGAGAAAAGGAGGAAAGGAGGATCCAAGAAAACGCCAGAAAACAAGATAGAATATACAAGCGAGTAGCCTAAACATGTATAAATATAAGATGGGAGAAAAAATGGGAGCTCTTTTCAGCTATCGTCCCAAAGATGTAATGTATAATGGCAAGGAAACGAAGAGAAAAAAAGGGAGTTTAAGGGGAATGAGGAAAGAAAAATGGGGGGTGGGGGGGTGGTTTTTCAACAGGAAAGAAAAATAACGCCAGACCCAAATCCCTAATGACAATCACTCCCTCACAATGAACAGAGTAGGAACTGCAAAGAAATCGTTGATAACAAATGGGGAAAAAAAGCGGAAATCAATTTTCTACAAGTAATGAATCATGACCTGCCACCGAATCGGTTTTCACGACCGGTCGCGGTGGCTGTACTCGGCTGTTCGTTATTCCACGTCAGATACGTGTGGTCACCAAGTTTCCTATTTGATTTAAGTAGGTTGGATTAGCCGAACGCGATTTTGGTAGATGGTGCTTGGATTATTGGCCGGGTAGAAAAAAAAACAAGACAGGCGAGGGAGCGGAAGGACGAACCGTGGCTTAACTAGATGTGCCAGTGTAAACAAGGCGCCGAGAACGATGCAAATCCCACCCACGACTACGTATGCAATTCCCATGAATGGATTCTTACCACCCATCACCGTATTTGTGGATATCACAATAGACTTCGTCCCTCCGTAGCGGTGGACTGGGAAATCTGATTGTGAAAATGTCTGTTAGCCAAGGGGTACATAAACGGAGTAAGAGAGGAGTAGAAAACGGCGGTTGAGGACGAAGGAACCGTACAGTCATCAATGTCAATTCGATAATCGCCAGCCCTCATAATGTCTTTGTCATTTCGTCTCGCCAGTTTGCTAAAAGTCGGCAGGCCTGCCGTTCGCATCCACACCTGGAGTTCTTCGTACTCGTGCAAATCTGGCGGAGGAGTCTCATCGGAGTAGCCATTGGGGTATCGCTCCTTCCAGTTGGGAGGAGGACAGATCTGATCGGGTTTGTATTCAGTCTTCCCGAATAATTGCTTGTCGCTACTCCATGAAATGCCCTTGTTGGTCATTTCATAGAATGGTGTGTCCGACGTTCCTAGGAGGGCAGGGGAAGAGAAACTGTCATTGAAAACCGAGTTCGCAATGAGGCCACAGGGATAATATGCCTTTTTAGTTTCCGGGTCAATCCTGAGAGGGTCACAGGGACTCCCTTCTATCGTGCTATTGGGGAGAGCCTTGCCCTTGAGTTGTTCTAGGTCCAGCGATTTAACATATCGCCGGTGGTTTTGGTAAAAGTTGGTGAGGCGGTAATAGAGGAATACCGATGGCCCGATATCATTTGGGATATCAAAATACAGCGAGCATACGGTTGAGTTCACGGATACGCCACCGGGGAAGGTTCTGTTCACATTTTCCTCACGCTTCCAAGATGGGGTATCAATCTCTCGGGACCGGAATGACGAGCTGTATCTCCCTTCGTTCATAGGCTCGGGTTTGTCAAGTGGAGCTTCGGCCGCGCAATTCGTGTAATCAATAACCACCTCTTGTACCTATCCCGGAAGAGCCGCATCAGCAAGCAATCGGTCACTGGCCCGGACAAAGCCTTCCCCAAACCACACAAGAACACAGGGATGTATTGCGTACAGTAGAACTAGCCCATATCAGTAGACCTCCGATCGGCGCAAATATAACTCCGACAATGAAGAATAACGGAAGAACAGTTTTCGGAGTTAGGATAGGCCTGTCGCAAAAGCCGCGTCAGCGATATATGGCCCATGACCGCCAAAGAAAAATAAAAATAAAAATAAAAATAAAAATAAAGAAGAAAAGCGTAATAGTCCTTAACAACAGAGTTGTAAAATAGGTACTTACTGCCAGGCCTTCAAGCGTTGTTGCCGGAATGCCGTGTCTAAAAGAGTCGTCGCCGCAATATCATTTTGTCAGCTGAACGTTGTCCGCAACAACCTCCATATGAACAAACACGCTGGGATGTAGGAAGCCAAGTAGAGAAGTAGGGATTATGCGCACTGGCTGGTCTCCGGCTCTTTTGTTTCTTTCCATCTCCAGCATTGCGAGGATCCTGTTCGTCTACAGAATCCGGTTCTGATGCCATGACGGCGCGAATGGCGATGACGAAGACCTGCGGCTCAAAGGGCAGAATTTGAGGGGGCCTAGTAGTCCCTGGAGGGTGGTGTCGAAGGGTGGGTGGGTGGTCAGGCCAAGTCCCTCTGGGAGCTTGTCAGGTATCTGTATGTAGATGTCTTGTCGTTCTTCCTCCCCTTTCCTTTGTCCTCTGTGTTAGACTGCAATCCTTGGTGTTTTGTTTGTGGTGGTAGAAAGCTTAGTAGCAGAGACGAGAACAAGTCGTTCGTGGAAGGTTGGGCTGATGTTCAGCTTGCGTATGGTACGGGAAAGTGGCTGATGGAATCGCCAGAGATTGACCGGCCTGCTTATTCATCCACCAAGCCCCAATCAACGGACTTCTACTCCGTACATCTACATTACATCTACTCCGTACTCCCTACACTCCAGGTGGAAAAGGACGCAATTGACTTTATTATTCCCCTAAGGCGATGGCTAAGAAACGCGATGTAATTGTTCTAGAGAGGGAAAAACCAAAAGGGGCCTGTCTAAATCACTCTGATGGCTGTGCAATTAATTTCCCTCGCTTCATGCATTTGAACTTTGATGTTGTGCCTCATTCTATATTTAGCGCCAGGCGGAAAGGTGCCAAACCAACATAACTAACTATCAACTCTAAATGATTTTCAGTTCCAACAAAGAAAAGACTCTCTTAACCCATTGGCAACTGGGATTACACGGTGTGGGCAATAAGAAGAACAGATCTGCAGTTTCAAGCTTTTCTGCTTTTAGATTCTTAGGCTGCCTCATAAAGTGTGTCAAAGAGAAGACCGGTGAAGACTACTGATATGAAGAAGCATGGACATGGAGTAGGTGGTGGCTGAAGTAGCCAATGCAACGCGGTGTGTGAGGGATTATTATTCTGGGTTGCACCTACGCAAGATATGTATATAGAAGGTATTAGTTAAGGAAAGACTTCATATTGGGTATTGGGTATTTCAAATGCTATGAACCAAGCCAGTCGCCACTAAGCCATGATAAAAAATAATAAAAAAAATGAAAATGAAAAGCCGAGGGCCTGTAATCATTCTGAATGTTCATCCGGTTCCCAACCAACCAACCTAGACAGGAAAGATAGAAAGAAATCCCAGACAGAAAGACAAAACAAAATGCCCAACATGATGAAGAACGCCACTCCAATGTACCTAGCGAAGGGAACAAAGAAAGAAGTTAAGGAATGCCGTATGGTAAAGTGCATGCAATGCACATGCACATGCCAAAATATGAAAAGCCCTCGCGTGTCCGAACTAACATTTCCCTCCCCGCCCCCACATCCGTTTCCTTCGCAAAAAAAAAAAAAAAAATCCCCGTAAATGCGAATCAAAAGAATACGCCCCATCGAAGATGACAAAAGGCAAATCATCAAAGTAAGAACGTAAGAACGCAAAAGCCAAATAAACCAAACAAATGGGCTAAGGTCGTAACTTGCCCTGCCCCAGACTATCATCAAATGCAATGTGGAACCATGAAACACAAAGTATAGGCCGGCTGATACCTTGCTCCGCATAACAATAGCAAAATGATAATCTCGGTTCGGGGGGTGTTTGATAAGTAGAGGGACGGGAAAATCCAAATCAATAATAGAGAAATGAAAACAGAAAACTCGAACCTTTAAAACCCATGATGCATAAGAGATCCGAAACAAAACGTTAGGAAAACATTCAAGTCGTAAAAAAGAGAGGGGGGAAACATGTAGTCAAAGTAGTCCCACATCATGCAAGGAGCAGGCTTGGCGGAGATATGAGTTCCATTCCCGTTTCATAAAATAACAACCATGCGATATCACAGATTCAATCAGCGATTCAATTCAATTTTCAGTTCTCATTGTCCCACTCTGGCCTAGGTACCGACTCAAGTAGAAAAGACGGAATTAAGTAGCGCGAATCACAGATACTGTCGAAAGTACTCTGGTTTGAACCAGCCGACCTTTTCGTAGGCAGTCCACAACTTGCTTGCTTTGTTGACATCGATTTTGCAAGCCTGCTGAGCATCGGTTTTGCGGAATTCTTTACCGATGCGGAGGGCGTTGAGGCGTGCTTCAAAGATGCGACGTTTGCTACATAGATAGGTAGCGCAGGAAAGGCGAAGGGTGGCGGCCAGACCCACTTCTGCGGGGTCAAGTTGGTGACGGTCTGGGTCATTACTAAGATCCAGCATCTGGCCTTTCCAGTCCGCCTTCAAGCCCTTTGTGTTTCCACGAAGAGTTTCGACTGGAGGGCAGTAGTCAGGCAGAGATCTGTAGTCTGTATCATCGCGATTGGTTCCGATAACACGAGTAGGCTTTGGTGTAGAGGTGGCGACATCGAAAGAATCGTACACTCGTTGTCTGGGAGTGGACTTGGGGGTACGTCTTGGCCGCGGTCGTGGGGCCCGTACGCCACCGGTTGGGGTCCGCTTTTCTGGCGCTGGAGCGATCTTTTTCAATTTCATGGCGGTCTCGTGGCCAACCCGTTTAGTCTCTGAAAGTTGACGGTCCAAGAATTCTCTTTCCTTCCTTGCCCAGGCACCAGGATTCCGATTGTACTGCCTTCCGACAATGGGAACGCAGGACAAGGCGAACATGTATTCCCTGCGAGTCGGTTTGTTCTTCTTGTCTTGGAATCTTAACATCTGGCTCTCCATGTGTTTGTCGACGAGGCGTTCAGCGACGGGGGCCAATTGCGGGCCAAACAGTGGTTCATCAGGCAGGATATCGGTTTCATTGTTGGGGAAGAGGACTGGATCTTTCGAAGAAGCGACAGAGGCATCATTCTCGATCTGATCGTGGGCGTTTGACTTTTGTTTCTTGTTCCCTGTGTACGGGGTGACGGGTGGCGAGGGTAGATCCATCTCGGATTGGGTGCGTTTTCGATGGGAAGAGATGGGAGGAAGGGTGTTATTCTCGTCAAACGAAGACTGTTTAGAGGTGCATGGCGAAAGAGATCGAGTGAAACTATCGAGAGGCTTTGCCTCTGGCGGCGACATTAGGCTAGATACGGGCGGTAGACGATTCATGGCAATGTAAGTGTCAAGATGGTTGTGTGTGTATGTGTGTGCGTGGGTGAGTGTGAATTGAGTTGCGGATGGCGATAGGCGAATTGCGATGATGAAATAGGCCGAATTGAAATGTGAGGGAGATAGAAAGGAAGGGCGTGTGTCGTAAGGGTGGTTTGATTTGTGATATTAAAAGGAAGAAGATGAAGATGAAGAAGAAGAAGAGGAGGAGGAGGAGGAAGAAGAAGAAGAAGAAGACACAAGAAAGAAGAAGAAGAAGAAGAAGAACGATGATGGATGAAGAGAAGAAGGAAGAAAGGTACAGGTGATGGATGTGATGGATGAGGAGGAGTGAGTGACGTTCCCGGGTCCACCCCAGGCAGAAGAAATACGTGTGAAGGGCGAAGGCGACAGACGGAAAAAGGCTGAGTTTTGCGGCCTGACCTTGACCAGTGAGTTGTAGTTGACCAGTGAGGGACCAAAGCCAAAGGGACCAAAAGGGAACCAACAGAGCCAACCAGAGCCAACCAGCGCTGCGAATTGGAGGTTGCTATGTATGTATGTACTGTTTGCTGGGAGGCGGCTTGATTTGTCAGGCGGGCAGGTGGATGAATGAACCTGTGACTGGTGACTGGTGACTGGTTGACCGGAGACAAGTTACTAGGTTGGGTGGCAACGGTTGGGAGGTTATTATTAATTAATTGATCAATTGTATTAACTATATATATAATGACTGGAAGGGCTGGATTTACCTAGGTATAACTTTGGATGTTTCCGTAAACTTTCCACGCTTTAAATAATGTAATAATGATAATAATAATAATATATAAGTAACAATGGTTAATAACCGCCGATGACTCCCAAAGTCGGAGTTAAGCTGCTAAATGTGTCTGAACTAAGCGGGTAGGCAGGCAGGGAGTAAGTTAGTTCACCGTGTCAAGGGTCTGGGTCTGGTCGCTTCGTTTAAAAAAAAAATGGGTTCTTGGAGGATCGACGAGGCTATGGGGTTTTGCCTAGCCTGGCGCCGCGTCTTATTACTCGTTATTAGACTAACAAGACGACAAGAGGGGTAAACAGGCGTAGCAAGACAGCGATTTAGCTAATATTAATAGCAATGATATTGGCTGTACTTGTTGATAGGCGATCAGCAGCTGACAAGGCTGAGAGGGGCGTGATGTATGATAGGAGATAGATGGTAGATGATAGATGAGTAGATGATAGATGATGAAAGATGGATGGATGACTTCAATGGTTAAAGAAGCGAGACAGAAGGGACGAAGTATATAGTTTGATCAGTGCTATGATTGAGAGATAGAGAGAGAGAGAGAGAGAGATGAGAGAGTTGAAGGATGAGAGAGTTAGTGACCAAGGCAGCTGATATACAACTTGGAGGAGCAGTATTTAGCAGTACAAACAAGCACAGGGATACACAGGTCAAGTGATGGCATATGGATGGTTGCGGAGGTTTGGCGACAGTGAAGGAGGCAGAGGAGGATGGATGGAGGAGGATGGATGGAATATTGCCGGGAAAAAAAGCCACCGCCGCTGGCTGCGGAGGAGACTAGCTTTCTACCGGATTGATCCTCTCTCTTCTTTTCGTATTTAATGTTCTTGCTATTGACTCATGCGAGTTATTGCTTTGTGGCGGGGAGCTAGGAGCTGGGAGAGTGTTGATGTTTGCTCTAAGGGAAGAAGAAGAGAACGGAGAAACACATGAAGCAATTTCTTTGAAAATGATTTGGAGTTATGCGGTTGCCTGTTTCATGATGGGATGATTCATTCATCTATCTCTAACTAAACTTTGGAGAAGCGAGCTTAATTAAATAAAAAAGAGATTAGGTTTCGCATCCTCATTCATGTCTAATGTGCCGTTAACTCTCTGTAGTGAAAGGGCAACTCCGGCTGGTATAGAAAGAAAGCAAAATTACATTTACGGTTGTTTATGGATTGCGCTGTTGGACAATGGGAATCATGGTTTGGATCCAGTTTGAGCATCAGCAGGGCAGATGGGCAAAAAAGCAAGGTTTGATCATTGGGCGCTACATAAAAATAGAACATTTATTCCCAACTCTAATTTGTCTTTTAGGAGTTTAAATCCATAACTACTCCACACACTGGGCCCAGGATCCATCCATGGGATGATACTGACAGAGTTCACAAGAGTCAATTTAAAGCACAGAATACATATATCAGAATACACATATATATATATATATACACAGAATATACATATATACACACCCACCCACCCACACACACACACACACACACACACACACAGTTCCACATACCTCCTCCCCTCATCTCTAAACCCCTCTTCACCCAAGCTAAGAATCAAGCTAACCGCCCATCTGTCTCCGCGCCTGACAACAGCTGATGGTCACCAACATCATCACCAAGCCAATCACATCCATCCTCCCTCCCACAGACGGGGCTTTGTGCGTCTCAACATTTAACGAGAAGATAATCATGATCCGCGAAGTCTCTGTGAAATGGCGAAATGACAAAAGTTGTAACTTCCGCCTTGCTACGCCCAATTTTGATGTGAAGGCAAATCCTCCGCCATAGCCACCACTTCCCAATCTGGAAGCTGCTGTTGGAATATGCCCTGCCAAGCTTCCGAGCAGGCAGTCTAAGATAGAGGTTCTCGATGAATATCTGACCAATCTCTTCAATAAATACTGCACCATTGCTCCACCATTGCGCTCCTCTCCGGCGCATTGATTCTCAGGGGAGGGGAACTAGTACATATACATATACATATACATTACGACCATGTGAAGTAGAAATATCAATCTCGGTACCCTCAAAGTTCATCAAGTTCTCAATATCAAAATACAAGACACGTTTTGCAGATACCAGTGGAGTGTGAAGTTAGCAAGGCCAAAGGGGTGCTGGTTTAGTGATATAGAAGTGGCTCAGTCAGAGATATTACATACATCAATGAAGGCTTGGTTTTTAACCGTAAACTTGGAATTTGCCAAAGCTTCCAGCAAGCCTTGCATACTGTTCTGCTGTTCTGCTATTCAGTTTTGATCAGTTGATTCTTATATGACAAGACATTGCACTTTTTATCAAGAGCAATGTTAAGCTAATTGACTGACAGAATGCTGGGATTTATTCTGAAATTTTTGAATATTCAACATTGACAGTAAGAAGATGGACTGTGATACTCTTTGCAGATATGTTATTTGAACTGATTTTTAAATATTCAAAGATGAAGTGTCAGTTGTCTCAAATTATATATGCATTAACAACTGAGCTCTGAATTAACTAGGTATAAGCTGTGACATGAAATTTTAACACTATTATAGTGAGTGATCTTTATATTATAAATAGATATATAATAATGAATGATTGTGAACTTTTTGAAGTTTGATACTTTTAAAGTATTTCAGTTGCAGTGAGTGATATTTGAGACACACTCATTAATGTAAGAGCATCTGGCACAGTTGGTATTTCACATCATCACACTTTGATCCATAAGAGTCTTAAAGCCTTTCTCAGAAAATCATCCACCTCACCCTCTGCTAGATCATATAATAGGTCATACATCTCTATTGTCTCATACTTGTTTTCAGGAGGTTCTAAAGAGTTTACAGATATAAGAAGGTTCTCAACAAAGAGTGATTTGTGAGTTACCGATGAACCTTGAAAAGCAGCAGCAACAGCAGTGTGTGATGGCCCGGAGTTCCCTTGCAGAGCTAGGTACTGCTGCATGAAGTCATGTACTCTCTGTGATGCGAGGCAAGAGTCTCTGGATAGTCCTCCCACGGTGTAGCATGCTCAATGCCTTTCTTCATTTCTTCGTTCCATACGTACATCGACAGCTCTCAGTCTCGAGCGAGCCAAGAGGGATATCTTTCGTTTCCAACAAGGCGGGGAACCGCCGCGAGATTGTCCCAATTGATTAAGCCCCGCATACTCCCATCTTCGGATACAAGGATATTCTGTATAGCTTTTCAAGTCCGGACGTGTAAGCACGAACTTTGGGTCTTGCGGTGCCCGCGCCCAGTGCAAAAAGAGGTTTCAGCATCCCCACCTCGATCTCATGAGTTGGTTGCTTTGCCCTGTTGAATGAGAGAAGGTAGAAATCTCGTGGGTGAACGAAGGGTCCTGCTTCGTAATAGATTGCTGGTTCAATGTCATCGTCATCACTCTGTGCGAGTCCCTCAAGCATTGCCTATGGTCAACAAATCTCATTGGGCCGGTGCCGGTCAAGTTTCCTTCCGTATCAAATGTTGGGATCCCGCCGGTAGAAAACAAGAGTCGACTTAGCTTAGCCATAGCTCAATTGATATTGTCCAGGGTTCTGGTGCGGTGCAATCTCTGCTCTTCTTTTGAGATTCTCATGTCAAACCAGCAGTCACACAGAAACATTCCTTGGATAAAGCTCATGAGGGTGAAAGGAACAGCAAGTTCATTATCCAATGTTGCATCAAATGGAAAGACATCAGGAACTGGGATTGAGGTTTCATGGCAGATACGTTGCATAGTCAAAGCTTCAGATCACAGTGTGCTGATGAGGCAGGCTTGTTAAAATGCTCAGGTGTCCCTCCAGGCTGGAATCTTCAGGACCCATTGCAGCCCATCGTGAAATCGAATTGGAAATAATGCATGGTAAGAACTGAAGAGTGGAGATTTGATTGTTATTGGCTCAATGGGCGTTTCTTCTTTTTCCACAAAGTCTGCCAATTCTTTTTGAGTGACAGCACAAAAGTTGGGGATGCATTTGAGATTTACAGCAGATAGAACTGGGGGAAGAATTATAGTGTTGTTGCTCTGAGAAGAATTAGGCTTTGAAGTTTATCTCGCTCTTCTCCATGGAGGCCGATGATTATGAAATTCAATGAGAGGGAAAGAGTGAAGTTGATCAAAAGATCTGAAGTATAACTTGTGAAATGGTTTACTACTGTTTTTTTGGAATTCAGCTGAATTGAGTTGATGTAAAGAGAGAGAGTTCACTCCCATTTTGTCTCCGGGGGATGTGGCCTAAACAGCTCGTTTTCAGGACTTTTCCTATCTCCACAAGAAAAATCAACTGGCAGCTCCTGGTGCTGTTCAATTCGTTCGCTTCGCTCCCTACTTCCTGCATAGGCTCTGATAGGACCGGCGGCAAGCAATTCCAAATGGTGAAGCTTTTAAAAGCTTCAAGTTGATCAACATCGCAAAGGCCATGGATAAAATTTAACATCTTAGCACTTTTTAAGGCGTCGCTCTTCTAGCTATATTCAATGCCTATTCAACTTCACCATCTCTATGTTGCCTACATAGCGTGATCTACTGATGATGCGCTTGCTTTGTTCTCTTCATATTTATAGAACCCCCTCTGTTTCATCAGGGCTCAATACTCCATGGTTCCAGAAGATCATCTTCGGCGCTTAATGGTCGAGGCAGCGAGGTAGAGGAGAGCCATCTATCCTCCAATTCAGCGGCTAGGATGGAAAGTGAGCCGAGAACAAAGTTATATGAGCTCTTAAGGTCACGATCCAAAAACTCACCCTCAGCGGCGCAATCATCAGCCACAAATATTTTGCGAAGTCTCATTTTAGAATATCAGATTCGACTCATCCTCCGCTCATTTTCTCCATCGAGGATTTTAGACTTAACGTTACATCAACCTTCAAAGCATATTTCAGCACTCAGACGGGACACGGATATTTCAAAATGAATCATCACTGATCTGCACTCAGATCATGTCCGCCATGAAATTCCTACAAACATCATAATTTAGTTCAACTTGTCACAAAGCTTTCTTTACCCGCCGGTCAAAAAAGAACAATCACCCCCCAACCCCGAAGAAGTCATGCATTGCCTGCGTTGTCTCGTCATCAAACACCATCCCAGTCTCATATCCGCAAAGTACAGCACCATCCCCTACCGCTCCCGCACTAGTCCACTCCTCATTTCCATCCCCATCCCCATCGCCAATGTCGTTATGAGCACTGCTATTCCGAGTGTTCCCGCTCCCCACGGCATGCAGCCCTTCCCCAATCATCTTCCCAATCTCCCCCAGCCTCTCTACCAACCCCTCAAAGATTAGTGGTAAATGTTGTGCTGGCCTGGCCTCCCTGCCCCGGCTAATAACTTTATCCAACCGCAGTGCCAGCCTGTTCAGCACTTCTCGAAAATCCAACAGGTGAGACACATACCCCAAATCCCATGTGTTATGCCGGATCTCCATCACACGCGTCAGGATGAGGATGCAGTGCCCCAGCTGGAGCCAGGTCGGGTATGGCAGCGAAAATATTACCATGTCAGTCAGCGTCAAGAAGTGGTCCGCTAGGGATTTGATAGCGAAGAGGCACGAGACCAGCAGGTCGGTGCGGCGGACTGTGAGAGCGATTGTGGAAGTCGTGTTAGACGGCAGTACGTCTGTGTTGCTTGCCCATGGGCATCCTGAGGTCGTTGCTGATAATGATGAAAATAGCCGATCATCCAAGGCAATTTTATAAAGGTAGGCTTGCATCGAGTGGTAAGATATCATCAACATCGCTTTTTCCCTCCCTTCTTTGTCAGCCAGCGGGCATGTCTTCACACTAAAGCATCCGGGAACTCACATGCCGGTGGGATCACGAGATGTCGCATTTCGCTTATTTTATCACCCATTGCTTGGACTTCCTTCTCTAAAGATGAGATAACTAGGGGCGTTGCTGCTGGCCCATTTAGCGTGGATGAGTCCATGAGGTTATCATTGTATACTGTTGCACCAATTGTATCAGCTATTTGCTGAATGCGGACTAGATGCACAAGGTACGAATCGGTCGGGTACTCCGTCGCCTCTTGCAGAATATGACAGCATTTATCGGCATATCTGCTAAATCTCATTCCGTCAATTTCTTTCGCGCATGTCTTCGTTCTAATTTTATGATATTGTCAGTCATTTTGGTTTTGCCCAAAGGGGATCATTTATTTGACCGACACTGAACTCAGCCAGAATACCCCTAGGAAGGCACGCCGTTCCTCCAAAGTTCTTGCATTTGGGGCCGCGGGGGCCCGCCCTACTTCTCTTAGGGCCGCGGGTGAAGTTTTTGATCGTGTGTGAGGTTCCCTACTTAGCTCGAGGTCTGTTACCATGACCATGGCCAAGGGGAGGAGATTGGACAGTTGAGACTTGAGCTGCATGTGAACATGATTCCTAAATAAGAAGTTAGCAGGTTAATGGTGACTTTTCATGTCCCACACACACAGTCCTGGAAGTTTTACAAAACTCACCATGCCGAATAAACCAACAAAGCTTGCAATAATCCTAGGTTCATTTCTCCACAAATTAGAATGGAGCGGCTGATCTCTTCACGAAACATCTTGGCGAGAGTCTGTTGTCTCCGGGTATCGCTCTGATAGGCAACACCCAGAATGGCCATGTATAACAAGGGCTTCTCGAGCAGTAATTCTTGCGGGGTTATGCCCCATGGAAGTCGGGTGAAGGGGTACAGAGGAGCCATTTCTGAGCAGAAAAAAGCTAATAATCCACTGGCTTCCCGTGAGTCTGGCGGGATAAGTTGTTTAAATGCTGAAAGAGGAGAATATTCGACAGAAATATTCGGGACAGAAGACAAAGTGTGGGCATAAGATGACGAAAGAGCGGATGAGGGTGGGGATGGAAGAGAATCTGCTATCAAAGATTCTGTGCGGTCAGAAACAGATCTACCCTCCTTATCAGATCAGTCTGCAAACCGAACCAAAAAAATACAGATAGATAGATATATTATCTGTGGCTCATGATACGCACCTTGCTGTTGTGCGTCCCATGCGACTATGACTTCCCCGGGGCTGGAGAGTACATTCTTTCTTGAGTCGAAAGCATCTTTGACGGTGTGGTTTTATAGACAAAATCAGTCTCGAATAACTAAATCAATGTAGCTACTACATTTGTAGTGTAGTATAGGACAGGAAATTGAAAGTCCGCAAAAGCCACGTACCGCCTGCATTTCCGATCACCCTTCTCGATCTCACACCTTACTTTGGCGCTGGCACAGACCTTGCAGGCCTTCAGCGTCTTCATACCGTTCATACTTTCAGATTCAGCTTCCGGTTCCGAATGTCTTCACGAGTGCCTGTGTTATACACAGCATCTGTGGCAGCTTGCATGGATATACAGCTTCATATATCACTCAATGGTCACAGTCAACGCATGGTGATCCAGTCTAATGCGGCTGGACAGTTGGGCCATGGGTAGCTGACACGCAAGTGGCTGAGTTGAAGCTGACGTTGCTGGAGGTTGCTTGCTTCTAAGTTGGAGCCCTGCAGACACCCGCTGGGAGTGGTAAAATTCCGTGTCTGGTTCCTTGTGGCGTGGCGTAACTAACTTAGTTAGGTAAACTACCGTACTATCCATACATACTCGTTATTTTCATTCTTGTAAATATTACAGAGTAGTAGATCCCCAAGTATGGCTAGAAATGGATAATTATATTCTCTATGTAAGGCTACTCAAAAACCAAAGACCAAAACTAAAACATTCTATAGATATTGGAGTTCTTCCCCAAAGGAAATTTAAAGATAATACAATAAAGAAAAGCTGAGCAAGCTGGTGCCCATCACCCCCTGTCCTCCTCTTCAAAATGCCTCCCAACAACAGACAAGAAAACTTGGTCCAATGTTGACCTACTAACACTGTAATATGGTACTCCTAATCTGTCTTTTCCCTGTTCAAGTTGCTCGAAAATCTCGACTAGAGACCGCCCCTGGCCATACCTGCCCGGAATTGCAAACCGAACTTGTCCGTAATACATGCCTTTCTCCATTTCCGCTTCGGGAAATTGTTGCTGTATCCACATCTCCATTCTCTTCATATCTACTGGTCTCGTATGTGGCGCTTGGCTGTGCGCCATGTGGATGGAATATCCATTCCCATACCTCTGTCTCAGCGCATCGGTGGTCCCCAGCGCGAGCATTTTCCCTGCGATAATCCCTGTACGACTTGCCAACACATCTGCTTCCTCCATCGAATGGGTTGTTAACACAAGGGACCGGCCAGGAGTAACTGATGAGAGAGTCCGCCACATTTTCCGCTTGGTCACAGCGTCCATTCCTGAAGACGGTTCGTCTAAAAGGAGCACACTGGGATTACCCATTAGTGCGATACCAAGTGAGAGTTTTCTCTTGTTGCCTCCGGAGAGAGTTGTTGCTATTCGATCAGCGTATTCTTCCAAGCCAACACTTTTAATGATTTCCTTGAAATTGTGCCGTGGGTTACTGATACCACGGACTTTGGCGTAGAATCGAAGGTGCTCAGCAACCGTCATTGGGTCCAGAGGGTCGATTTGAGGACAGACTCCGAGCCTAGAACGTGCTAGTGCGCGATGTTTTAGGGCTGAGACACCGTCGATAAATATCTGGCTCTGGCGACTGCTTGGCTGAGCGTCTCCGCGGATCATTGAAATGCAGGTAGACTTACCCGCCCCGTTGGGTCCGATGAGGGCAAAACATTCACCACGCGGGACTCCGAAAGTGATGTCGTTAACTGCTAAATGTTTTTTGAACTGCTTTCTCAATCGAAGGACCTGAAGACCATCGTCACTGGATGTGGAAATCCTCGCAAATTCGGCAGTCGTCTCGAGTTCAATCGTGTCTCTGTCCTCTGCATCTGTTCCTGATTTTGTCCTACTCCAGAACTGCACTGAAGGCCCCGCATCCTTCCACTGAAGCATTCCAAATAGAATAAACGATTGAATAAAGAGGTATAAAATCGGCCCTCCAAATACATCCATCGCGCCGGGGTATGCTGCAATTTCACGACCTCGACAGGTCGCTCCAAAAATGTTCAACGAAAGGTAGAGTGCTCTTGAGAAGCTGTGCACCGGCGAAGTTACCCCAAGGCTGTAGTAAGCGATACTCAATACTGAGTTCTGTTGTGAAGCATCAACATAGGTCAATGTGACTACGAAAACAACCAAAAATACGAGATACATCCCCGCCTGAATGGCTGCGGTGACGGCAAATGCCGCTAGCTGAGATGGAGAGAATAAGGAAATAACGTAGGAGAACAGAGTCGAGGCGACCCCGTAGAGTAGAAAAATCAAAAACAGGTATTCCATGCGGTACCAGATACCAGTGACCGACGCAAGAATCGCAACGGTGATGGAGGCAATAGTTAGTGTGATCAAAAAGTCGAAAGCCAGATAAGCCAACCATAATGGCAAGGCACGGACGCCATTGCTATAATGCATGCTTCGGACTGCGCGTAATCTTTCAACGGTTGGATAGAGAGATAGAAAAGCCGGGTATACCGCCACTGACAGTCCGAAGAATGTGACAAAGATCAGCAAATTTCCAATCTCTGCCACAAAAGGGAGATCGAGTGACTTGTAGTCGGTGATAATGGTGGTATTCAGAAGCATACTATTCATGACGTTTTGGACTATAATTCCTGGCACTATCGGCACATCTGCCCGCCACACGAAAGTAGGTTTTTCCCCAAGAAAGAACCCGCCAGGAGTCAGATTTGCGAATTGGCGCCGAACTTCATAATCAAACTGAGATAAAGTCTCCACAAAATTTACAGACCCTGGAGGAGCTTCGGAAATTCTTTGGTGAGCGACTTCAGAAAGCTGGGACTTTGGGCCCGCTATCAAACGAAAACTCTGCGAAGACGATTCCAAAGCAGAAACGGATGCTCCCAATGCAGGATTACAATCCACGGATTCAACATTTCTTAGAAAGATAGAGGCACAACCAGCAGCGACAATGGGAATGGCAAGAGCGGCGATAGATGGAGCAAGGTTCCTTTGAAGGATAGTGAATCTTTTCGAGAAAAGAATCGTTAATTGTTTAAGCAAGCTGGTTCTCCTGCCACTGAGCAGTTCCAGGCGAGTGGACGATTTACCTCGTTCCATGGAAACCAAAGGTGCCGGTGGCTTCGCCAAAAGTCTGCGAGTATCAGACCCATGATCGAAGCTGTCATGACCCGATTTTGCTTCATCAGCGACTTTGAGGAACACATCTTCTATCGTTGGCCCATTGACTTGATATTCTTTCACACCATCTCCCTGTAGCCGTTTAAGGAACATCAGAGTGCATGCGGATGTCCCCGGGTAGTATACCGTCCCTTGCTCATCATTCGCATGAAGCACATCGCCGTAGACAGGCGGTTTGATCACCCCAGGCATGTTATATAAATGAACACGATATCCTGTCCCTAGTCTTTGTTTCAACTCCACGGACGTCCCTTCCGCTTTGAGTGATCCATGAGCCAAGATAGCGATCCGGTCCGCAAGCAAATCAGCCTCATCTAGGAAATGGGTTGTCAAAATTATTGAGCGTTTGCCCCGTTCCGCTAGAAGAATATCCCATAATTTACGGCGTGATAATGGGTCAACTCCTGAGGAAACTTCGTCCACGCAACAGATAGTGGAGCGGCCAGCAAACATCACTGCCATCTGTAGTTTGCGCTTTTGTCCTCCAGAGAGATGTTTTGAGTAGGTGGAAACCTTCTTGGCCAAATCGCAATCTTCGATTAAGACCCTGAGATTTTCTGCTGAGGACCTTGGTCCAACGCTTTTGATGCTGTCAAAAATCTTTACATGTTCGGCAACTGTCAGGTCGTCCCATAAGACATTTTTTTGCGGGCAGTACCCTAGTGTCCCTTGACTGTGTGGGTAGTCTATCACAATCCTTCCCGAAGAAATGGAATGTATCCCCGCAATAGCATCAAGTGTTGTAGACTTGCCACTTCCATTCGCTCCTAGAAGAACCATGATTTCCCCTCGATATGCTTGAAGAGTTAAATCTGCTACCGCATGGACTGTAGTGAGATGCTCCCTAGTCATAAATGATATCGCTCTTCGGACGAACGAGGGTCGATATGTCTTGCTCATCCTGCTCAAGTGGATGGCAACGGGGGAGTTTGAGATTTTCGTTTTCCTGGAAGTGGATGCCCTGCCGTAAAAACCTCCTTCAACGAACGCCCCCAAAAGTGGATAAATAACCACCTGGAGTATTGCAAATATCCAAAATACAATGGCGGGTAAAGTGGACGGGCTATTTGGGGCTGGGAGTAGCAACTTGGCCGCCTTAGTTTGACTCTCCCATCTAGCAACTGTAATGATGAAATAGACGTAGTTCATCGGAGGGAATATAAAGGAGAGCACAGCCATGACCCATGTAGTCACCTTTCCTGAAACCTGGGCTAGAATTGCGAGGACTAAGCTGAGGATTACTGCTAGTATGCCACTCAGCTGCGCTTTTCTGAAAAAAACTCCAGTAAATACTGCAAAGGAAGTAAGCGATAATCCGGAAAGCGTATTAAATACGATTGGAATTATAACTGAAGTTTCGCGAAAAGCCACGGCTCCCAGAATCGTACCCATACCAACCCAGCCAGGACCATAAACAATGACAAAAGACAGGTGATGGGACGTGAGTCTTATCATTTGCCTTTGCCAACGTGATTGATTAGGCATCATCGTATCGAGCAGGGCAGCCATACCGGTTTCTCGTTCAGTGGCGATGAGGCCCGTCGTTTGATACAGGACTCCGACCATAGAAATATAAAACGCAACAGCCAAAATATTGACGACGTTGTTCATATACTTGGAATGAATGTCGTCCTGTTGCTGCTCATGTGTCCTGGCAGTGAAAGGATATTCAAATATCGTTTTTGATGAGCTGCCGCCATTGCTGGATTTAAGCGCCCCGAGACGGCTGATTGCAAAGTCGATGGAGTGCTGCAGCGGCAAGGTATATATTTGTGCGTCGTTGTCACCGGCCTTTGTGTTGATCTTAGTTCCAAGTACCCCATCTGCTCGAATGGAATAGTTCCATCGACCACCACTGCCTTCGGAAGGAGAAGCGTAGAATACAGCAGCGCAGATACACCGGGAAGATCCCCTGAAAGAGCCGCGACATTCTGTGCGAAGCTCATTCTCGGTTTGAAATGTTTTAACCTCGATATCTAAATCTCGCAAAGGCGCCGTCACATTTTTAATGACCAGATCAATCTCACCCCCTGAGAATCCGCTGTTGACAAGGACGATCCGGTTACGTCCTCCCGATGCTCCGTCTATTGCATTGGACAGAGTTCGAACAGGCCGCGGTTCTCCAATACCAAATTGTGATGATGGAAAGAAAAGATTCCCCGAGTAGGACCTGCCTTGAGTCAGCTCAGTTACTTGTCAGGGGAAGGGGGAAGTGTCGCACAGGAAAATAACAAAAAGAAGTGGTAAGAAAAGCGCCCGCAAAGGAGTCGATAGCCAATGTCTGTAGAGTGTGATAATCAGATTTTTGTGAGTTAAGGTCCAAACTTGACGCAAAATACGAGCCATGGAGGTCAAACTTTGACAAACTATCAAATTAGAGCATACGGTGAAGGTTGAAACAAATAGTAGAGGATAAAAGGAGGGTAGAGAACTAGTATGTTGTTATCTTTCATCTCGGGTGGATGCACGGGGAGTACTTTATATAGAAAGCCACCCGAGTTTCCGAGAGACGGGATTTCCCCTGGGGAGTACGGGTCTCTTAGAGATATTGAGATTTAAGGCTGAGCAGTATATTGAAAACAATAGAATCCGTCAATGACTGACGGTATAAAGCACACGTTGACTTGAGGGCGGCAGCCCTGCCGAATCACTTTCGTCTAGGTCTAGATATATATGCCAAGACACGGGATCGGGATTCCGTGTCAGGAAACGGAGACGACAATTCAACCGGTAATCCTTGTGGAGATGTCTGAAAGCTCATCTCATGATACCAAGGCCCAATCAAAGACGGCCCCTTATGGCCGTAGTCCTCGCAATCAAGTCCTCATGATTCTGTTTGAACAGTGGTGAGGAGCAGCTAAGGTGTATCGCAGGGGAGAGCTAATGATTATTTCATTGTCAGAGAGAGATAACATAAAAATAAAATATCTTAATGCACACGAGCCTCTGTGTACAAAGACATTGCAGAGCTAAGCTTAAAACAGAAGACTCTGCAAGATTGATTTTACAGCTTATTAATAGAAGAGATAGAACTGTAACTATAGTAAAAGTATATCTGTAAAGTGAAATAAAATTGACTTAAGAATAAGTTGAATAATGATACAGATAATTGATGAAAGACTGAAGAGAGATCTGTAGAATTAAGAGATGAATTAATTATTAAAGATAATAACTGCAGCTATTTTCTTAATTAAGTTAAGAATAAAGTTAATAAGAGATGTTCTCTATAATATCTGATAATATAGTAAGCTTTTTGAATAACAGTTTTCTTTTTACAGACTGCTGTTAATGAAGATATATCAGAACTATAAATCTTATAGTGATAAAACTTAATCTTAGATAATATATCTATTTTAATAGACTGTTCACAGGCTTAAGAGACTACTATTAATTATATAAAGTATTGATATATCTAGAATAATAGAGAGAGTTCAGACTTATTTATCACAGAATCTGTAACTGTATGTCACGCCCCTGGCCGCGCCAAGGCCTCATTGCGGTCTCACACGGCTCATCACTTTCATGCAGATGATTTCATCTCATCTGAACCAGTTTTCAACCACTCTATGACATTATTCAGATATATCATAGAAAGATCTGATTAATGAATATAAGAATCTTACTTCTATACAAGGTCAGCAGATTACTCTTTCTTAACAATGAGACACTGCTGAGGTATCACTTCAGCTATTCTCACTTGTGAAATAAGAGAAGAGTATCTGTTGATTATCTATATAGAATAGCTAGATGCTGACTCTTCATTAAAGAAGTCAGTGATTTGTTTCTTTTTCTTCTACTGAAATATATACAAGAGTTACTGTGTGTCTTATACAATCTTCTTAGTATACTAAGTATTATATCTGTGATATTCTCACAATAACTCTGTAGTCTACAAGCTCACTATTTAAGCAAGATAGTCAAGCTCACTTATACAGCTTCTCAAACAACTATCTCTATATAATATCACTGACTAGTCATCACTTCAGTTCTATTATATTACAATTTAAATTACTCAATCTGATTATGTATTTAAATCAGTCAAGCTCTAACAGACTGATATGATCTCATACACTTACACTGAGACTGACTTAATCTCACTCTCTGAAGAAAACACTATATTATTCTCTAGAGTATATACATCTCTACTCTAATAGAAATCTGAGATTTCTAAATCTACTGTATATTTTGATATAAGCTCTTCAACTGCTCTATTATCACTGCAGTCTCTATACATCTATATCTATTATAAAGATAGAGAGATTAAGATTGAAAATTCTTTAAAATATAAGAAAAATATCTTATCTGAATTTCACAGCTTTATCTGTACTTTTGAACAGAAATTTCATCTTAATCTGAGCCAGTATAATACTTATAAGATATAAGTAATATATACTGTCAATCTTCTTGAAGACATCTCTGTGACTACTTAAGTCATTAAGAAAAGAGAGCTTGAGTATATTAATACTATTATAACTTAAGAAGAATTCAAGAACTTTCTACTGAATTAAATTAAAGATTACTATAACTACAGCTTCACAGCAGTGCAGTGATTTAACTCATTATATTAATAAGATAATAAGAATTCTTTCAATTTTAATATAAAATTTGAAGAATATTGAGAGAAATTAACTGATAATTTAAACTAATTAAAAACATAGCTTTATCTTATAAAGCTGACTCATAAGATATGAATAATAATATTATAATATCAGAGTTTATTAATTAATTACACTGAGCTTGTCAATCTGACTTCTTGAATCTATTTAAATACTTAATTCTCTGAGAAGAAGACTAATAAGATCTCTTCTAAGTAATTAATAATAAGATTTAAACAGTGCTGTGATAGCTTCAGTGCAGAGAAAATAAAGAAGAATTTCAAGTATTCTGATTCTTCACTCACTGTAAAGAAATATTAAAAAAGATTTGATAAAGATCTCTGTTTCAACTATGAAGCTGATGAATACTATATCAGTGATTGTAAGAAATTGAAGAAGAGAAGAAACTGAGAAGATATCTTCTTAAAGTTAACTTCTCTTCTGATAAATGTATCTGTGAAAGATAATAAAGAGAAAGAAATAAAGAATTAATAATTCTTATATCTTTAAGTTTATATTACAATTATAATATATACTCTGAATGAGAAGATATCAGTGAGATACCTACTTAACTTCAGAGTGAATACTAACTTCATATTCTATTTCTTTTCTTTGATGAAGAATTGAAAGAAGATAGATTTATCAGATTATATGAAATTTACAGATGAAATGAAATATCATTATTTTAATATAATTTAAGCAAAGTATGTGATCACAGACTTAGAAGAAATCTTTAAGAAGAGTAGTCTGCTTCTTTATATAGTTAATATTATAGATAAGAACATTATTCTAGATCTTCTATAATTAAGAGAAAACAATTCTCTCATTAACTGAGTTACTCAGATATAACAGTATTATCTCACTAATAAAGAGATAGTAATAGAGAAATCTGAAGAGTTTCATTGAAAGAATCTTAAGAAAAAGATTAAGTCAATATACTATATAGTAGATGATTAAGACTTAAAGATAGATGAAGAAGTTATTACTCTTATTACAAGATTAACAGCAGTATCTATTATTAAAGACAGATATACACAATATCTCTTTACAGATTTTAAGAATGTCTTTTTGAAAAGAAAAGTAGTGAAGTTTTCTGATATCAAGATATAATATAAGATTTATCTTGAAGACAGTGTAATGACACTGTATAGATCTCTTTATAACTTATCTATAAAGAAATTAAATGTTCTGTACAAATATCTTGAAGAAACATAATTAAAGAACTGAATATATTTATCAAAGAGTTCAGCAAAGACATCTATACTCTTTATACTTAAGAAGAATAATAGACTATGTCTATACATAGACTACAGAGATCTTAATAAGATGACAGTTAAGAATTACTATTCATTACTGTTAATTAATAGAATGATTAATTAATTATCTAGAGCAAAGATATTCTCAAAGATTAATATACAGAATATTTATTATAAAATCAGAGTTAATAAAGATAATATTTAAAAAACAGCTTTTTATATTAAGTACAGCAATTTTGAATATCTTATTTTATCTTTTAATCTTTGTAATACTTCAGTCATCTTTCAGATCTATATAAATGAGATACTACAGAGTCTTGTTAATGTCTTCTATATAGTATACTTAGACAACATTCTAATCTTCTCAAAAATAAAGAAAGAATATAATACTCATATTTAAGAAGTATTAAGTCACTTGAGACAGTATTAACTCTATACAAATACTAAAAAATACTCATTCTATATACAGAAGATTGATTTCTTAGATTATATTATTAAGATGAATAGCATTTCAATGAATAGAAGCTGAGTCTTCATCATTGAGAACTGACTGATACTGTAGATATATTATGAAATGCAGATATTTCTAGAATTTATGAATTTCTACAGATGATTTATCTATATATATTCATAGATTACTGTTTCTCTTACAGATCTGTTAAAGAAAGATGTGAAAGACAGAAAAATAAGATTATTTACTCTTATTCAAGATACTGTACAGATATTTACAGAATTGAAACAAGCTTTTACAGATATTATAATACTGAATCACTTTAATCTCAACTTATCTAGTCAGTGTGAGACTGATATATCTGAGAATGAGATCTGTGAAATCTTTTCACAGTTGACACTGAAGATCTTTCAATGTTAAAAGAATCAGAAAATAATCACTTCTGAGAAAACAGATAATAAATTATCTATAAGAGAAGACTTTTTTATAAAGTCTATAAAACATTATAAATAAAGATTAGTGATCTTCTTCTTCAAGAAGTTATCACTTATACAGAGAAGATATAATACTCATAATTAGAAAATATTAGTAATTATTGAATTCTTTAAGATCTGATAATATTATCTTCAGAGTAGTAAGTACTCAGTGTAAGTTCTTATTAATTATGTAAATCTGTGTTACTTCTTAATAACAAAGAGCTTGATAGAATATCAAGTCAGATGAGCAGAGCTGCTTTCAGAGTATGATTTTTATATCTAATACTGTTCAGATCAGCTTAACTCTGCTGATACACTGTCTAGACAGTCTGATTATAATATTATTAATATAGAGAAGAATTCTATAAAAGAATCTCTGCTATCACTGCAGAAGAAGCTGGCTGCAGAGAATTGAGATTCTCTAACGCTCAGAAATAATGCTGAAGAGACAGCTGTATAACTTAGTATAGAAGATGAAAGAGAATCTAGATCTCTGTGAGAAACTGACACTATTATTATTATTATTCTTCAATTATAGATGTATGCAGTCAGAGACTATAACATCTACCTGAGAACTTTAGTTCTCAGAGTTTTTTCTATGTCTGTAAAGTTAACTATTATACATTCATCAATTTCAGATATGTAAAATCAGAAAATTTCAGCTCAGAATACAAAAACTGTTTACAAATTGCAGTGTTTTAACATCTTTTGATACTTTGAAATCATTTGACAATATCATGACAAAAGAAAAGAGAAAAAGAACACAGTCTCAAAGATAGACACATTAAATAGATAGATAGAAAGAAATTGAAAGAAAAAGATAAAGAAAAAGATAAAGTAAAGAGAGACTATAATAAAACAAATTATTAAAAGAGAGTGTATAGCTGTTTTAACAGACTATATCTGATTGATTTCCTTCTCTTCATATTCAGATAATTCTGAATTTAGTCATTTTCTTATAGCTGCTTGAGTTTCTGATAGAAAGTCTATTAAGTATTTAATTTCTGTCTCAGTTGAGAATAAGAATCTTATATTTAATTGATTTAGATCATACTTCTCTTTCAATCTGACTCTGAGACTATTGTATAATGCACAGTGTATTATAATATACTCAGAATTCTCATTTATATTACAGAATGAGCATTCTATTGAGTCAAATCTATTATTAAATCTTTGTATATAAGATTTGAAATAGTCATGTTCTAGTTTCAGCTGTATTATAGATGA